TGGAGGGCGCCCTCCAGTCGCGATTGTTTTTCGATTCGATTATATCACAATTGCATTTGCGATTGGAGGGCGCCTTCGGCGCCCTCCAATCGCAAAGGGCGCCTTCGGCGCCCAAGGGGGGGGGGGCCATGGCCCAGTGGCCCCCCCCCCTGCCTACGCCCCTGGGCCCCGCTGGTCCCCCGGCGGCCACGAGAGGCAGACGACTAACGAACACCCCGAACACGGTCACGTTCCATTAGTGGGTCGCGGCGCCCCCACGCCGGTCGACAGTGAGTCACTGGCGGCACTGTGCGGGGAGTATGGGGTCCAGTCACAGCTGACTCAGGACGGGAGCCGACCTTGGGGTGGAGGGAGTCCCTCGCCGCCCCGGTTCACACTAACTAAGGGTTCGACCCAAACTCACCACCAAGAGCCATGCCGCAATAACAGACCGGGCACCGCCAGCGGAACACACTGGGAACCTTTCCGCATGCGGCATGTGCCCGGATTCGTGGTCAAACCATTAACTGCTCAGCAGAGATCGAGAAAGGTTTGGGCAGCGGACGCTTAGCCTAAGACTTTTTCATTCCATTGGGTGTATTTGGCGTTTTTTAGGGGCCGTCCTACCCTACAAACGAGCCGACGCGAGTGGTTTCGGCCGCTGACAGCCAACTGAGGCGAACGCTTGGTGATAGTGGCGCGGGCAACGGGGGCCTAATCAACTCATAGCGGCGACGCGGCTATGGAAGGTTAGGACCCTGCCCGGGCGCCACTGAACGTGACCGGAGCAAAGGGAGACGGGGGTCGGAGACAGATAAATCACCCCGCCGACAGACGCGGGGCAGACCCTGACTAGGGGTGGTGCGAAGGGGAGTGTAGGAACGGGCGCGCCGCTGGCAGCAGAGCTGAGAGGCGCGAACGGCAGTCGTCGACTGCGACGGACGGCGAGTGGAGCAGAGAGTGGGCGAGAAGTTGGCGTTTTTTAGGGGCCGTCCTACCCTACAAACGAGCCGACGCGAGTGGTTTCGGCCGCTGACAGCCAACTGAGGCGAACGCTTGGTGATAGTGGCGCGGGCAACGGGGGCCTAATCAACTCATAGCGGCGACGCGGCTATGGAAGGTTAGGACCCTGCCCGGGCGCCACTGAACGTGACCGGAGCAAAGGGAGACGGGGGTCGGAGACAGATAAATCACCCCGCCGACGGACGCGGGGCAGACCCTGACTAGGGGTGGTGCGAAGGGGAATGTAGGAACGGGCGCGCCGCTGGCAGCAGAGCCGAGAGGCGCGAACGGCAGTCGTCGACTGCGACGGACGGCGAGTGGAGCGGAGAGTGGGCGAGAAGTTTCCCACCCACCCTCACCTATTTAATAGATGCGACTTCGAGATTCGTCAAACCCACATATCCTTAATCCCGACCATATACCTCGTCGTTATCACTCCGTCGGTGCGTTTTTTAGGGGCCGTCCTACCCTACAAACGAGCCGACGCGAGTGGTTTCGGCCGCTGACAGCCAACTGAGGCGAACGCTTGGTGATAGTGGCGCGGGCAACGGGGGCCTAAGTTTAGCTACCGACCCGCCAGACTCGTCCCCGATCGATGTCGGCAGGTCCGTCTCCATCACCGCATGTGCGCCCGCACGGCTCACACAATGGGTTACAGAACCGGGAGGGACATGTCACCGTGCCCCTGACAGGGTTGAAGAATGCGAGCAGCGCGCCCGGCCCGCGGCACGCACCAGCGGGTTCCGCCCCAGCTGTGGGAATCCGGGGGTGATTGAGGCCAGTCGCCCCCGAGTCCCGACTGTCGAGCGTTGCAGGATCTTGGTTGCAGGTACTGGCTTCACGTCTGGAGCAGCAGGAAATGGTGAGGGCAGAAAAAGATGCAAGTGTAACATGGAGCTAAAAACCACAAACATTTGGTAGACATCAACGGTTGTACAATAGACATTGAGCCAAAGCATTCTGGCTGGATCTTCGTACAACGAAGTCGTCTAACGGCATAGTCTGCAAGCTGCATTGTTTGTCGCTTAAAAAGTACAGTGCATACGGCGCACACTACCATGAACGTCCTGTGTCGTGACTCGTGGATGACGTACGCTGACCACCGAACGTAAAACCACGGCGCGGAACGGATAGAAGAGGCTGAGAACGGCGTATCTGACACCGGCCGAGGACCTTCTCACGCAGACGCCGCCGAGCGCGACCAATGACGGTAATTCACCCGAGCCAGGCCGGCCGACCACACGCCGTGGTGCAACGGCGGCGCAGACGGCAACGTAACGCCATCCTGAGCGATGATGGGAAATAGTTGGGTAATCCAACGTGATTAAACTTTTGGTAAATTCCTTTTTAATGACCTCCTTACAAATTATTTATGTTTTTGATGTATTTAGCTTGATACAAATTTTCGGCCACGGGCCTTGATCACATATCAGTTTAAACACAGACTGTGTTTAAACTGATATGTGATCAAGGCCCGTGGCCGAAAATTTGTATCAAGCTAAATACATCAAAAACATAAATAATTTGTAAGGAGGTCATTAAAAAGGAATTTACCAATCACCTACATGCCTTACATACAAAGAGCACTACAAGAATTAAAAGTGATTAAACTTTATCAGATGATTAATGGCGGTTTGGTCATTTATATCCTTTGATATTGTCCACGCCTGTGTTGGCACAGATGAGGCTAGAAGAACGCGTCAGGTGGTGGCTCACAGCTCATTCGGGAGTAGGAATTCAGGGACTAGAATTCCTACTCCCTCTTTTACGAAATTTTAAGGAGCGTCTAGCAACGGGACAGGAGTAGGAGCTCGGGCGACTGGATCGGTGCACCATCCCATGGCTGGCAGTGGGACATGACTGACGACTGGGGATGTGACCGGCCGCCGTCCCGGCCCGGCCGCCGACAGCACCCGTCACGGGGTCGGCGGCGCGGAACGGCACGAGGCCGCCTCACGAACAGCCCATCACGGCGGAGCGCTCCGTGACGGACGGCCGATTGACGGCAGGTCGGTGCCTGGAATATGGCGAACGGATCCCAGGTCCGTCCCAGGCGCCTAAGTATTTATAGGATCGCTAAGTGCAAGCACATAATTAATGTAATTTATTTTAGCAACCAGTTTATAAGAGTATGCTTGCCTAGTGCTCACTGCTCGCTCTCGAATGTTGCTAGGCATGTCCTCCTGCTCATGTTACTATAAAAACCCATTCAGACCATCGAGATGAAGGGAAAGATATTCAGCGAAACGCGACGAAACACGTCATCGCATGTGCAACGTGCATGCAAGGCGCCCAGAAGCTCGGCATGCAACATTACACAGGAAAGTGAACACAAAACAAGCACCGGTGAAAAACTGGCCTGCACGGCCGGGCATCTCTACCAGTGAAACTCGCCGAAAAGTGAAGCCGTCCGCCGCGGCGGCGCGTCTGTCATGCGGCGGCCGGAGGTTGGACTGGCACGGCTCGGCGGAATGCCGTCGGACCGGGAGCTGGGAGCCGGGACAGGTCGGGTCGGCGGAGGAGCACGTGCCCAATACGGTGCCGCTGAGGAGCCCGTCCGTCCTCTATAGGCTGTCTCTGGGCTGCCAGAGATAGCCAGTCACAGGCGGAGAGACAGCTCGGAGGAAACATCCCCAGAGCGCTGGCCTCTGTGCCACGGAGCTCGCCTTACAACAGGAACATTCGATCCGTATTGCAGACAGCAGGAATTGTGTCACGGTTATCACGGACAGCACACATAACCCGCCGCCCATTCGTCGAAGCCGCGCGGGAAAAGCCGTGCATCGGAGATTTGTTTTGCCGCCGGGCCATCGAACACCTTGGAACAACAGTGTACGATGAAGCTGTTGCCGATATGTGAGACGCGGCAGCTGTCCCGTTCCCACGGGAGCGATTCCCGCGGCGTGAGAGGAATGCACATCTCAGTGCAGTGCACGCTCTGAAGCCGGGAATGGTGAGCGGACGGCAAACGGCCAGCACGAGCATATGGGCCCTGTGACAGCCGGGCGAACATCGGCGGATTACCTGTTTCTGCAGTCTTCTGATGGAACGTGTAGATAAACGGTACAGCTCCAACGTTTTTGTAAAGTGGTTTCCATTCATTTGCTGTGTTGAAGTGTTGTAATGACATACCAGAGCATCAAACTAGTGATAACGGACAATGACCCATAAATGCATTGCGCTCTTAAAACTGCAAAAAAATCACGAAAAATAAAGTAATTCAAAAAAGGAAAAAGGGAGACGAACTGAGAGAGTCCGTATCAATGTTTCCACCAAGGATTGCGCAAGTTGTTAGTGATGAGTAAATAGCCCAGCATTTCTCAATGCATCAATCTCAAATCACATCACTCAGCTACATCAGATCCTCTAGGCTCGGTCTGAATCTGTACCATAGCGTATGACACAATGGCAGACGGATGCCAGTTATCAAACAGTTGTGTCATTATGCAAACGGGCCACTGTGTGCGGGGCGTCGGGCTAGGGTCACAGAGCCGGGGACCTCCGGCAGCCAGCGGCGCGGCCCACAATGGCCCGGGTCACGGTCCCGCCGCGCGCCGTGATGAGTCACGCCGCGACAGTTACGGCGCACTGGCGGGGCGGGCCGTGCCACCGTGACCCAGCTTGACCTTCGGGTCAGCGGGTCAACAGCGGCAGGCCAAACTAGTACAGCGAGGTTCGGCACGAACCAAATCGGGGACGGCTGAAGTAGGCACAGAGGCGCAAGTTGCATTTTAAGTGTGCGCGGGAGAAGAAATACGAAGGTGGAGTATGGGAAATTGCAACCAATTACCAAATATTGATATTGCTAAGGGCAATTATTTTGTCATCTTGCCAGTTGACCACAAGTCAAAACTTGAACATATTACTCGGAATTGCAGTGATAAATAATTCCACAATTGTTTGTGTGAAATAATAGCAGCCTGCAACAGTTGCATTTTGCATTGCAAACAATTTACAGCACCCATTATCTAGCACATTCACGGATGACATTTCACATATGCAGGTTGGCGAGACCTCACCTTGCTGAAGGACGGCGAGTCGTAGACGCGGGTGCCCTCGGCGATCAGCAGCGCCTTCTTGCGCTGCCGCTCCTCCTCGTCTCGGCGTTTCTCCTCCTCGCTCCTCACTATCACCTGCACACCCCCGACGGTGGGTGTTAGGTCCAGCGGGTGGATGATCTCCGGCTTGGCGCGCTCAGACACCGAGCCCACGCGCTCCTTCTCCTTCTTCTTCTCCTCCTTGCCGTTCTTCTTGTCGTCCTTGCTGCTGCCAAACTTGAGGAACTTCTTCAGCGAGAACTTGCCGCGGCGTTTGGGCTCGTCCCGGCGGGACTTGCGCTCGCCGCCGCTGCTGGCTCCGAACACGCCCGCCGGACTGACGCCGTATATCTTCTGCTTAACCTCCTCGTCCGTCATCAGACCCTCCACGTGCCGCGGCATCGACTGCGAGCGCGGCTTGATCAGCACCGTCTCCCGCGAGTAGTACTCGGCGCCCGGGTCGAAACTGACAACGTTCGAGGAGCGCTTCCGCGAACGAGGGCTCACCGACGACGAGCGCATCGATGCCGACGGAGGCAGATCGTCGTCATCGTCGAGGTCGGGTTTGAAAGACGAGCGGCGGTCGAAAATGGCTGTCGATGCGTACGGGTTGCCATCGTCGTGAATGCGGAGCTTTGCGGCAGTCTCGGCTCGAGGCGGGGCACTGGAGGGAGAATCAGAGGTCTGAAAGGTCGTCTCGCCTAACTTGTCACTGGCCTGGTCCCTAGGAACAGGAGCAGGAAGTGCACTTTCGACCTTCAGAGTTATGGGTGGGATGTGTTCAGGCTCAACCTCGTCTGATTTTTGGACAGGCGTTGGCGATTTCTGCTCCTCCTCGTCCTCAGCTTGTTCTGTGGCTTTGGATGAAGCGACGTCTTCAGAATCAGCCTGAACGGGCGAAGGAGCTTCAGACTTTACAGTGGAGGTGTGAGAGCTGTGCTCCCGGTCATGCTCAACATCCTCTTCGATCTTTTGGAGTGAGGTGGGCTGAGTGTCATCAGAGCAGGTCTCCGATTGTAGTGAATGCTGGTTCTTGTCAGAACCCTGATCTTCGTCATGACTAGGCTGATTGGTTCTTGTGACTGCGTCACTGCCTCGCCGACCTGATTCTTGTTCCGAGTCAGCATCACGCTTAGGTTGGTCCCAACTTCCGCTTCCTTCAGTGGCATCCGTAGCGGAGCTCGCACTGTCAGCAGTCGAGGCGTCTTCGTCCAAGGGCGAGTCGGACCACACCCGTGAACTCTTTCGAGACTGGACTTCGACAACGGGACCCTCCTCTGCACCGTCCTTGGCTTCGGCCTGTGAACAGTCCTCTGCAGGCTCCTCAGTGCTGGATGCGTTCTCTGGGGCCTTCGGCGCTGGCCGCTTGCAAGCACCACCATGATGACCGAAAGACAACAGATTGGCAATCGCCGTCCGATTTGCCTCGTAGTCCTTGCTGACAGGTCGCTTTGACTCTCTGTCACCGGGAGGCTTCGGAGCCCGCCTGTGCTCCCGAGCGCCATCACTGCTGATTGTTCTTTTCACGTTCAGATGAGCAGGCGGTTGAGGCGCCGGTCCTCGACCCGATTCAGAATCATTACTAACTGTTCTCTTCAAAGCCATATCAACGGGTGGCTCGGGGGCCGGCCGCTTCTCCCGGCCCGCCTCGCTATCATTGCTGACAGTTCTTTTCAGGTCCTGGTGCACCGGGGGCTGGGGCGCCGGCCTGTGCTCACGAACAGCGTCGCTGTCAACGCTAACAGTCCTTTTCACCTCCTGGTGTCCAGGCGGCTGCGGAGCCTGTCTGTGCTCTTTCCGCGCCTCCACCGGTCGCGGTTCGACGGGCTCCTCATGCTCCTCGCGCTGACGTTTCTCCAGCTCTTCACGCTGCTTCTCCAGTTCCTTCTCCCGCTGTATGGTGCGCTCCTTTCGCGTGAGGCTCTCCCGTCGCAGGGGAGGTCGCGGAGGAGAGACATTGATGGTTAGATGGCTCTGCTCTTTAGCCTCATCCGGTATCGGCTTAGCGCTCTCGACCAGCTTCGTCAAGCGAGTAGACGCATCTAGAACGGGACTTTTCACAGCCACGCACACGGGACCGGACTGCGCTTCATCCTCCTTGGTGTCGCTCTTTTCGTCTGAAGCCTGGGTGACTTGTTCAGGCTCTGGCTTCAAGACTTTCACTGGCTTTGGCTCCACACTTTGCCTGACCTCGCGGTCGACACTATCGCGCCGAACTTCGGGGGAGGAACGAGGACTGTGGTCGCTTTCGACGCTAGTCGCCCTGCTCAGCCGATGTAGCTTGGCTGGTTTCGCTGCGATCTTGGGCTTTTCACGGAGAATGGGAGGTTTGGTCGAAGCGCCGCCCGAAGGCTTTGAGCTAGATCGGATGATGGCTTCCTTTGCTTTCGGAGCTGCTGTCCGTTGGACAGGAGGTGTCGTTTTAGCATCTTCGGTTTCGACCGGTTCCTTTTCATTGTCGATGGTCTTGACTTCCCCATTCATTGCTGGCTTTAAATCGGTGGCAGAAACAATGCTCGACCCGAGAATATCGCTCAAAGTGCTGTCTTCATCCTCTGGCTTTGAGTTCGTTAATGAGTGCAAAAATGAAGCCCTTGGCGACGGTTTGGATGAAGTGGCCCTTGTAATCAATGAATCTCGTGGGTTAATGTCACCTTCCTTGGTAGTATTTTGCGAAAACATGACAATATTGTCATTGGAAGGTGGAAGTGGAGCGTCAAGCTTGCTCGGTTGATGCTGATATGCGTTGGTATGTGCTGTATCGTCCTGTGACTTCTCAGAAAATCTCGATTTAAGAGAGATAAACTTGTTTTGTGACTCGGTGGAATTCCCATTATGGCTTTCTGAGCGCAAGGGCAGCGCAGACACCTTCGTGTTGTAGCCGTTCTGGTTATCAACATCGGCATCAATCAGCTTTTGAAGTGCCGAACTGTGAGTGGACTGCCTTTTCTCCTGGGCGTTCTTCGTCACTTCTTTGACTGAATATCCGTTTGGTTTTTCAGGGAACAAACTGGTACCGTTTGATAATTCGTCACTCACTTTACCCGTTTGTACGTCATCCTTCGAGTTGTTGAACTGTGAGATGTCAGTCGCATTGTCACTCTCTATCACACCATTCTGCATTTCATCGGACGTGTCTGACGTGATTGATGTCAGCGAGGATTCGTTTCCTGGCCTTAGGGTCACTACGCTGCCTCTGTTGTTTCGCGAGAAGGCCTTGTCCACAGCTTCGAGCACCTCTGCCGTCAGAGACCCAACTGTACCCGACGGCTCATCGTCCGTCCGTTTCAACGAATCGTCCCTTTTGCTCTTACTGAGCACGCCGTTCATTTGAATAGAACGACCTTTGTCCGATGCTTCATTTGGTTCTTCACTTTCAACATCACGCGAGCGTCTCAACGGCGATGGAGCCTCGCTGGACGTGCTAAGAGTTGCAGCACTCTTGGGAGAAATGCCATTTGTTGTGACAGAAGAGCTCCTGTTGGGCAGTGGATCGTCTTCCTTCGTATCACTTGGTGGCGAACGGACGTTGGCGGCTTTCTGTATAACATCACTATTGCGTCGTGACACTTGCTCTGCATCCTTTCGCAGCGTGTCCTCCAAGGATCGGTCAGCTCGCCGAGACGGTGCCTCGGGCACCGCCGGAGCGCTCTCTCGTCTGCTCCCGATGGAGAAACTGAGGCGTGTCTCCACCAGCGGCGGAGGGGGACTGGTGGTACTCAGAGTGTCTGTGAACTCAGTGATTGACACAGACTCCCTAGCGAGGCTTTGACTGCGCTCGGAGTCGGTGCTAGTGATCTCAACGCTGGTAGTTGTCCTTTCCTCCAACTTCTTGGGCTTCTCATCGATCAGATCGTCGAGACGAGTTATCTTCTCTGCTATCTTCTTCGTCATCGGATCGGCGGCGGATCGCTTTTCGACCATCTCGAACTTGTTGCGGCTCTCCGTAATGATCTCCCCGTTCTTCATGGGCGCCACCAGGTTCACCTTCACGCCGCCGCTGGACCGCGGTCCCGACGAGAACGGTGCGATACTCACGAGCGGCGTGAACTTCTTGTGGCGGCCGGTGAGCGCGCTCCGCTCGGTTGTCCGGTCGCTGTCGTCCAGCCAGTCCACCATGGTGCGCGAGGTGCCGGACAGGTTGCTGTTGATGGAGTTGAAGTCGGTGTTACGCTGCGTCAGGCTCAGCAGCTGGCGCTCCTCCGGACTAAGGAGGCCGGGGGCTTCTGGCTCCCCGGGCTCGTCAGGTTCGTCCGGCTCATCGTCAGACTCAGCCGGGACGCCGCCCACGCCGATCACCTCGTGCCGCTCGGCGAAGGCGACGGAGCGCCGCTGGCGGCCGCCGCCGCGGCCCTCCAGCACCAGGATGCCCTTGCCGGCCGGGCTGGGTGCTGAGTCGACCAGCGCCCTGTTGACGGCCGAGTGTACCGCTGAGTCGGCCCGGTCTGGGGTGTCCCTGGCCAGGGCGACCAGCCGGCTGCTGGCCAGGCGGCTGGCCGTGTCCACCGAGCCGCCTCGGCCGGCCGCGTCCAGACGCACCATGGCCGCCTCGTCCTGGCGCGACTGCAGGCCGCGCAGCAGCGCCGTCGACTTGAGACTGCCGCCGGCCGGCGCCGTACGGGTCAGCAGGTCGCTGAGCGCGGGCGAGCCGGCGCGCCCCGCAGGGCTGTAGCGGTGCGTCAGCTCGTCGAGGCTGCGCAGAGGGTCGGGCCGAGGCACCAGCGGCGCGCCCGGCGAGTGCTCCTCTTCCGAACGGAAACAGTTGGAGCAGAGATCCTTGCGCCACGAGTTCTGTACGAACGTGCTGCAGATGACTGACATGATGACGGCCTCAGCCGGCCATCGCGCCGCCGCTCACACCGCTAGCTGCACTGTCCGTGATGCACAGAACGCATTACCCATGGAAGACCAACGGTGCTCTCAGCCGAGGTCAGGTCACCGGTGCAGTCCGAGATATCCGATCTCCAGCACACCAGACACCGGAAGGACCAAGCGGTGTTAGTCACCTGTGCCCAGACGCAGTCACCGCCGCTGTCTCACAAAACCGAGCGACGGTTCCTTGCCTCACACACGACGCTCACGACGCTCAAACACACCACTGTTACCACTAGCACAGCTGTCAGTCACCACCGTCCGTGCTCCCCTCCCAGCCGCCGCCGCGGCACCGTCCACACCTGAGCGTCCCCACGTGCGTCGCCCGCGCCCACCACTCGCCGCCGGACACGAGCACCAACTGCCGGCGCCGGGTACCGACCTGAAAACGGCGGCGGCCGGCGCCGTACGCCCTCCGACAGAGCCGGTACGGTCTCTGGCGCCGCGCGGCGGTCCGTCAGCGGGCGGCTCCTCTGTAGTCTCCCCTAGCTTCGCCTCAGCACCCTGGGGAATGCGTCAGGGGATGGTATTCAAGGTCATAACAGGGGAAACAGGGGAGACTGCGCTAATGGGCGGGTACGACACGCAAACAATCAGGCGATTGAATGGAGGGGTGAAAACTTTCAGACCATTTCATTTGGAAATAACACACGACACGATTTTTGTACGGCCGGGATACAAAAATGTCGCATAGCCAAATGGCTTACAATGAGTCACTGTCAAACAAAACACTTGGGTAGGTACCTATATGCAAACTCCAAAAGCTACAATCTGGAGCTCTATGAACACCGACGAGAAAACCCGTAGAACTTTCTTCCGTAGTCCTTTATCTCTAGGAATTTTTATCCGTATGGCCTGTACCATGACTGTATGACTATAGTCTGACAAACCTAAGAAAGAACGCAGGTTGATTGATTCACGTTGGATTCACGTGCCCCTATACATAGTGCCTCAAACGTATCCGAAAACAATTCTATCGCGACTTTTCACACAAATTTTATCCGAAACATGTATTTCCAGTGATCAAGATTCAAGACATGTGCAAAGTGATACAGGCGCTTTAACTCCTTTCTTTCTTAGGCTTGCCAGACTATTAGAACCATTCGTTTCGTACCAGCTAACTACCAACTGTTTATGTCGAGTTCATTGTCAATGTGATAAATGGTGGGTGATTTTGTCTGTCCATTCGCTTTGGGACGGTAGGCATAACTCCGTAGACAAATAAATAAATAAACGCGCCGTTCGGCTAGTTGAGTTTCATGAAGCTGCGGGAAAAAATCAGGTTTACATAAACGGTTATAGGTACATAACCGTTTATGTGAACTTTTTTTTCTACATTGGCGGTTATTTTTTGCGTGGCTATTCTAGCCAGGGCAAAGGCCATATACCTATAGGCCATATGACCAAGGCCCTATGTGCCTTCTAGCTTATGGACAGCTACAATATTTCTATAGACTTCTGGCGGATCCAGGGGGGAGGCATTCCGGGTCATGCCCCCCCCAAAGACCCGAGTTTTGATATTACGCCTATGGCTGTGCCTGGGCCGTGCATGAAAAGAACGAGGCCATTTCGGCCATTTGCCCCCCCCCCCCCCCCAAACAAACGTCCGGCCGGATCCGCCCGATCCGGCTGGATCCGGCGGCATTTATCGCCTTGGATCCGCCAATGCTAATGACAGCTAGAACTTGATAATTAAGCTTAGGTATACTTACCAAAGTCGACGATTTTCTTGTAGTGAAACTGGCATCAGACTTGATTATGATCCTAATAATTCATTAGCTGCGATGCCTAATTATATCTGAACTCAGCTCAGCATTTAACCTGCGCCGTGCCTGCAGGGCCTCGGCTAACATGTTAACTACTGGGGCAAATGCCCCAGTAGAGTCGAGGAATGCCCCAGTAGTGGTCAGGCTTTGCCCAACCTCCACAAAATGAGAATACATCAATATTACCGCACATTCTTTCATTCGGGAGCGGTTGAAGACGTTTATGGCAAGAAATCAGGGGCGGCGGAAGAGGGAGTGCACGGCGTGCAGCTGCACCCTCAATGTCTATACAAAAACATAGGCGTGCATTGGATATCTTTTTGCACCCCATAATCCATCTTCATTCGAAAGAGCGTCAAAAATAATGACGAAATTACTTCGGCCACTTTTTTGGTCAGGTCAAAGGTCAGGTCATGGTGAAGGCCAAATTTCGCCGATTTTCAGGTCGAATATCGACAGTTTACAAGATGCCGACGCATAACTCGGGAACCAGTTAGAGCTACAGCACCGCGGAAAAGCGCATTTGATAGCCCACAGATAACAGTAGTACTACTGTTATCTGTGGATAGCCATATTATGATATCAGCATGCTTTCTGGTTATTTCTCTTAGATTTGACCTAACGTCAACGGTTTTGCCTGCAAGGGGCAAAAACTACCAAAATAGAAGATGTCATGCCTTGCACGAGCTTTCTTTTACCGACATCGTGTTCCTCTCGTCAAGACGCATCAAATTAACTACAATTTCACCTTGAAGGTCAACGTGGAAATTCGACCTCAGGTAAGGTCATGATCTGACCGGAAATTGTCATGTTGCATATCAATCGATCTGCATCGTCGAACCAAACACAACTAAGGCATTTTCATCGCTCTAGCATGCCTCTTTCAAGTTATTCGCGAAAAACTGTTAGATACCATAAACCATTCGTGAACTGAGATGACCTCAGGGGAATATAAACAAGGGTCACGGTTGCTATTTTCATGTTCAGTGTGTCAAAGTCACGTACAGTGTTTTATAGTGTTTAGAACGACTTTCGTCCAAAAGAGGTGGTTTTGAATTTTTTTCCCATTGACTTATAATAGAGGTCGCAAAATTGAGCTGACCTTAGGTCCCCGATATGAAAATTCCGAGATATAAATTTTGTACATGCTGTTTCCCTTATCAATCGCTGGAAGTTTCAAAGCGATCGCTCACTCGGTGTAGCTACGGCATTCATTGAAACATTTTATGAGGTGAGGTCACTTGAAGTGACCTGGTGACCTGATCTTGAATGACCTTGGTCCGAAATTTTACAACACGTGTAGAACTTAGAAGTGATGGATGCTGGAGCGCCGCCGTTTTTGAGATATCCGCGAAAAACCGCAGGAAAACTGCAGGTGTTCAACCTCCCCCCCCCAGCAGGGCGCCAACACACTTTGACGATTTGCCCCAGTAGTCAAATTTCCTTAGCCGAGGCCCTGCGTGCCTGCGCCTCAGGTTTTCAGCTTCCATTCTTCCAGTAAGGCCCTATATATATATCCCCCGTCCCCGTGATGTGACTGATGTGAGAAGTGAGACCGAGACGGAAACTACAACCGGACGGTATTTTAAACTAACGTGATCACAGTTTCACTCAATGTGCCAGGCCAGCGCGAAAAGAAACAAATAAAACGCCAAAACGCAAATGGCGCCTATAACGCAGCCATTCAGACCAACAGCAAAAACAATCCAAAACAAACCTTCATCTTACTTAAATTCCAGTAGAATATGTTAAAAATTCTAGAAAATTACCGCAACAGCGTTTTCATAAAAAAATATCAATTGTTCTAGCTAAAGTAAAGCGAATAATCACAAACCCGACGAGTACTCAAAGTTTGGTTGCAGCAATTTTGTTCGAATAAATTACGTCTCTTATGCGCCAAGAAGCCTAGACATTGGAAAGTTCTGTTCAAAAAAAGCGTTTTAGAAGACCAAGGAGATGCTGCGCCTATGTTGCCTAGCAACGATAATGCGAGATGCAGCTTTAAAATGCAGTTGCTAGGCAACAGGAGGGAAGCTTTCCGCTAAACCTCATGCTGAACAAGAACCTCGCAGTGGGGCGTTGTAGCATGTTGTTATTGTGAGTGTGATTATTGTTTCATACAGATAGTTTCATATCGTTTCATATTAGATAACTTATACGGCCTTGTATTAGATTAGGTGTTGATTCAGTCTGCATCTGTATTACTGCATACCATTTCTGTTGGTGAGGAAGCATTATTGTGTTTATGTTTTCTGGAGGTTGTTAGGAGTACCTATTTGCTCAGCAACACCAGACATAATTAAAGCTAGTTTCGTCTTCTTGCACCCGGTCCTTTTCCAAAATCAGTGCTTATATTTCACAAATCGCCGAGGAGTGATTCCAAATTTCCTCGCCGAGGAGTGAAATCGGCTTCGTTGTCGCCAAAGATAGCAGAATCGTTGTCATCACATGTTTGCTAAAAATCAGTTGGGCAAACTAGACCTTTGGAATCAAAATATGGAGGCATCAAAAGATTGATTCCTTTTGACCATATTTGGGCATAAATGCAGACCATTTCTAACTTACCAAACACATAAAAATAAGAGAGTGTTTCCAGAAGGAGCATGCCTGATCTTGAACAGAAATGCTGAAAGTATCTCCTAAGCAAAATAATATTGCTCCTATCATAGCAATTTGAATTCTATAGGTAGTGAAAGGCAATCAAGGAATTGATTCACTTTAAACAGATAATCATAATATTGATTCCCCATCAGCTGGCTAATCATTATTTTGATTCACAGGTAATGTTAAGAGATAGGTAACAATGACTTGCAAGAATACAGCATTTATCTTGCTATTATTCTCATTAAGTGTGATCCTCAGCACCACTACAGATACCTTTAGCATTGTTGTACATAACCTTCACAACATTTGATAACAATTCACAATTTTTAAATGTCAAGAATACAAAAACTGAAGCAACAGGTAAAAGCCATATAATAAATATAAAAGCACTACAACAGTGATAATTAGGGGTTTGAAAATTTCATTTTGCCATTTTACACAAATACTGATTGTTTAGTATGCAATTCATGATACAAAAATAACAAACAGTGTGATTTCCTCAAAACAGCTTTTACGTGATGGACAGTGCCTCTATCTTTTTCCCATTCACAAGGCCAAAGGGACAATTTGTTAGTTTTGAGGTAACACTTTTTGCAAACCTACCACATTTTTCTACCTTTTTAAAGAAAAATCTCACCGTCATGGGCCTTTTTTCAACCGTAACGATACATTTGAAGTCAAAAGTGTACCCAAATGAATCAAAAAATTGATTCCATGCCCATATTAGGTCATGGCTCCTCCCACCAGAATCAAATTATTGATGCCTCCATATTTTGATTCCAAAAGTCTAGTTTGCCCAACTGAAATAGCACGAGCTAATAATGACAATGATTGACCGAACCTCTCCCGACTCGACTCAGAACCTCAGTGGATGGTGAGGGCCTGAGGGGGCTGCCTGTACGTGGCTATATGTGTTCTCCATCATTAAACTTTGGACTCTAAAATTCTCCCATGGACATTTATCCGTTAAAACTGGGGTAATCTTCAGTAATTAGCCACCAATTCCCATAACATAACCCTCTTTGTGTTTGATGATGTTAGATATTGCTGATTGTTGATGCAATGCAAAACCACTGGCTATCAGCAGTGAATGTCAGTGGAGTCCTGAAGTTTGGTTAAAACATTCCTCCTAAAAATTATCCCTGGAGATGCCTCTGGACAAGATGCAAGCCCAAACTTTTAGACCAATGCTCCCAATAAATTAATGTTCAGGTAAAGTCACCAAATTTTGCCTGACTAGGTGAAATGTTATTTTATCTAACAGAGTAGCTGGCCAGCAGCAAAATCGCCCCCTCGCCCTGTAATAGTGCTAGAGAATAGAGATTCAGCCTGAATCAAAGGTAAGAACTAAGATTTACTGAAATTTAGCTCTATACTTCGAGTTTTTCGAGCCATCATGCACCAAACGTCAGAGATTGTGTATCCTAACAGGCCTAACCTCCTTGTGTAAAGTGCAGTGGCTGATTTCCTCTCTGCTCTCAGGCAGTGTCCGCGCCGGCCTCCCGATGGTGGTGATCCGTGAGCTGGCCACCGATGACGAGGACAGCGACTTCAGTCCGGGCGGCCAGGGTCCGCGGCCCGAGGACGTTCGACCGCGCGTCCGCCGGCGCACCAAGAGCTCGGGCGACTCGAGGAAGGCGTACGGTGCTGGTCGGCGGCCAGCGCCGCTCCGGCCAGCCGCCGGCCGAGACTGGCTCTGGTTCGTCGTGGCAGGTGGGTGATCGGGAGAGGAACGTCGTAAGGGAAACAGGAGGCATGGTGGGAGTATGTAGAAGTGTGGTGAGATAGGGGACACTATGGTGGCTGGATGGAATAGGATATTCTTCGGAGAAGTAACGAATGAGGTGACACGTTTTGGTGAGGCCGGAAATTCGTTGTGGTGAGTGATGTGAAAGGTCTTGTAGTGTGTGTGTGTGTGTGTGTGTGGGGGGGGGCTGTGGAACATTTCGTGAAAGAAAAGACAAGTGATAGGAGAGAGGGAATGTCATGTGACATTTTGCTCGTGTGATCCCCAGGTGTGGCGTGCGGTCTTCTGCACGCGTGGCACGTCAGCACGCTGTTTGAGAATGACCGCCACTTCAGCCACCTGTCCACCCTGGAGAGGGAGATGTCGCTCAGGACAGAGATGGTAAGATGATGACGATCGCATTAATGTCGGGAATTTAAAGGGACGGTGATTTAGAAATTGACAATGCTTGATGTTGTTTTGAACGCTTCAGTGAATCGTTATTTTGTCAAACTTTTACCTGATGTTTGCAAATAATAACCATTAAAATCATAAATGTGCGGATGTCTCTACCGTCTCGTGTCTAACCACGTGCTTTCACTCTTCCTCAGGGCATGTACTACTCGTACTTCAAGACGCTGGCCGAGGCGCCGGACCTGGTCTCGGGCATCGAGCTGCTGATGGAGGACCGGCTGGTGGAGGCGCCCTCCACCGTCAACGCCCTGCAGCGCTTCAACCTCTACCCGGAGGTGGGGCGGACGGGACGGAATGCGGCGGGGAGGTGACTTGAACCACTGATGGTGTAATGCTAGGGATAAGAGTCGCGAAGGCAGAGGCTGAGACGTACTTTCAAAGGTAACGAAGACTCATATGGCTCGCTGGCTGTGTACTGTGTAGGTGTGTGCCTGACATCACCTCCATCCCTGCTATCTAGTTCAGACGCCTTTCTGCCTGTGCTGATGCAGGCCTAACTCCCCCCCCCTATCTTCCGTTCCAGGTGCTGCTGGGCACGGCCTACCACGGGTTTCGCCAGGTGAGCCAGGCGCTCGGCGTCGAGACCCGCGAGTGCTGGAAGGTGGACCGCGGCGACAGTCTGGCGCCCGTATGGAGCTGCGTCGGCCTCGGTACGCCCGTGTTCTTCTACCTGGCCGGCGTGTGGCTGTGCGCCGCAGTGCTCGGCGTGGTCCTGTTCATCTACGGATGCCAGATGAGGTGAGTTAGTGGGTGTAAGCTGAAGAGAGCGGTGTGGGTGTGAGATGAGGTGAGTGATGCGGCTGTAAGATGAGGTGAGTGTGGTGGTTGAGGTCAGAAACAAGGCTGTTGAATGAAATGAGCGGTCTTATTGACAGCGGTAGGTTCACTTTCTATGTGGCGTGCTTATTATTTATTTTAATCGTCGTTCGCTGAATATGAGTGAGCGGCTGTAGCACTGACCAATGACTATCCGGGATTGTTGACCGAAGCTCTTCCAGATGAAATAACAATTGATTTGCTTTGTCACTGAGCCGATTTTGAAGGCAGGTGCGGAGTTAATATGTTCTTGTCATTTTACGGAAGTGAATCGCGATTTGTAGGCTCTCTCAGGGTCATGTTTTCCTGTTTGATTTTATCGCAGCGTTGCCGAATCGCGTGTAATGGCTGACCTTGTGCTCCGTTTGCCCCTACATTCAGCGCCAACATCTGGGGCGGCCTGCTGACGGTGGCCTGCTTCTTCTTCAACCACTCGGAGGCGACACGGATGATGTGGACGCCCCCGCTGCGGGAGAGCTTCGCCTTCCCGTTCCTGCTGGCTCAGATGGTACACGTGTGCCGCGCCATCACCTCCAAACGGCCCGGCTGGGGACAGGTGAGATTTTCTCACCACCAAGCAGGCTGGAGAAAGACGTTTTTCACCAAACGGCTGGGCCCGAGCACTGGAGACTAATGGAGAGAATGCAAGGGACCAACAGAGGTGCTTGTTTATGGGCCTGTGTTCATTGTTCATCTGGATAGGCGATACGTTATTTAGGAAGCTCGTTGGTCCCTTCGTATTGTGTTTTCTTGATTTTGAACTGACAATTTCTGACGACTGACCAGTCCATCCCTCTAGTCAGTCACGTCCTCCGAAACCCGCCCCTCCGACCGGCCGGTCAGACCCGCTGACCAGGCAGACAGTCTGACCCGCTAACCGGCCCCGTCCCCTCCGTCCGGCAGGTGCTCAGTATCGGCTGTCTGACGGCCATCTCGCTACTGTTCTGGCAGTTCTCGCAGTTTGTGCTGTTCACACAGACTTGGCTGATATACCTCCTCTGGGTGATCGGCGCACTCAGCACCACCCAACTCAGGGCAGTGCTGGCCGCTCAGATGGTGAGTGGACGGTGGGAGCTGGGAGTTTTGGGCGCTCAACTCAGGGAGTTGCTGAGAGGGGGGGGGGGTGATAAGCAGTGAGTTTGTGATGGGTAAGCTAGACTAGGTAGTTACAGTTTAGTTCAGCGTTATGCTCGTGGTTCAAGTGGTCAAATGGGCTAAACTGTGATTGATTTATACGAAGATATTGAAACAAGAGTTGTTTTACGTGGTTTCTTTTTAAGAAAGTTGGCGGAAGTCTATCTTTAACTTCTACCACCAGACTTCCTTCACCAGTCGTGCCCTCCAGCTGTAGACGAGTCCCAGCTGTTCGATAACGTGCCTCCTTCTCTCTTTCAGTTATGTTCTCGGCTATTCGATAACGTACAACCCCTTCCCCCTCCTCCCCTCAGGTGGGTCTGCTGACGGCATTTGGCCTGCTGCTGTTCGGTAACTGGTCTCCTCTCTGCCCCTCAGGTTGGTCTGCTGACGGCGTTCGGCCTGCTGTTCGGTAACTGACCCCCCCCCCCTCTCTGCCCCTCAGGTCGGCCTGCTGACGGCATTTGGCCTGCTGTTCGGTAACTGATTCCTCCCCCCCCCTCTGCCCCTCAGGTTGGTCTGCTGACGGCGTTCGGCCTGCTGTTCGGTAACCGGATGCTGGTGTGCTCGCCGCTGTCGGCCGCCGTGCTGGCCATGCTGCTGCTGCTGCTGACGCTGGAGGACCTGCTGCAGCAGCTGCCGGCGCTGGCCGGTGCGCTGGCCCGTCTCGGCCTGGCGCTGGTCGGCACCATTGGCGTCCGGCTGGAGCTCTCTCACCTGCTGCAGGACCAGCCGGATGATGTGAGTAGTTATATCTGAATAAATAACATAGAACTGTCAGGATCGGTGTGTGTGTGGGGGGGGGGGGGGGGCAGTCCCACCTGCTGCAGGACCAGCCGGACGATGTGAGTACTGAGTAGGCTGGAAAGGTGGCATATTCTGCCGCAGGACTAGCCAGACGACGTGAGTACTGAGTAGTCAGAGCTGTGAGTACGGCGCCAGCCCGATGAGCTGAGTAGAACTGGGGAGATTTCACTTACTGCAGGATCAGTCCGATAATGTTAGCCGTCGGTGATGGGCTGTGGTTTCCAGATCAACTGCAAAGCCAGCGGGACGATGCGAGCTCCAGGTAGGTCGATCGGGACAAGAGTATTAATTTTTGTGAAATGGTGTCAGGACTGGGACTCACGTGGCCCTGCAACTGATGATACAAAGCTGCTCGAAAAAAATGTGTGCTAATGAATGAGGGAACGTCGACTTTTCTCCACTGTGCCAGTGTTTTTCCGGCGTGACATGTTCCTCCGTCTGCCGTTCCAGTCGCACATCTGGAACATTTTGCGCGCCAAGCTGGGCAAGTACCGTGACTTCGACACGATGCTGTACACATGCGCTGCCGAGTTCGACTTTCTGCCGCCGGAGACGCTCACGCGGCTGTCGGCCACGCTGCTGATCCCGAGCGCTGTGCTGGGCGCCGGCCTGGCCGTCTCGCTGTGGGGCATGGGCGGCCGGCGGCCGGACCCGTCTCGCCGGCCGGCCGCCGCGCCCTCCAGCAGCGAGGAGGAGCCGGTCTCGGCCAGCCGGACGCCGGTCCGGCCGCGCCGGCGGCGCACCGTCTCGGGCGCGGCGCCCGGCCCGTCGCTGGTGCTGGCCTGGCTGGCGGAGGCGCGCGGCCGGCTGCGCCAGGACCTGGACGTGGCGTACACCCTGCTGCAGCTGACCGTGTTCGCCGTCATGGCCCTGATGGTGATGAGACTGAAGCTCTTCCTGACGCCGATGCTGTGCGTGGCGACGGCGCTGCTCGCTTCCAGGAAGGTAGGTGGGACGGGGGAGGCTGATAGCGGAGGGGGAGGGGGAGGAGGCGCTAGGACTTAGGAGGTAAGTGCAGGATGGGGCACGCACCGTGTGGTGGGTCTGGCTTTGCATTACGATGGATTGATTGTACTAGCGAAATATCATGTAAGAAAACTTTGGTGGTTCGGGCACGCACGAAGAGACGTCATAATGTCTCGATCGAAGACATGGGGTCTCTTTTTGGTGTCTCCGTGACTATCTACTGGTTAGAATGTCTTACCGACCCGATTTCAGTGCAATCTCTGCTCATGTTTCCTTGGAATGTTCGATTGACACACGGGGCCGCATTAAATGCGATTTCCTCTGCCGCGTTCCTCTTACTTTCGCTCTATAATGCATTGTTGGGCTGAACGATGAGGTAAAGACATTCCTATTGGACTTTCCTTGCCATGTGTTTGCATGAGTGTCGATTTCACTGGCTGATTTTATATGGTTTCCTAGTTACGAGTATATCATTGCCAGATCATTGATCATTGGCTCCCAGATCATATCATTGCCTGATAAGAAATCCTACAGCGCCCCCTGTATCTGCCGCCACCCGCGACATTATGTCCAGGCGTCGCTCCGCGTTACGTCGGCTAGGCCGCGAGTCTCCCGAGTATAAGGCTCTTAACCGCTCCGTCCGTGCCGCCTTACGCCGAGACCGCCGTCACGTCCTCCAAAACGAGATCAGCGAGCGTGGGGCAAACAAAGTCTGGCAAAGCATCAAATCAGTGATCGCTGGAAAGAAAGACTCCAAATATTCAGCCCGATCTGTCTCCCGACGATCTGAACTCTTTCTTCGTCTCTGTCGGGCCCTGCATTGCCGCCGAACTGAGTACCCAAAACAACGATACTGATCTAAATGTACGTCTACCCCGCGTCGGCACATGCAGCTTTAGGCCGAGGGCCATCACTCTCGGGGAACTCGGACTCACAGTGTTCAGCATGCGAAACTCTGCCGCGCGTGGCACTGACGGTATATGCATCCGCATGTTAAAAGTATGCTTCCAAACTATTGGCGACATCATTTTACACATCATTAACGTCTCAATCACCCGTTCCGACATTCCTGACCCCTGGAAACACTCTATCGTTCAACCGATCTTCAAGTCGGGCAACCCATCTGACCCCAGCAATTTCAGACCGATCTCCCTAGTTCCCGTAATCATGAAAATCATCGAGCGTGTAATCCATCAGCAGCTCTATCACTATCTCACCCATAACCACCTTCTTTCGTCTACCCAACACGGATTCCGCCCCCGACACTCCACTGAGACTGCACTGCTGTCAGTCACAGATAGCATCCTTGCCGCCACCGATAGGGGTGAGATCTCAATGCTATGCCTCATAGACCTTAGCAAATGTTTTGACGTCATTGACCATGAACTCCTTGTCAAAAAGCTCCAAATCTACGGTATTGAGACCTCCTGGTTTTCCGCTTATCTTCAGGGACACACGCAGAGTGTATCCCTGAAAGACAAAACCGGCCGTAAGATAACCTCTCGACCGCTCCCAAACACCGTAGGAGTTTTCCAGGGTTCGGCTTTGGGTCCCCTCCTCTTCACTATATTCTCCAACGACCTCTCACTATTTGCCGGAGACGCCACCGCTTATCAGTACGCAGACGACACCCAGATATTGGTGAGCGGCCCACGCAACGACATCAGGAGTCTCATCTCGCGCATGGAGGCATCGCTAGAGTCACTTAACGCATGGTTCTGCGCACACGCCCTGAAAGTCAACGCTTCTAAAACTCAACTGATGGTATTCGGTAGCCGACAAAACCTACGTAACCTGCCTCGCTTCAAAATCTCTTTCCGTGACGCTGAGCTCCTGCCGTGCGCGCAGGTGGGAAACCTGGGAGTTGTATTCGACGGCGCACTCACCTGGGAAGCACACGTGGCCGAGCTGAGCCGAGCTGAGCTACAACTCCTGGGTGTGGAGCTTCCTCAGAGACCGGCGGGCTTGTGTCGAGCTCAACGGAGCAAGGAGCGGCGAGCGCGTCTACAGGGCAGGGCTGCCCCAGGGCAGTGTTCTGTCCCCGACCTTGTTTTTGTTGTGGTCGGCTCCACTAGCGTCAACCCTCCGAGCCCTGCCGGGCACTACTCCGTACATGTTTGCGGACGACACCTCCACAGTCCACACTGTGCTCGGGTAACACGATTGAAGTCGCGCGGGAGCGGGCACAACGAGCGGCCGATACCCTGGTCAAGTGGGCCCGGGAGAACAAGATGCAGGTGGCGGGCCAGAAAACCCAGCTTCTAGTTCTGTCTCAGAGCCACCGGGACGCCGTCGGTTGCCGCATCCGTGTGGCGGGCCAGACGGTGGAAGGAGGCCCTGAACTGAAGTTACTCGGCGTAACGCTGGACAGGACTCTGGGGTTCGGCCCCCACTGCAGGAACCTCCGCCGCCGCGTCCGCCCTCGCATCTCTCAACTACGACGAATCACCGGTCGCAGCTGGGGCCTGGAGGAGAGACAACTCCGGGCCGTCGCCAACGGCTACGTTAGGGGAGCCATCGAACATGCGGCGGCCGCCTGGATGCCGGCGGCCGCCAGGACTAACATTGAAGTTCTGGAACGCGAGATGCGTGCCGCGGCCCGAGTCATAACGGGCTGCATCGGGTCGGCCCCCATCCACGGAGTAATGGCCGAAGCCGGCGTGGCCCCGGTCGCGGCGCGCCGCACAGCACTGGCGGCGAGGATGCTGGCGAAGGCCATGGCACTGCCCGAGGAGGACCCGCTACACCGACTGGCCGTGGCGGACCCACCGCGGCGCCTCAAGACCGTCTGCGGATGGCGCCAGTTGGGTCGGGAGGTGTGGCGGACCCTTGGAGTGGAGCCACCGGTGGAGCCGTTGCTCCCCGTGCGCCCCCCGCCCTGGCAACCGACCGGCAAGATCAGCTTTAACCTGGACATCGGAGCGGGGCTCCCAGCCGGAGCTGCCGCCTCCACGAAGAAGGAAGCCGCCCTACACCACCTGGCGTCCCTGACCCAATGTGCGACCTGGGTGTGGACCGACGGGTCGGCGACTGGAGGCGTTCTCTGTGGAGGGGCCGGCGCGCTGGTCGTCCACGCCGATGATGACCGCACTGAGCTGAAGAGGCCCGCAGGAGCGCTCTGTTCCAGCTTCTGGGCGGAGATGCTGGCCATCGCAATGACCCTGGAACATCTGGCGACACACCCTCGTGACGACACACTGCCAATAATAATCTGCACCGACTCACAGTCTGCCCTGGCTGCACTGAGAGAGGGGCCTTCGGCCCAGAGGACGGTCCAGGGGGCGGAGATATGGAGCCGCCTGCTGGAAATCGCCACACCGGACCGCCACGTGACGCTGCAGTGGGTCCCATCGCATTGTGGGATCCCAGGCAACGAGGCGGCGGACGTGCTGGCGGGGGAGGCGGCGGCGCTGGATCAAGAAATCGCCTCCATCGACGTCAACACCGTCTACAAGGCTGCGGCCCGTCTAGCCAAGGACCAGGCGGCCAGGGACAGACCGTCATACCCAGACCCGACACGCAGAGCGGCGACCGGCTGGTACCGGGAGCTGATGGGTACGAGATACCCGCCCCCGGTCTCCGGCCTGGATCGGCGGACAGCCATCGATGTCCACCAGATCCGGACTGGCCACTGGAGTGGATCGACCCAGTTCCTGCACTCCATCGGCCGGAGCCCCTCAGCCGCCTGCGCCCAATGCCGGGACCTGCTATGCGAGGCCGCCCGGTGCCCGCTGTGCGGCGAAGAGGCGGACACCCCCCGGCACATCCTGCTCACGTGCCCGGGCCTGATGGGTGTTCGCCTCAAAATCCCGGCCGTAGGGAACATCCTACCAACACCCGACGAGGTCTGGCGCAGTGACGTGGTGGCGGCCCTGGTGGCCGCCTTCAGGGCCCTCCAGAGCCGATGAGGCTACGCCGCGGGGCCACCCGCGGCCGGAGGGAAAATCAACAACAACAAGCTGAGCCGTCGCTGCATGGGCGTACTGATCGGCCTCTCCCACGCACGACACTGCCTCCCAGACGGTATCCTCAAAACGATCGTGACTGCACTCGTCATCTCGCGCGTCCAGTACTGCCTCACTGTATATGGAAATGGCTCCCAGAAAAACTTCGACCGACTTCAAAAAATTCTAAACTTTGCAGCACGGGTCATATTCGGCCGCCGGAAATTCGATCACGTCTCTGGCCTCCGCGATTCACTCGGATGGATGCCTCCGAAAGCTATGGCCGATGTTAAAACCATGGTAACTGCGCAGAAAATAATAAGCAACGGCGAGCCCGAAGCACTAGCTGCCATCTTCATGAATAACAGTGACGCGCGAGAGAGGTCCACTCGACAGGACCACCTTTTCCACCTTCCACGCTCGCGGCTCGAGACTGGCAAGCGACGATTCGGCTACCGGGCCGCGGCGCTACTAAACAGTCTGCCTCCCGGTGTCATCGAACAGCGCCCCGCCCCATTCGCCCGTGCGGCCAAGGCTGCAGTCTGTCCGGCGATGGCGACCGCCCGACAATGACCCGTGTCAGAGGAAGGAGGTGCGACATCCGTGTGCGGTGTGCTGTCTTGAATCGTCCGTTTGTATATAGAGAGAGCGAATGTCCAGCGATTGAATCTGTATGCCTGTGTTTCTTGTCCCCGCATGTTTTTGTTTGTGCCCGACTCAGACTCTGGACTGTAATCGCCACGCCCCGCGTGGATTGTCCATGAAGGTAATACAATACAATACAATACAATACAATACAGATCACTATTTCACAATTTCTTCACAACTCGTGCGGTATTATTCCAATGCTATTCCGACCACTGTTCTAATTCATTGACCTATCTTCTATGTTTTCAGTTTGTACACTTTATCCAGCTGAAGCGGACACATCTATGTATCCTGGCTGTGCTGGTGAGCGGCATGGCTGTCAGGGGAGTGAAAAACATCCAGGAGCAGCACAATATAGTGGGTGAGTCGTGGGGTGAGACGTAGTTCATGGGCTTTGCCGCATTAGCGTGCAGTGTTAGGATTAGTAGGGGTGCCGGAAGTAAACTGCACAGGGTGTTTTTATAGTTGTCATTGAAGACATTTCCTTCACTCAGTTCACTGGCGAAATATACGTTCAAAGTTCAACATACCTCAGCGGCTAGCTGGCGCCCGGTATTCCCGGTATAAGGCCTAGTCTTTTCTAGATTTGAGCTGCTTTCAGTGAACAAGCAGGCCGAACCACATGTCTCCCCAAACGATTACATGATCCTCGATCTCGCTTCCCTTATTTTCCCCCCATGCGAGTACCAGATATTACATTCTGACCTTTTCCTCGCGTCTGTGTCCGACGAATACCAGACCTCGGACCTTCCCCCTCTCCACTTATCTCACACCCGTTCCATGCTTCTATCCTCAGGATACGGAAATCCTTCTCCTCCCGCCGCAACCCCCCTCCGGGCTGGACAGGCAACTTTATCTCATGCGGGCTGCTCCCTTGGAGCGGCACCGCTGCTCCCGAGGGAGCGCACCCCGTAGCCGGGTGCAGTGAGTACCTTGGGGCTGGTCGGCCTGTCCTTCGGGATGGACTCAGCCCCGGTGACTCACTAGGGTGCCTGCCCAGACCAATGTCTCCCCCTAATTCCTATCATCCTTCCGGCTCTGAAATGGTCTAATTGGACCGAAAGGGCCTAACCCAACAAAACAAACAAACAAACCACTTATCTCCTCGGTCGATAACCAGACCCATGACCCTCGTGTTTTCCCTCAGGCGAGTATCAGAACCCGGAGTTGGAGGAGCTGCTGGAGTGGGTGCGCACCGACACGGCGCCCTCGGACACGTTCGCCGGACCCATGGCGCTCATGGCTACCGTGCTGCTGAGCACACGTCGGCCCGTGGTCAACCATCCGCACTACGAGTCGGCCGGCGCCAGGTCGGTAGAGGGAGTCAAACAGACTGTCCCCCGGGGTCAGTCAGCCGGGTCAAAGTCAGTGGAGGGTCGGTCAGGCGGTACCCCGCGTCAGTGGGGTCACAATCAGTGGGGTCAGTGTCATAAGGTCAATGGGAAGAGTTAGACGGTTCCACGGGCTACTAAGAAGGTCTACAGGTCAGTCAAACAGTCAAATGAGTCAGTTAAAGTCGGCCGCCGCCTAGTCGGTGAACGAGTCAGTTCAGTCGGTCTGTCAGTGCGGGGTCAGTGTACCGGCCCCGAGGTCAGTCAGCTGGGCAGAAGCAGGCACCTGCTTCTGCCCAGCCGACTGGTGCCTACCTGCCCCAGGTGGGGCTGGCTAGACCCTCAGCTGGGCCACTCAGGCCAGTCAGCAGGGCCAGTCGGGACGTCCGGTGGGTCAGCCAAGCTTAGGTCAATCAGATTTTTTTTTTATAAATTTAGTCCGAACCTTTTGATGGGAAGGATTCACAAGGACAGAGCCACCGCTAAGCGAAGCTTGTTGCGATGACCCTGCCCGCTACCCTCCGATCGCGCAATTCCAGTTCTATGGCAGAATTTAGAGTCCAAAGTTTAACGTGCGCACATAGCCGCGCACGGCCGGTCCCCTCACTGACTTCGCCTGGCTACGGCCTGCCACCAACCGCAACCATACCTGTCAGGAGGCCCATAAATGTCGAGCGCCCGTCGCGCTTCGAACCCGGACTGTTGTAACCGGGAACGCGTGCTCTCACCACGCGGAGTCCAACGCTCTACCAACTGAGCTACGGGACCGGCTAATTGTAGCTATCTCCGTGCTCAACTGCTCCGTGACTCAATGTCGCACAATATGAAAAGTAACCGTATATTTTTGTTCGTCGCCAAGTTTGTCTGGAGAGCATAATTGATGTTATGAATACGTAATTATTGGTGTGGAATCTGTGGGTTCCGTCTGTGCGTCCTTCTCGTCTTTGTGCGTCCGTGTCCCCTCATGTTATCTGACCTCCATTGCCTGTCACTTTTTCAGGGAGAGGACACGCCAGGTGTACCAGATATTCAGTCGCCGCAGCGCCAAGCAGGTGTACAAAACGCTGAAAAGGCTGCAGGTCGACTACGTCGTCCTTTACGAGCCCATGTGCTACGGCTCGCCAAAGTGAGTACAAATGTCCAAAACGGGCCCGAATGTGGCGAAGGTCATATTAAAGGGACTATCCCACCTTTAAAGGGACTATCCCACCTTCTAAAATGTTGTTAAAACCAGTTAAGTTGTGCCAGACTTTATAGATTGGATGACCAGGAACACGGTTCTGGCATTTATTTTTCATTTAACATCTTAGGCTTCCCATATTCCAAACAAAAACTTTCAAATATGTGACGTCACAGCCCAAAATTACCTCCTTCCCCAGGCCACATTACTGTCATAAAGCTGATTCTTTTTACTCTGTAGGCACCGCAACAAAGTTCAGACCAAGTTTAAAGCGATTTTTCAACGAACAAACCCATTTAAATCAGAATGACTAAACGAGGTGACGTCACACTAACGGTCGCTCCATGTTGAAGATAGGGCCTTGTACAAGGCCCATTTTCAAATGAAGGGAACGAATTTCTTCAACACCAAGAGGCCGCGGGGGTTGCAACCTAGATAGATAGTGGTTTCTGAACCTCGCCGCAAACTTGGCTATCTCAACTCAAACCCCATGTTAAAGGTGGGATAGTCCCTTTAACATGGGGTTTGAGTTGAGATAGCCAAGTTTGCGGCGAGGTTCAGAAACCACAATCTATCTAGGTTGCAACCCCCGCGGCCTCTTGGTGTTGAAGAAATTCGTTCCCTTCATTTGAAAATGGGCCTTGTACAAGGCCCTATCTTCAACATGGAGCGACCGTTAGTGTGACGTCACCTCGTTTAGTCATTCTGATTTAAATGGGTTTGTTCGTTGAAAAATCACTTAAAACTTGGTCTGAACTTTGTTGTGGTGCCTACAGAGTAAAAAGAATCAGCTTTATGACAGTAATGTGGCCTGGGGAAGGAGGTAATTTTGGGCTGTGACGTCACATATTTGAAAGTTTGTGTTTGGAATATGGGAAGCCTAAGATGTTAAATGAAAAATAAATGCCAGAACCGTGTTCCTGGTCATCCAATCTATAAAGTCGGGCACAATTTAACTGGTTTTAACAACATTTTAGAAGGTGGGATAGTCCCTTTAATGAAGGCCAATTGAATGTTTTCGCTGGGCTTTCTTCTCATTTTCTCTGCCAAAGGTTGGGTGTCTTAGCAGTCTCTATCAAAGTGATTTGCGTTTACATGTGTGCGTCCGTCTATGTGCGAGTCATTCTGTTTTAGCAAGCACGTAATTCGTGCTTTTGCTATGACCGATCAATTCAGTTAAAGTCACTGCATTGTAGCGTGTGCATTGGAGCGTAAGTGAATCAATTAACCCATTTATGCCCAGGAATATTGACCATCATGAAAATCGACGAAATCAAAATATGTTATGCTCCTACCAGGGCCTTGTATGGAATCGAAAATAATTTTTGCCTGCAGCAAAAGTTTCTCGAGAAAAACGTAAAAAACATGCGTTGCGAAATCGCAACGAAGGGCACACCGGGCGCCATCAGCGTTGCGAAAACGCAACGACGGGCACATCAGACGGACATAAAGTACACTGAACTGCCGTATATGCTAATATATTTTGACAAAACATCAATCAACTGTTGACAACTATTGCTTGAAAATGCGGAACCCACATCCGTCATGCTCTATAACCCGCCTAAGAGCCTCAGTGAGGAAGCATAACTTCATGATTCGCGAACGGGGAGATGGCAACATGGTCATTATCAACCATTTACGTTGTCCATTGCTGTTCATTTAAAGTTGTGGTCGACACGTATCCAGGGTGATGCTTTCTTTTTCGAAGCTAGACAGATCCATTACCTCCACCTATCAGACCCTGCACAGTGCACACTGAATACAATTAAACGGAGGATTGGGAGTAAACCAGTGCCTCTCGTATGCGCGTATATCCGCAATCATTTTTAACCACCCTCCTAGGAGTAAAGTTAAATTCCATTGTAGGTTAGTCGTACCCACTCTCAGCAAAAAGAAAAAAGGACCGATCCGGCTCTAACAAATTACCCGCGTAAGGCGTAGCGCATCACAACAAATCGACTCCCAGTTTATCATGTTTACACCTAATCCAAAATTTTCATGGCCCCACTCTCAGCGACCTTCACGTGTAACCTCTTTCTCGAGACAATGCCAGGACAGAATGGTGATTCGACGTCAATCCGTCCTTTCCATCTTCAGGATAGTTGAATCCTCCTCCACGCCTCATCCCCCTGTTCCGGGCTGGACCGGCAACGTATATCGCAATCGGGCAGCTCACATAGGAGCGCGCCTGTAGCCGGGTGCAGTGAGTGCTTGGGAGGGGGGGGGGGAAGGGGGTGGGTCATGGGTGGCGGCTGCCCACTGGCTGGGCTCAGTCTCCAGTCTACGATTGACCGTGTCCGGTCAGACAAATGTCTCCCCTAATTCCAATAATCCTGCTAGCTCTAAAAATGGTCTGATTAGATAAAAAGCCTATCAAAGTAAGAAAACAGGCGTATACTCCACATCAAGCAGCTTATGAATCTATGCGAGTTATGAATCCTAAAAATTATTATTTTCCCATGGGTCCGCCCTCATTACCCCTGCCGAAGGGCTCAGCTACCCTCAGAGGGGGCCTATCCCACTATTTGCCGACCCTCAGTTATCTTTTCTAACGTAAATGCTGGTAGTCAGCAGATTCTATCCAGAGAATGGCGATGCCTATCTGTCACCTGTCACCAGAATACATCCCCGTTATTCATTATTTATGCACAATGTACATAGTAGATCCAATTTCCAAAGGACCTAATTATCTCTCAGCTCCGTTAGCATCGCCGACCGCTTGATGCATGGGTCCTTTTCCTACCATGCGATTTTCAGATGCATGGGAACACATTGCTTAGTGAACGAACAGCCCGAGGCCGAAAATCTGCGAGAGAAAAAGAAAGGAGTGTTTGTGGCTGTTTGAGCCAGCAAATATGAAATGTGTCGCAACATTTTACGTGCGAACGCACCTTGCACTAAACATACCTATTACCTATATACGTCCCTCATGGCTAGGCGGCGGAGCGGGGGGAGGGGGCACCGGGGCACCGTGCCCCCTTGATTTTGCCATTTTAACATTATCCCGATAGGCGTTGCATGGAAATGGAAATGGAAAGAATGAGACCAAAAGTCAGCAGTGCTCCCCCCCCCCCCCTTAATTGAAGATGTTCCGCCGCTACAGCCTCATGGCTACAAAATGAGAGAGAGAGAAAGAAAGAGAGAGAGAGAAAGAAAGAGAGAGAGAGAAAGAGAGAGAGAGAGAGAGGGGGGGAGAGAGTTGGGGAACGAGGAGGAGAGGGAGGAAGATGGGGAGAGAAAGAGAGAACCCACAGCGCATCACGAGTGAAGTCTACTGTTGATATTCATACTTCCGCTACCCTGCCAATGTGCCCTTCGTTGCGTTCCCGCAACGCGACCGTAGTCATATTTGAAAATAGTCACAAACCCTTTTTGTAGCATTATTTCTTAACAAAATGCATATCTACGCTATTGTAGGGACTCTGCAGAATATGTTTACACAATTTTCATTACGATATTATTAAGCACTTAGCCTACTTATCTTGGTTTTCGTGACGTCATCACTCACAAAACCTTCGACTTCCCTCTGGGAGCTCTAGGCAGTAACTTTCCGGCCGCACAGACTTGTAACTGCGTAGTATCATGCGCACAACCATGCTACACACGCTGAAACTTGTCTCATCGGTTAGTCTCTTTTACACACTTCTCAAGCTTCGATCACGTCGACGCTTGCTTGCGTTGCGAAAACGCAACGAAGGGCGTAAATGGGTTAAGCATCGAATAATCTGGTCCCAAGGATTGAGCCGTATGTCATGCATAGTTTGTCAACGGAGTTCAGCTTGATGAAATGAAGTGACCAATAGATTCTATAGATGTATATCGAGTTGATTCAATTAATGATGCTCCAAAGTGGTTGAATTCATCGGCCTGGATTGTTGCTTGAGTGATGTATACTAGTGCTGGCCAGGCCCAATTTCGTTTTATAGCGACAATTGTGTCCCAATTGTGTCGGCCGCCGGATGATTACCATATGACAGTTGTCTGGGCGGCGACCGCCCAGTGTCCACAATTCCAGTGTCTGAACGGTGGCCAAAGTTCACCATGTGCTCCTGCTTCCAAAATGTGTGCTGCAGAAGGAACCCTTTCGTCCTCTAAAACATCCGCCTGAGTGGCCGACAGGCTCATATCCACACCATGACCTTTTCGACAATATTTCTCACCAGGCATTAATAGTCGACCTTTACCGTCTTTGAGTCCTGTGTCATCAGTGTGTGTCAGTATGTACCCGCTGTGACCGTGTACTCCCCGTCCCTACTGCAGGCCTGGCTATGTCATGGCCAACCCGTACCGTCTATATGCCAGGTGTCCATCTGCATAACCTCCCGTGCCCCCTGTGACCGTGTTCCTGCCCTTGCACGCCCGATTGTGCCATGGTCGACCTAGTCTGCTGTCGCTTTGTCTTGTGTCAGTCTGCTTGTGTATGCCGTATAGGTAGCTATCTACGCCCGCTGTAACCGTATACTCCCCGTCTGTACTGCTGGCCTGGCTATACCATTGTCGACCCGTACCGTCTCTGTACCCAGTCTCCCGTCTGTATAGCCATCCGTACTAGCTATGACCGTGTCCCCGCCCTTGCAGGCCCGGCTGTGCCATGGTCGATCTCTGGGACGTGACCGACCCGGACCAGCGCGGCCGGCCGCCCGTCTGCCGGCGCCTGATCGAGGGCGACCCGTCCCCTCTGCTGAGGGTGTTTGAGAACTCCCAGTACGTCGTACTCCGGGTACCGGCCAAGTACGTGGAGATTCCCGCTCCCAAACAGGGCGCATCATGAGACCGGGTGCGGGAGACGGCGACACGAGCTTCATTGCCAAACAGACTCCTTGCGGAGGTGTGCCCTGTGTCTCGGCGGTCGGACCGAGAGGCAGTTATTGGACGATGCCAGGGCGGTGCAGCTGCAGTGGGCACATCTGCTGGTAAGTCACACACCCCAGCCGAGCACAATAACCTCTGGAGAAGGAGTCTGATGTGTGTGTCAAACTGTGTTCCGAGCTTTCATGACAGCTACTTCGTGAATGATATCGTCGTGAGGTCGGTGGGTTCCATGAGTGCCCGTGTGGACTTTTAACCGACCGGTGACTTAGTGACTGTCAATTGTCAGTGAGCATGCAGAAGTGTTCACAGGGTGCAGCTGCCAGCTGTTCAACCCGACCAACGCCTCGCCTGTCGGTGAGATTAGTGAGATGGTGTGTGCGTGTCGGTGTTAATTGTGAGCTGACACGCAGCTTCTCACCGTCTGCCACGTCGGTTACTGCAGTCCCCAGCTGCCGACGGCTGCTGTCCGTACCTCGCCCGCTCGTGGTGGACAGCCGCGGCTGCTCACACCGTTCGGTTTCAGCGGTCACAGTAACCCAGTCCCGTGCGTCTGTCCTAGTCTGTCGGGGGGGGGGGGGGGGGAACTATGCCGGAGTTGTGAGATGTGGAATGGCTCGGTGGTTTGTACACTGGAAGGAGTGATGACTGATATGCGGAAGAAGGGAAAGGGGCGATCGCAGAAATGCGAAACTCATGCAGATACAGCATGCAAAGCAACTCTGCATCTTGAGGGATAGTGATTGATGTACTGGATCAATTCAATCCGGATATGGCACGAACTGCTGAACGACTATAACCGTATCAATGCGGAGGGAAAACTGAATCAAGTCAGATATGTTGGGAAGTGTGCAGTGTGTAATGCGGGATGGGTCGAGCCGCTACTGGGCTCACGGTTGGTTGCTTGTATTGATAGGGTGATAGGCGGGGCTGAATGGTTGTTCATTCCGGGATATTGTGTTCTCGGGCATTATCAGTGGGTCTGGGTGGAATTCCAGGCAACATGTGAGGCTCCTCCCGAATAATCGAATGTTATTGATAGGGGGCTGGTGGGGAACGCCATGTGATTACGGTTTGTAATAAACGGACAGCGAGCTGTATTGGACAAATGGAATCTTACGTTGGAGCTGAGCAATGACCAGATTCACACTACCTGTTCACCAATTTTTAAAGACTCGTATCTGTCGTGTTCTGAAAGGAAAAGACTCGCTCACTCAATTCTTTCGATCATTCTTATCGAGGCGACTTCGGTCTGTCGGTCTCCATCTCAAACAGGCTACCATTCGGAATGGCTGTGACTTTATAGTAGCGAATTCTGCGGAGCCGAATTGAATACTAATGAGTCCATTGACTTCTACAATAGGAACGGGTTTGGCTTTTTGCGCAATGTCTGACCTGGCGAGGCAGTTTTCCTACTACAAGCTTAGCAGATGTTGGATTTATTTCGGGACCAAGAGTGAAAAATAGGCACTGATGGCAATCGGCGAGAGCGATGAATTTCAAGTGAAGAGTACCGGCATTGCGTCAACTTACAGGTGTATAGAATGCGTCGCGTGTGTAGAGACCAGTGCGCGGTTTTGACAGACCCGCAGAAAACCGCGTTCCAAGCTCCGGCTGCGATAGGATTTTAAATTGGTGGCGCCGCGGTCGGTGGTAACGACATAAATCAGCGGTAGCTAATCGCTCTTCGCTTGAGGCACAACAGCTGTTAGATTAAACGTGACAAACAGCACACTTAATTTCATAATGTATTTTTAACGGACTTTTTACGTAACGTAACTGAAAACATATTCGCCGCCGAGTCGCAGACCTAGCGGCTCGGGACCAGCGACAACGGACTCGGAACATCACTTCACACATTGCGGTCATGGAGCACAATTACATGTCACGTAACTGAACAGGATGAGTCAATACATAACAGGATGACAATTGATAGCGCAGTGACGCGACATAAATAGCGGAACAACACTTGAACAAACTTACTAATCTATCACATCACATGAGATGAATTACAGCCACGTGGACGGTTTTGCCCAACCTAACGGCGTCTGGTAGCGAGCGCCGGGTTTTACCCAATCAGCATTCTTATCCTTACAAAATCGATCCAGGCATCCATCCCACTTCCAGCGCCGGACTTCTAGACCTGCACCCATCTCACTCGCCGCTCTACACCGGGCATCACCAGCCTGCGTCTCCAGCTACTGACTTCAGTCATCCGCCTCGAACGGGTCCGAGTCGTCTCCGTCGGAGGGCGCGCCGCCGGCCGGCCCGAACAGCTCCTGGGAGGGCTGTGCGCCGCTGACGGCCGTGCTGTCGGTCAGGTCGCTCTGCAGCTCGGTGTAGAGCCGCGGGGAGGCCGGTGTGGTAGGCGCACACAGCGGACTGGACGGCCCGGCGGCGCCCGGGGACGGCGAACGGCCGGCAGTGTCGGTCAGCAGCGGCGCGCCGGCCGGAGAGCGCAGCCACGGAGAGCGGGCGCCTCCCGCCGCTGGCCGGGCCGACTCAGAGTCAGAGTCGGCCTCCGACTCCTGCTGAGTCACCAGCGACTCGTCCGCCGCGGGGCTGGGCGGCTCGATATCGGCATTCTCGGCTAAAGCTGGGGATGGAGGATCCTCTGCCGCATCACCGTCCTCGGGCTTGTCCGGGACATCAAGTCCGGAGTCTGCTGGTGGCCCGTCACCTGCACCTCCACCGTCCGTGTGCTGGGTCTCCGACGCCTGCTGTCCGCTTTGATCCTCACGGAGGGCGTCCTCGTCAGACCTGGTAGTAACATTAGCAGGCTGAGATACACCATTCGTAGCAGACGGCGGTATCTCGGTACTAGCGGGATTCAACGGAACGACATTCTTCTTCGTTTTCTTCTTGGGGGCGAACGACGGCTTCAGACTCTGGGAAGTGCCCTGAACCGCTGGTGTCTTCTTTGGTGTTTTGGGTTTAGCGTTTGTTTTTGGTTTCTCGGAAACGTTTTCGGTGGACACCGCTGTGTTGGATTCCGTGGGTGCGGTTCCCTGAGATTGGGAAACAGACTCGCTTCCCAAAGCTGGCGTTTTCTTCGCCTTCTTTACTGAGAACGCCGGCTTTGTTTTCTCGGTCTTGTTTTCAGTGGCAGGTGTCTTCGGTTTCTTGGGCTTCGCAGGCTGCTTTGGTGTGGTCGTTTCACCTTCGCCGACAGGCTTCTTCTTGGATTTCGGCTTCGGCGTCACGCTCGTCTCTGGGGCGTCAGGGTTGCCTTCTGCGGGCGTCTTCTTGGGCTTCTTCTTCGGGGTCTTGGCAGCCTTTGGCACATCTGTCGCATCATTACCCACTTCTGTCATGTTCGATTTCTCCCCCGGTGGAACGTTCTCTTTAAAGTCATCCATGTCGTCTGACAGTGCTGTCTTTTTTGCCTTCTTCGCTTTGGGTGTCTCAGTAGGTTTTGGGGTTTCGGGCCCTCCAGGAACGGCCGATTTCTTCTGCTTCTTAGGTTTAGGAGTTTTGGTTTCTTCGCTCGCCTGGGCATCCACTCCTGCAGACTTCTTGGACTTCTTCGGCTTGCTCGTTCCGTTTCCCACCTCATCCAGTGGCTGGGACTTTTCCTTCTTGCTGGCCGGTTTCTTGGTCTTAGTTGCCGCCGCAGTATCGACTGGGGCTGGGGCGGCCTCGACTCGAGCGGGGGCGGGGGCGGTGGCGGTTCTGGGCTGCCCCGGCGGCCGCTCGGGCTCGGGCGATACCGCCTGCTCCACGTCCGACGCCCCGCTATCGGTGAACATTGGCGAGGCGTCGGCGCCACCTGTGGGCGAGAGTAGGACGTCAGCCTCCCGACTGGCCTCCAGGGGCCGGGGGCTGCCGCGGCCGACACGGAGCTCTGGCGAGCTGGAGAAAGCTGCGGTCAGTGGGGTGCACCATAAATCACAATAAATCGTCATGCGCTATCTACCATCTACACTACAGTCTGGTCAGTCCACGCATCGGTTAATGCACTGTGGCCGGTGTTTGTGAGCAACAGAGCAGAGACAACACCTCAAACCACCGCGCACAAAGGCACATACAGAAACCGGTCCGTCATTTATTCAAACGATGCGGCGCATGCACCTTCATTTACATTAGATATGATGTGATATGTTCCCCATGCAGTCGTTTGGTGTGCTTCGGAATCAGGTGCATGAGATAATCATGGGATGTATGAAGAAAATATGTTTGAGAAAAAGAACGAGTTTTACTGGTTGGGACTCGCGGTATCGCGAACCTCGAGCGCTGTCATGGAAAGAATGCTGAATGAATCCGGTTAAACACTGCTCGTGACTACCTCGTGACTTCGTTATTTTCACTAATATGCAACAGCAGCAACTTCTCAGTCCATTTTTGGCCACATTTTGTTGCATCGTATTCCGACCTACCGTCTGAAACAACTGAACTGTAAAACGTACCCACAAAATAACGAAATTGCGCTACCAGACCCAGCCCGGCCGCGGGCGGTTCATGGCTGGCGGTGTGCGGTTCACTGCCTATATCCCAGTCAGTGCTGCAGCTGCAGTGATATCGCCGGCGAAGTAGCTACTACAGGACGACTGTCCGCCCTGCTAAAGAAACTAGAAACGGCACGCCGTAAAACTGGATTAATAATAGGCCACATCACTCAGTTCAGGGGCCTCTATAGCGCGACGTCACACGTTATCTGACGTCGTCATGCAACGTGCAGACTGGACCCAGAACCGGATTATGGGAGGCAGCATAGGCCGTGTTCGAGTGTCCGTGATGGCCATGGCACATAATAGAGTTCGGGACACGACTGCCTGATCAGGCCGAGTGGTCGTCGCTGTAACCCATATGTCATCTCGTTTGGCTGCCGAGCTGGGGTGAGCTGGGGATGTCGGATACGCGGCTGGTGTTCTGAAGGAATCGTTTGCGGATGGCACTTTCATACAGCCAGCTGGGGCGACGACTTTTGTGTGTAAGCGAGTGGGTATAAGACCCTATTGAAGCTTCTTTACAGTCGCGGTGCTCCGGTAAGAACATCAGACTCCTTACCATGCCCGCGGCGCGCCTGTGACTGAGACTGTGACTGAGACTGCGACTGAGACTGGGACTGGGACTGCGACTGGGTGAGCTGCTGCACAATGTCGTCCACCACGTCCATCAGCGAGTTGACCGTCTCGTCGTCGCGTCCGGCGCTGCTGCCGGAGCTGCTGCTGCGGCTGCGGGGCCGGCGGACGGGCCGCGCGGCACCGCCGGCCGCCCGGTCCGCCTGCGGGGAGGTGGGGAGGGTCACACAGCGGTCATACTGACATCACACAGTGCAGTGGTCTGTCGGCGGAGCCGCAGCATACTCAGCGGCGGGTATCACACGTACAGGGTCCGTCTCAGTGAGATACCCTCCGTAACTCAGTGACATAGCAGTGACATACAACGCTACGAGTATATAGAGGTTCAGGTATATGTCATATGATCTTGTTCTTTTGTGGAGCAAATACCATAGCCCGCTGAGATCATGATATAATTGGAACGGCCATTCCTATTCCGAATGTTATTACATCGGGGATGGACTACCGAGACCCGTCCAGTAAATACGCACAGACCAGGAGCACGGCAGTAGGCCGGTTATATCCCACAGATCTCCCGCAGGACGTGTATCCTATCGTCCCGCCGCGCCGGTCTCTGACCGGGCCGGTCGGGTCGCCGCACAGGACCGACCAGTCCGATGTCCGGTGGGACGGTCACAGCGACCGGAACTGGACTGGTGTTCGGCTCCTGACAGCACTACGTAAGTACACAATCTTACGGATCTGCAATTTGGGTGCTGGCGTGCAACGCCATGAATACTTTATGTCAGTCGGCAAAATAGTCCGGCCATTGTTTGCGATTGCTAGTCACGTAAAACAAATTCTTTTGCAGTCTTCCCGAAGTTCAAAATGCAAAACGCCCGAGCGGGTCGGCCCAAACAGGTTTAATGCATGGAGGAGCAATTTGGCCCAAGTTTTTAACAGTTACCGTCATGGCGCTCTACCTTGACACTGCTGTCAAATGTCACCCGACAGCGCGACTGCCGGGGTTGTCAACACTGACAGACGTGCTGTCAGATTTGAGTCACACACCGTATCACCATTCCGAGCCTCATAAACAGGCGACAAACCTGTGCAGCGAAGGTAAACAACAGCTGCACATAAACTTGGACTAAATGTTCGTTAACGGGCTAGCGCCGGACAGCGGCGAGACGGTCCTCCGAATAGCCGCGCCGCCGCCCGGGGCGGCCCCGCCGGCGGCGCGGCCCTCTCGGACGGGACGGGAGGGGACGGGAGACGCTTCCCCAGTGCGTGGGCGCTCGGCGCGCGCGGCGGAGGCGCGCTCCCGCGCGCCGAGAGGAGCGTCCGTCGGGTTCGATTTTTTTGTAGTGTCTGCCTCCGTGGGATAAGCACGCCGCTACGTTCCTGCGATCTACATCGGCACCGGTGACGTACCCTCTGGCCACGTATATGGCGGCACCCTGCAGTGTCATAAGTGTTTGTCTCCGTCTCTCTGGCCTCTGTAGCCGCCTCGCCCATGGGGTACACTGCCGGAGGCCGAGACGTGACGTGCTCCTAAGCAGTGCAGGTCAGTTATCCCCGGTAAATACCTCTCAGATGGGCGTCGTGCGTGGCGAGAGCTCGCCGTCTCCATGGGCGTGTGTCTCGCGCTTGACGTCGCGCAGAAGAGTCTACCAGCGAGAGGAGATTGGAGAGCGAAGTGCCGCGTTAAGCAGTTCCCTTCTGTGCAGTATCTGCCTGTGCAACGATGGAGCACGCCGCCTTAGGATACGCCATCACCGGTAAGATATCACCGGCGCACGCGACTACCTGTCCGTCGTTTAGGCCACCATCGCGGCCCAGGTGGCCCCTCTGAGCGCTGATCGCTCCATGCGCCGACAACCCATGCTTATTCGGGTAGCCGCTGATCGGCCCCTCTGCGCGCTGATCGCTCCACGCACTGACCGGCCCCTCTGAGCGCTGATCGCTCCACGCACTGACTGGCCCCTCTGAGCGCTGATCGCTCCACGCACTGACCGGCCCCTCTGAGCGCTGATCGCTCCACGCACTGACTGGCCCCTCTGAGCGCTGATCGCTCCACGCACTGACCGGCCCCTCTGAGCGCTGATCGCTCCACGCACTGACCGGCCCCTCTGAGCGCTGATCGCTCCACGCACTGACCGGCCCCCGAGCGCTGATCGCTCCACGCACTGACCGGCCCCTCTGAGCGCTGGTCGCTCCATGCACTGATCACCGGCCCCTCTGAGCCTGATCGCTCCACACGCTGACAGCCCGTACTTATTCGAGTAGCCGCTGACTGGCCCCTCTGAGCGCTGATCGCTCCACGCACTGACCGGCCCCTCTGAGCGCTGATCGCTCCACGCACTGACCGGCCCCTCTGAGCGCTGATCGCTCCACGCACTGACCGGCCCCTCCCTCTGAGCGCTGATCGCTCCACGCACTGACCGGCCCCTCTGAGCGCTGATCGCTCCACGCACTGACCGGCCCCTCTGAGCGCTGATCGCTCCACGCACTGACCGGCCCTGCTGAGCGCTGATCGCTCCACGCACTGACCGGCCCCTCTGAGCGCTGATCGCTCCACGCACGACTGCTCCCCGCCTAATTGGTCTGCACGCTCACAGACAGCCGCTGAACGGCCCGCCGGAGCGCTGACGGCTCCCCGCATAATGGTCTGCACGCTCACACCGACGCGCGCGCAAGCATGAATCGCTGACTGGCCCTATATAGCGCAACTGGCAGCCCGTCTGCACGAATGGAACTCTGACCCGTCCCATAGCATTGTCGGCTCACATACACTGGTAAACAGCGGTACGCACGAATGGATCGAACGCACGCTGACCACCGCATGCGACCACGTACGGCCCGTACGCATCAGGTGACCGCGCGTACGCTAACCACGTGGCCTGGCCCAGCAGTCCTGACGTCACACCGCCCGCAAAGAACGGGGTCACGGGGTCGAACGGCGGTGGGCGAACGTGTGGTGCGGTTGACACCTGACCGTCCATTGTTTACTTTCCCGCCCGACTGGTGTTTGACCGTGGGTTGTTTTCGCGCTCTCCGCACCGGTCACCCTAGCGTTATCGTACCCATAATACCGCTGGTGACGTTCCCGGCGAGGCCGCCATGTCGCCAACGCCCCCCCCCCCCCGATACTGGCGTCTCAGTGGACCTAAGCGCCTTCATCCCACTCACAGGACTGCAAACAACGCCCCTAACTGACGGCCTGTTATCCTGGCCTACAGGACTCCGACCGCTCACCCCAACGGACAACACCGCAGCGCGGAGCGCGATCGGTGGCCCCTGGGCAGACGTGACAGGCCCGTGACCCCCTACAGCAATGCCCGCCCACCAGACGACCACCGGAGCTGACGCGCCGGCGGGCCCCCAGCCGGCCCCGGTACATACCAGCAACAACACGGGCCCACGGAGCCGGAGACCCACCGGCTTGCCCTGTGCCGACCGGCGACGGCCGGCGCCGCGGCCCCGCCCTCATGGGGAGGCGCGGCACACACCCCCGCCTACCCGGCGCTTGGAGGCGCGCCCAACTGGCCGGCGGCCGGAGGCGCGTCCAACTGGCCGGCGCCCGGGGGCGCGCCCAACTGGCCGGCGCCCGGGAATGAACAGTTCGCCGGCGTCGGCCCCACACCCACGGCCCAGGCCTACAACCGCCCGACCCCCGCGACCCAGCCGAGCGGCGCAGCCAGCACCGGGCACGGGCTGCCCCCACAAATGATCCAGCCCTATGACGAGTACCGACGCTCAGCCGGCGAGACTAGTGAGAGCGTAGCCGCGGCAGAACTAAAGGCACGCGAGCGAGGGGTGGCGGCGGACCGCGCACAAGACCACCAGCAGCTACCGGTAGTGTCCTACGCGCAGCCGCCGGTACCCGCCCTCCAGCTAGCCGGGGTCAGCACCAAGGCCGCCCAGGACCTCCGCCACCGAGGCCGCTACGTCGCGGTCGACGACTCGGGGGATGAAGTAGGGGGCCCGCTGACGACCACCGCCCACTATTTGGCCCGGGTAGCCGAACTGCTGGCTCACAGAGCCTACCATTTCCCGGTGGCGGGGCTCCAGCTGACAAGTTACATGGCGTGGCTGCTGCGTACTTACGCCAACCGGCCCCTCGCCGAAACTCGGGCCGCCGACGCCAAAGCACGAGAGGCCATGGCGGCAAATCCGGGTATTCTGCACACAGCTCTCGACTGGGACGTGCTGTGCCGGCCTGGCATAACACCAATTAGCCACAGTGTGGAGACCAGGAAGCCGCAGCGGGTAATCATCTGCCAGACTTCCTGGCCGGTCGCTACTTTCATGCCAATTCATTAACTTTTTTGAAGGTGGGAGGGTCCCCCTGCAGGACCGCTCGTGAACTGAACATCACAGCCGCTCGGTATGGCCCACACAAAGCCATCGCAATTTGACGTGGCTCTGCCGGCACGGGGCCGCTGACCGGTGCTCGCGCTGACGTCACATCGCGTCACCAACTTCACTGGCAAGCCCACTCATGCCTTAGTTCTGACGTTGTCACACCACCGCCAATTGACCCGTTCCAACGCACACCCCCGCCGGCCGGGAGCACGCTGACGTTCCATCGTGGCTGCCGACCCAGGTGTAAATGCATCCCGCTGGCAGGTAATTGCGTTAAAGACCCACTCCGCGTGTGTCCATTGTAAGACGACACCCACCCGCGCTCTCCGGCTCCGACAGCGGACAGCGCAGTTCCCCTCCCCTCCCCCATTGCCGACCTCCCGTTATCGGGACCAACAGCAAACACGCGCACCCCACCCGCGCACCACCAGCTGATAGTGCTCATGGCACGGGGAGACGAGCCAGAGGGCTGTTCACGGGCCCTGTGTGCGGTCGGACCGCACACAGCCTCCAAGCTCCGCCCACTGCGTCCCTACGTCAGCCTTCCGTCACCGCACACAGCGACCGCTGTGGCCGGTCGGGACCGGCCACAGGAATCCGTCCACCGCACGCAGCCGTGACGTCAGAGCCGCCTACCCATCCCCTACCCCCACGCCTTCTGGACGCACCGCACACACCGCACGCAGCAGTGTGCGGTGCCCGTGAACACCCCTCCGGCTCTGGCAGCCGCAATTGGCCGGGAGAATGGCGAAAGGGGCCCTAACATGATGTCGGTTCAGGTCGACCCGGGATCTGACGTAACCACACCGCTGACCGGTGCTCGCGCTGATGTCACATTGCGTCTGGCGAGCGCAGGGACGGCTCGTGATTTGATATCATACCACAGCCGCTCGGTATGACCCTGATATGGCGCCGACGCCAACTGATTCGGACTCTGACATTACAATACCGCCGACCGGTGCTCCCACTGACGTTATATTGCGTCTAACGACCACAGAATGATCTGTAACCCGATTCATAGCACAGACGCTCGGTATGGCCCCTGATTGGTATGATGACCGTATGTATGGCTTGGTATGACGAGCCAGCGCAGTTTATAATCGGATGCTGACGCCACACCACCGCCAATCTACCGTCTGACCGCACACCGAGCTCAGCTGGCTCGGCTCGGGCACCGGACGGCGTAGTCTCCCTCCCCATTACTGCCCCCCATATTGTCGGGGCCAACAGCAAACACGCGCTCTCCGGCCCAGCCGCAGTCTGCCGGAGGAGACAGCACAGTGCTGACTGCCCGAGACGCCACCCTCCCCACCAGTGGACCGTTGTTTGTGCTACGGGGCGCCCGCCCTCACCCGGCTGTGTTTGAATAGCACACTGCGGGCAACTATCGGCTCAGGTTCGACAACCACAGCCTCCGCGACGGGCCCAGTATGAGCCGCGACGCCCTTACCTCCCCTGTGCGCGCCCCCGCCCTCCACTGGGCGCTGACAAACTCCAACCAAGTGACAGAGGTGAGTCGACGCCCATTCTCCTAGTGTGTGATCAGTGCTGTTTGCCAACCAACCCTGCCTCCTGCCTGGCGTCTCGTGGCCGCGGCCTGGCCTGCCTGAGCAGGCCACTTTACGCCGCGTCCCTCCTGGAGCACCGATCACTATAATAACATTCTGTCCTGTCGGGTGTGATTGGCGTAAGGAATGGAGGAATGGACATAACGTGAGAGGGACGGCCGGCCGATCATCAGCCAATGTAACGTTCGAGCAGAGTCTGTGCGGCGCTATAGTTAACGGAAGATAACGTTGTTATATGTTCGTTAACGGGCTAGCGCCGGACAGCGGCGAGACGGTCCTCCGAATAGCCGCGCCGCCGCCCGGGGCGGCCCCGCCGGCGGCGCGGCCCTCTCGGACGGGACGGGAGGGGACGGGAGACGCTTCCCCAGTGCGTGGGCGCTCGGCGCGCGCGGCGGAGGCGCGCTCCCGCGCGCCGAGAGGAGCGTCCGTCGGGTTCGATTTTTTTTTTCTTTCTTTTTCAGCTCGTCGACCGTCCCTCTCACATCGCGTAAGGAATGGAGGAATGGACATAACGTGAGAGGGACGGCCGGCCGATCATCAGCCAATGTAACGTTCGAGCAGAGTCTGTGCGGCGCTATAGTTAACGGAAGATAACGTTGTTATAGTTCAGTGTTCCTTGATCCATATTCGTACATATACATGCATGTATAATGCATACGCCCGTACTAGCGTAAACACACGTCACACATGCATGCATACTATGAGTATGCACATTGCACACACTAGGTGGATAATAAATAATGCACAGCGCTGTAACAGCCGATATAATTGTCCCGCCGGCAACGGTGACCGGGCAGGGACACCGATATCGCATTCGCCACGACCCACCCACTCTACGCGTTCTCCAGATACAGCACGTAGCGTCTATTCTCGATTCCCAGTATCAGCCCGACTCTAAGTGGACTCGGTATCGCACCCGTACCGACCGTTCAGTTCGCGCCCGGTACCCACCTGTGCTCCGCGAGAGGTGGGCTTGGCACGGCGCCGGTCTCGACGCTTCTTGCGCGCGGCCGGCCTCCCTGGGAGAGGCGGTGGGGTCCGTCAGTTGGCACCGGTCACGGAGTACGGGCACACACCCCGCCCCTCCCCCCACCCACCAGGTGTGCAGCGGCAGCCGGTGGCAGCGGGCGGCAGCAGGACAAATATTTGGACGCATGGCAGGCTTGTGTAAATACGGCACAGCTATTACCGGCCGACGCGGCTTTTTCCGCGCCTTTGCCAAGCTTCTCACACTAGGTACTCCGCGAAGAACCGGCATTAGCTATAAAAACGTACCGCAGTACGTGACCCGCGTGAGGTGTCACCACCAGCTGGTCGATTCGTCCTCTCTGTACTTTCTCCCCGCCCTTATCATTCCCCCTGCAGACGTCTTCCCGCATACCGTCAGCACCGGTCGTGACACCGGTCGCAGCTCAAACACCCGCATCGCCCCCCCCCCCCCCCCCCCCTACGCCTCGGTACCTTACACAGTACACACATCCCAGTAGTGTCTCCCCTTACCCCTCCCCCTAGTGTCTCGAAGCGGCATCTACCCACCCCTCCATCCCCTCCCTTCCTGTCGACCCACCGTCGGGCAGGTGGCCGGTCTCGGCGTCGCTATCCGAGTAGATGGGCCACGGGCCCGGGTAGCGGGCCACGAACGTAAACCGACGCCGCCGCTCGGCCAGCGAGCAGCCGAGCGCCTCGCGCGCCTGTTCAGCGGCCGCCTCCAGCCGGGCGCGGTACTCGATACCGCGACACCGGGTCTGCGAAGGAACAGGTCAGGTCAAGTGCCAGCAGCCGGGTGCAATACTGGATACAGGGGCACAGCGTCTGTAGTCGCAAATGTCGTAATCCTGGCCATGTAACACCGACCCGTGCGTCAGACGAGCTTTTTGTATAAGACTGTATCTCATCGAGACGTGTCGTCGGGAAAAGGGTAAGGTGAGTCAAGCAGTGATGTATGTTTACGCAAGATGACAGGACAAAGGGACCATGAGACTGGGGCAGCGAGGCAGCAGAGTAAACGGTAAAAGACAAACAGAAGTGCGGAAAACAAGATAAAAATAGGACACAGGCTCATGGAGCCAAGCAGGACAGGTCACAATCATAAGTAAACACGGCAGGGGCTGACCGTCGCGCCACCCTACCAGCCGGTGGCGCCCCCGCAAACAATGGTCGTAGCAGGCGTTGCCGCATGGGGTCAGTTCTGGGTCCGACTCGTACAAAGGCGCGCAGAAAACACCCGCACAGCGACCGACAGGAGATGCGCGGAGGCCCGCGGCTCGGCCGACCTCTTGCCATCTGCCGCGCTGGTGGCGAGAAGCGCGAAAACGCACCGGTATTTGGTAACCAAAATATGGATTTTTCACTCCGATTTGGCGAGCGATTGGTCAGAAAAACCAGAATTGAGCCCTTCAGAGGGCCGGCTAGCTACGCCCTAGGCTGGAGGGAAGCTTAGAAGAACAACAATAACAACATGTCAGAATGGTGCGCCGAGCAGTGAGAACAGCCCTGACACAATGGCACACGGTGCACGGCTCGACACACCGGCCGGCCGCCGGCCCAAACATTGCCGCTCCACTTCCCCCGCGCGCCATCACGGTCAGGGACGAGTCGTCACAGTCTCACGGCTGGTGTGACAGCGCGGGACACTGGGGCACGGCACGGAGCGCGGATAGGGTCGGTGAGCCAGCCACAGGTGCTCCAGGGTACCCAGCTACATCGGGTGTTAAAATTGACACCTTTTTTAAACCCCACATCTGTTCTCCGGTGAATTTCCGGGAAGCACGAAAGATCTCTTTTTAGAAGTGTCCAATCGTCCGATCCTGATCAAATTTGTGTGTTTGCTCTGGCATTGCTTGATCTGCCAAGACAGACAAACTTGAGAAAAATCGAGTGACTGTACCTTTTTTGAAGGTTTCTAAACAACTTGTCTGAACTTCACGGGAGAACAAATGTGGGGTTTAAAAAAAGGTGTCGAAATATCAAATGACAACGAAATGAAGACATCTATTTTTGCGCTGTATGCAAGCTATCGATTTATATAGCAACATTACATAAGAGGGCATAAACTGATTTCTTATTGTAACTATGAGCTTGGCTCTAATCTCTACGACAGCTGTAGCCCAAACGCTGAAAGAAGCACACGTCATTTGCGGAAGTTACTAGACGTAAACCAGATAGCTCGAGATAAACCGGTTCCTTTGTGTCTCCACCTCACTGACGCTCTGTAAAAAGCGGTATCAGCCCGGCCAGACGTCCTCTCTCTGATCCTACGTTATCCCAGCTACCAGCTGCGCTCCGTCAGCCCCCGTTTCCCCGCCCCGCACTGACGCCTCACGGTCGTAGCCAGCCGATTCCAGGGCTCTCGCAGCTCAGTCAAGACGAGACCCGGGGAGGGGGGGGGGGGAGGCCCCAGCTCGTGCCATCCGCTCGGGGTATTCGTTGCGTCAGGAGACACATTGGGGTCACAGCTCTACTGGGCTGACGACAGTGCGAGACGGGACGGGGGAGGGACGGCGCAGGGACCGGGGAGAGGCGATGCAAGAAGGAGTGCGGGAGGGCAGGGATCAGAGATTATATGCGATTTTTTTCTGAAGTGGTGTGCTCGTTGAAAGTCGAAAGTCGTCGATACAATGAATTAGTTCTGACCACGATGACTATAAATAGTTCTGACGAGCTTCCTGGGATTCTTTCGAGCGTTTGCGGGGCAGCGAGCCATTGCCGAATAAGAATGACCAATAACCTTGATCATGCTTTGAAATCGAGGACAATAATTCTACAATCTTTTTAGGGATCAATAATTTTCAAAAATCAATCATTTTTAGGGAGTAGGATCAAAGACGCATGTATTTGAATAGAGCGGGCTGCTGTCAATGGTGAGTTGCATCTTCGTGTTCAAGGCTTCCTCAATGTTAAACGTCAATGTGTCCAACTGTCTATCACAAAACGTATTTTAATATGTGACCAATACATTTCTGCAGACGGACTGGACTAACGGTACGACTGTGGTCGAACGAACAGTCGCATTGCAGTTTATGCAATTCATCGGCGCCGACTATGCATAAGGACAATGGAATGAACAATGTAAATTTGCTTCCTTTGGAAGTTTGTGTGAGTGACCGACTGAGCAAGTGTGAAAAAAAAAACAAAGAGACATAGCCATACAGACAGACAGACAGACAGATAGACAGACAGATCTACAGACTGACCGACAGGCACACAGACGAGCAGAGATAGACATCACAGCGAGCTGAAGGCTTCTCGCAGACACCGGCGTCCCATGCCCCTCGAAAACGACCGAAGAACCTCCGCACAATTGTAATTTGTAACCCTGAATCGATCTCACTCCACTTAGCTCCACATCTTGTTTATTGCGCATTCTACATACTTGCCACTTGCGCATTCTATCGACGGACATGCGCAATGCACACAGCACATCCACACGAGCCACCGCCTGATCTGACCAGCCTGACCGTCTCGGAATCCGTCGGCCCCGCCACTGACCTTTCCTCGCGTGGTGGGCTGGTCGCCCGTCTCGAACTTCTTCACCTGACTGGGGGTGACCCAGGCTCGGGTCACCGGCTGGGAGGCCGCGTCCAGGAACGCCACGTGGTAGTGGGTCTGTGAGAGGAGGAGAGGGCGGTCAGTACGGGGGTAGAGGTGACCCACATGAGGCTTGTCGGCTAGGGGCTCGGATGTCGTGCCTTATCGCGGCGCTCAGATCGGATATCACGCAGCTCGGCGGCGGTGACGGGCAGAGAGAAATGGGAGGAGAGAGGGAGTTAGGGATAGAGGAGGAGGAGGGATGGAGGAAGAGATAAAAGGAGAGAGGAGCATGAAGAAGGAAGGCGAGGGAGCGAGGCTCCACCACTCACAGCACGCACTGCCCTGGGCGATCACGCCTTTACATGACTGCTCTAACCTATCTCGCAACTTCCCTGGTTGCTCCTCAGCCATGGCATGCCCTGCGTTCACGTAATGTTAAGCCCGTGTGACACTCCACGTCCACACTTATGACACCGTCCCTCCCTCCCCCCTCACCCCCCAGGCGCGGCGGCAGGCGCCGTGTCGTCGGAAGCGGTGCGTGTGAAAGTCAGCAGCCTGTGACGAGCACACCGCCACCCCATGGATGATATAACACCCCATGGATTATTATCTCATCCATGGCCACCCCACACCGAGCGCAGAACTGACAGCCCGTGTATCACGTGCCGCCCTCACTCCCTCCTCCGACCACTGACCGGCGTCTCTGAGAATCCATCCAGCCAGAAAAAGTCCTCCGTGTCGGGGTCATCGTCGACGATGGCCGGCCACCAGGGGAACCCGGCCAGGCGCGCCCAGACCACCGAGCCGACCGTGTAGCGGACGGCCACCAGGCGAGGGAACGCCGAGTTGGGGATGTGCTCCTGCGGCGCCGAGCACCAGCCGTACTGGCTATCTGTGGACAGAGAACAGGAGTGTTCTTACTGGGTATCTGTGGACACTGGAGTGAGCGGCAGCGTTATACCAGCCGTAGTGGGTATATTTGAACAGGGAACGGCGGTGTTACACCAGCCGTACTAGATATCTGCAGACGGGGAGCGGCAGTGTTACACCGCCTACACGACTGACAAGTCTGTGTTCAGCTTTGGTAGGCACATAATAAACAAAGTAGTAAGATACTCTATCATTTTCACTCGCTGCGGTTATTCTTTACAACGATGCATGACCCTGTACTCTCGGCCGGTCAGCGTGACCCATCGCCGGTCCACTCCATCCACGGAGTGGACGGGCACGGAGTTCACGGTCCCGCCCTCATTCGGACAGCGGTTACTCGCCGTGCTTATTACGTCATTCATGGTTCCGCTCTCAGCCGGCACAGCACAGTCATGTCCTTACCACCGTGCATGGTTCCGTCAGTACAGCACACTGGCCGTGCCCGCTTACCGCTGTTCATGGTGCAGTGCCAGACCTGCGGCAGCTGACACGGGTCCTGCACGCCAGCCAAGTAGCGCCACTTGCCGCAGTCGATGTGCGAGCATTGCACCCACGTACCGCACGTGCGACGAGCCTGCAGAGCCAGCAGCCGGGCCTACAGGGAGGCACCGAGATGGGGAGGCGTGACTGAGTGGACACCGGTTGCACACGGGGCGAGGCATGTCGGGAACAATTGATGCAAGTTACCGTCTTCGCCACTTGACGCATTACCGGCACCTGAATGAACGTAAGGGTCACAGACAAAGTGACAGAGAAAATGATGCAGCTGTACTTTCATATACTGCTTCTTTATAATAGACAAACGTCAGCTGGTGCCGCTAAGTTATGGGTAGGTATTCAGAACGTTACGACAACGGCCGTTAAATCTGAACGACATATAGGCGAAGCATTGTTTTCTATGCATAACAAGTAACAACTGAAACATTTTCAGCAACGTCACTGAAGAGCTAACGCAGCAGCTTTGACCGCCGAAACGAACATCACCGCAAAACCGCGGGCATTTGGCTCAAATAAACACGCGGATAGAACAAAAAGAGCAGTCTACAGAGAGAGCGTCTGTAGAGGGCGTTGCACCGCCATAGCACAAGCCCAGTGCCGTCGGTACCGTTTACAATAGTATAAACTAAAACCAATCGGTTCCGATAGATATGCGAACAGTCCACGTTGCCGATAGATTCACGTTGGATCTGTGTGACGCAGAGAGAGAAGGCTATCTGGAAGGCTGAAACTCGGAGAACGAGCAGCGCCGCTGGAACTCGTTATGTCGTCAGCTTGCTATCCGGCGAGGAAAACTGGTAAATTGACAGGCATGACGGGCCTGCATATTATTCCTCAGCAGCATAATAGCATGTGCGATCTAACAGAGACCGTCATTGCATTCGTGTTCAAAACAAGCACGAGACCTCGGCAGGTTAAAAAGGAAGCCAGAGTCGGCCAAAGTTCCGTTTCAGCATATTGCAATGGCCGTGAACTGTGAGCCGTCCAAACAGGTCTGAATACGGGGTAAGCGCAGCGTCCTAAAACATAAATAGCGTCAGCATGCGGCCTGCAGGCAAAGGGTCAACACATGAATTCCGTTGAGTGGTAACTCCGCGTCCCGCGATGCACCAAAAGTGACAGCATAAGAATGCGCCGCATAAACATGCTTCTCAAAAAAGAAAAAAAGGAAACTTTCAGGAAAGTTTCAACGGTAAAAAGAAGGATGATCGTACCCTTCCTCTCAAACCGACGCCATCCCTTAGCATTTCCGCGTTTCACCTTCAATCTTCGCCTGTCCGAACTCCTTCACACCAAACGTCACAGCAACCTACAGCGTCACCGCCCATACCCCATACCCCGCGCCAGTGATAGTGACATGTCATCCCAAATAACAATCCCTGGGCACGGAGCGCCGCGGGCGCGGGGTGGGACGGACGGTAGCCGGGGGCAACGACCGCCGCGGGGCGGGGGCGGGGGGCGGTGACCGGCCGCGGCCTCACGCGCTGGACGAGCGGAGCCAGTGGGTCAGCAGGACAGAAACTGAAGTCCTGCCAGCGGCGACCGGATGGCGTGACGCCACTCGCACAGACGTGCATGATGCAACGAACCAATGCCGTGCACGCCACGGTCGAACGACCGGCGGACCGGCGCCAGACGATCGCTGGACTAACGGCAGGCCAGCGGCAGGGGACCGTCAGGAACTAATGTTCATGGAGCTGCAGCCCCGTCCGGTCCGATCGGCAGCACTTCCTGGCAGCGCGGTTATCGGGGATTGGAGCGTTGCCTGCAGCGGCTGCAGTGGGGCCATTTTGGGGACTGGAGGCGGCCGCCGTCCGCCGGGACACGGTCAAAGACAATGACCGCTCCACAGCGGCAGTCAACATCGGACCTCTATATATCGGGAGCTACTGCAGTGGTCACTGGTTACTGACTCCTGTCAGTGTGTGTGGGTAACGCGGCAACCTAACCAAACGTGCGTGATCGCGTGTGTGGCTGTGTGCACTGTGCAATGTGCAGCGTGCACGCGTGCGTGCAGCCAAGCGCACCTGTGTGTGCGTACGCGCTTGTGGGTGTATGCACTATGGGCGTAACTGTGCATGGGGGATAGGTAATTGTATTTCACACTACGACGATGGATGGGACTTAAGCAGGTACATACCATACAAGATCACACGTTACTTTCCAAGGTCATGCTAAGTACAGTTATACCGCCGCGCCGCGGAAAGCTTGAAATGTCACTTTGACGTAAACGGTCTATTTTTGAAACGTAATTTCGATTGTTAAAAACACGCCAAATGCTATTCTTTTACTAAAAAGTGGGTCAGACAAACATCGCAGAATACAAAGAAAAAAAAACTCACCGCAATGCATAGCATGCAACAAATGACAGGCCTACCAGATGCTGCGATATTCCCTGCAAAACTGGTTTAATTCCTTTAGACCGTGATAAACTCCGTCGGCGTTTCGTGCAGTGCCCCTTAGCCGTTACACTCCTACAATGCCCGGTGATTATGTTGAACAGTAGGACATTTATCAGGGCCTACTGTATCCCCTTTAGCCCAGTGACCACTTTAGTCAGAACTCAGAACTGAATATACTTGGTTCTACTGGCGTTTGGAAACAAGGCCGAATGGCCCCCTATGCAGCGATTGCCGCGGTTGATTGCTGCTTAACTCACAGCTCACCGTTCATGAGTGCATTCGCCGAGAGTCGCCGTCAATCTACTAATGCGTGGTTCACACCGGATCCGTAATGACGCCGTAACCGTTACGGCCGTAATGAGCTAGATATTTCTCTAGATTCCCCAAGCATTGTGACTTTTCTAGACGAAGTTGAAATGTGGCAACCAGCCGCCGTAAACTGGCAGCGTCCACCGTACTCGTTACGGAACGTAACAGAAGTTGGGAAAATTGAACTTTTCGGCCCGACCGGCCGCCGTAATGACTTTTGTTGACATGTATCTCCAAAACGGTTTGACTGTTTGATGAGCGGTCTTCTTTGGAGAGGGGATGTATCCTTTCTTCATGGAACTGTGCTATCTATAAAACTCATGAGTGCCTGTTAGAGCGCGTGCCACGTGCGACGTGAGAGGTTCCAGAAGAGCTCGTCATTTCAGAACTCGGGAACGGCTGAAGCGATACAGCTCAAAATTTGTTTGTTGTTTTGGCTGGGTACACACTACACATTCGGTGACCTTTGAACGGTTTTGAATTCTGGCTTCAGCGCGTGCGCACGTGCACACCCCTTTTTAATATCTCGGGATCTGCTGGGCCGATAGCGCTCATATTTTGTATGCTAGAGGACACCATGTAAATATGAATATTGCATAGGTTGGCAAAGACATTAGTATGCACGTGCGCACGTGCGGACCCCTTTTTAGTATGTGGGATCCGCTGGTCCGATAGCGCTCATATTAAGTATGGTGAAAAGCACTATGTTTTTAAGCATATTGCACGGGCTGGCAAAGATATTGATTTGCACGTGCGCACGTGCGTACCCCTTTTTCATATCTGTGGATCGGCTGGGCCGTTAGCGCTCATATGTTGTATGCTGAATAGCACCATGTTTATAAGCAGATTGCACGGGTTGGCAAAGGCATTGATTTGCACGTGCGCACGTGCGTACCCCTTTTTCATATCAGTGGATCGGCTAATAGCTCTCATATTTTGTATGCTGAATAGCACCATGTTTATAAGTAGATTGCACGGGCTGGCAAAGACATTGATTTGCACGTGCGCACGTGCGTACCCCTTTTTCATATTTTTGGATCCGCTGGGCCGATAACGCTCATATTAAATGCCGAATGACACCATGCTGACCTGCAGATTGTACTGGTCAGCGATGGTATAGGCTAGCACGTGCGCACGTGCGCACCCTTTTTCCATAACCACAGATCGGTTGGGCCGATAGAGCTTATATTAAGTATGCTGAATAACATCATGCATATAAGTAGACTTCACAGGTCAGCGAGCGTATTAGTCTGCACACGTGCGCGTGCTTACCCCTTTTTAATGACATGTTCTGATTGCTGGGGATTGCATCTTTGGTAGGTTAAGCCAAGGTATCGCCGAGCAGTTATGAAGCTTCCAAATGTTGACGAGGGCAGCGGTCTGCTCGTGCGCACGTGCGGACCCTTTGGACTTTTACCTTAGCTCGAATCAACCTGCCAATGATTATTATTTCTTGTGAGCATGCCCTCAGCGTGTAACGCTCACGGCTTACTTTGTATCTTGTATGTGGAGCTCTGAGTTTTGAGTTTCATGGAGTTCTGAGTAAACTTCACCGGCCATATTGCCCCTGCTACTTGCTAAATTTGATACTTGGACTTGTACATTAGGGTTGTTCAAAAAAACCGAATTTTGGAAAAGTATATGAGCTCATGGCTCATGTGGTGCGGTATTCTTTTCTGAGTCCAATGATGCCCTTTTTTCTGAAAAGTATTAACTGTTAGGGGCTCCTCAAACGGCTTAAAGAGGACCATGTTACGCCCGCCGACCGGCCGGTATCAATAAGGGCGAGAATTCGACGCCGCGCACGGGCGGCAGCGCCTTATCGGCACCGCGCGGCACGACATCTGCCGGGCGGCCGGCCGGGCGGTGGGAAGTTATAAGTGGGTGGTCTTTATCACGCGATCGGGGTGCGCTATCCCATGTTTTCGGGGCGGAAAGCTTCAGTGCAGCATCGGTGCGTCTGCCACGGTGGTCTGTGTCGATGGTACAGAAAATAACTCAAACAGAGCTCAGAAAAGACTGAATGATTCTGGGTAGTTGCCTCGAAACAATCCGTTTCAATAATACAGCTGCCTTCTTAACGTACTGTATCACTTGTTAATTCTTCAAAAAGCAAGCTCAGAGCAATGACAGACTTCTTTGCATTGCTGTTGACAATTCAAGCTGCTTTTGGACGGTGGCTCGCAGCCCCAATATGCTGCCGCGTAACTCTATTCCAACGACGAAACGGCAACTTAGCGAGAATTGAAAATTTAACGAAGTAGGTACAACAGGAGCTGGCAAGGCTCCTGCATTGGTCTATCCGTCATGAGTGACACACCGGGGTAATGTGTCACGTCAGGGCAGAGCTGTGTTCTGTGCCGGGTCTGGATTCGGGTCTTGATCAGCATCGGTGGGCACGGCCGCCCTGGCCGGACTGCCGGCGTCGCTTATGCTCGAAGGATTGGATAAACGGCGCTTGATTTATATGAGTAGGTACTCCGGCTAATGTCTCTACTCATGTCTCACTTCGTCACACTGTCAGGGTGGCCACCCTGTCATTCCCAGACATGTTATGTTTTCTTTCGACCTGCTAATCTAAGTTAAACCCTGGCGTCGATTCTGTTGCCCCAGCATCTGATATCAACGTATCTGAATAATGACATTGGTGACGCCTATGCTCGTCAAAGCCACCTCCAAACTTGGGCCGATGACTGTCGGGTCTCCTCTAAATTATGTCCTTGTGCATACTGCATTGCCAGCCCCTGCTGTACGTATATCGTGAATTTTCGATTCTCGCGAAGTTGCCGTTTCGCCGTTGGAATAAAGTTGCGCGGCAGCATATTGGGGGTGCGAACTACCGTCCAAAACTAACGTAAATTGTCAACAGCAGCAAAGAGGTGTGTTATTGCTCAGAGTTTGCTTTTTGAAGAATTAACAAGTGATACGGTACGTTAAGAAGGCAGCTGTATTCTTAAAAAGGATTGCTTCGAGGCAACTACCCAGAATCACTCACTCTTTTCTAGCTCTGTTTGACTTATTTGCTGTACCATCGACACAGACCACCCGGTGGCAGACGCACCGATGCTGCACTGAAACTTTCCGCCCCGAAAACAAGGGATAGCGCACCCCGATCGCGTGATAAAGACCACGCACTTAAAACTTCCCACCGCCCGCCCGGCCGCCCGGCAGATGTCGTGGCGCGCGGTGCCGATAAGGCGCTGCCGCCCGTGCGCGGCGTCGAATTCTCGCCCTTATTGACACCGGCCGGTCGGCGGGCGTAACATGGTCTTCTTTAAGCCGTTTGAGGAGCCCCTAACAGTTAATACTTTTCAGAAAAAAGGGCATCATTGGACGCAGAAAAGAATACCGCACCACATGAGCCATGAGCCCATATACTTTTCCAAAATTCGGTTTTTTTGAACAACCCTATTGTACATATTTGCAGACGTTTGAATCCACATTGACTCTTGGCAAGCCAATACGGCAAATGGTATACAACACAGATTCTGGCGTCCGTTGGTATTCCCATCACCCACGAATAGCAATAGCAAATAATGTAAAAAATAAACTTCAGCGTTGACGGGAATAGACATGCCCGCTTGTAATGCAAGAAATAATGCAAGAATATCCGTCCAGTGTTCTGCCCACCGGCGTTTAATTAACATTGATATAACTCGATACCACTGCAGACCGCTATGTCAGAGTGTAATGAACAAATTAAAAGGAAGAGAGTAAAACAAGTCAAATTCTGACGCTCTGATATTAAAAAACAGCTCCTGGCTTTAGTCCATTTTCCGCTTGCCTATAAACTTAATAGAGTTTTGGTGCACTTGATTCGAACGGTGACGCTCAGCGATGGCAATTCCCGGTGCACACCGAATCCGTAACCATTACGGCGTTACGGCGTCAAAAAATCGAACTACGCATGCGCGTTGCATTGTGCCCTCCACTTTCGAGATATTTTTTAATCGCCACCGTATTCATTACGGAACGTAACGGTCATTACGGATCCGGTGTGAACCACGCATAAGTGCAAGGAGCTGAACAAAGGGCTGTTTTCAGCACCTTAGTCACCAGCTCTGCATTGAACTCGAAGTTCGGTCACAGGGCCGACTGGTAGTGGAGCAGTCCAAAAAGCTCCACTCCACAAAGTTCCCCAGTGCTTGCTTCCAGAACCAGCTTTCAAGGACCAAGCTGTGAGGATGCACGCAGCCTTGCATTACCGACAATCCCGCCCACACCTCAGAACAAGCCGCCGGTGACTGCTGCCGGCCGAAAACAGACCCGTGTCGGTGTCGGGACCGGCTGGTAGGACGCAGGTCGGCACACCGTGGGCGGTGACGGACGGCGGGCAAACAACAGACGGCTCGGCCCAGCGGCGACTATCGCACCGAGCCGGGCCGGGCGACCGGCGGGCTTCGTATCGAGAGGGGCTGAGCTGGGCGAGAGAGACGGGAGCTGAGACTCAGCAGAGACAGAGGCTGAGATGCAGCACAGCCAAGATAAGCCGGCATGCATGAAGTTCGTCGCGGAGAGGAGAGATAAGCTCCGACCAGTGACTGCCTCGGCACAGACAACTGCAACTGCGACGAGATGAACTAGGTTTAGCACTGGGGAGCCGAAGATATTACTCAGAGAATACCTCAGCCTGCAGTTGGGTCGGGTGGCTTTGGGCGAGCCCAACACCTAGCGACGGTTGTAGAACGTTCAATGGCCCTCAAATCTTCATTCAACCCGCCCTTGCTTGACTGCCACAGGGCGGTAGGACGGCGCGTTCAACCGAAGGGAATACGATATACGACACCGCGGGCAGGGGACCGTGCTGTTTGCACCGCTCGTGACGTCATAATGACGTCAGCGGGACGGAGGGACGGACAGCGCTGACATTGCAGGGAGGGCCACAGCCGAGCCGCACGTGACGTAGCACACAGCCGTCCCCGCGGCTGGGCGGTGCACACGACGGGCACAGTCAGCTGTTGGGGCGATTACGCCGTGTCGGACCCGGCTGTGGAGCTGTGGAGCTGTGGAGCTGCTGGTTCGGCAGCGCCTCGTGATAATAGCCGTTTTGACGACGGGCTATCCGGCGAATGCACCTAATTTGACCAAATCTGCACCTAATCTCTTTTACTGCAAATATCTTTATTTTATAAATTTATTTCAGTTTTTTAATCGATGATGCTCTCTGTTAATATGACAAAGCAGGCATATAAGCAATTAGTGCAACCCTAGCTGATAGCTACTAAGAGACATACTGAACCTAATTTGACCAAATCTGCACCTAATCTGCACCAGATGTGTACCAGATGGCCGTCGTGAAAACGGCTACTGCTGCCACGTGAACGTGGCTTTGTTGTCTGATGTGGTGAGCGGCGTTTTAATCGATGTCTGTTATTTTGGGCAGCCGGCCGTGGCCGTGCCGACATGAGTCACCTAACGAGACAATCGGCACGACCCCGATCGGTCAGGTCAGAGCGGCCTGCGAACTTGGCACGGTGTAATGCCGGCTGTCAGCTCCACTGAGGCCGGCACGCCTCAGCACGCACACGCACACACGGCACGGCCTCGCGGCTGGCCTCGGAGGCCGCTCACACACACACATACCTTCTGGTCCTGGCGGGTGGCAGCGGCCTTTGTGCGCGAGCGGTCGGCGCCCGCAGAGCTGGATCCTGTGAACGAGGCCCAGATGACGCAAGGTTACAGAACGTCGGCGGTAGATGGACAAGTGGCGGTAGACAGTTACTGCCAGACAGTCACACATGTCACAAACATGGTCACAGTCAACAGTAGCCAGACGAGGGTCACAGTCACATGTGCTCGTATTATCACAGTCACACCAGCTGTAACTAGGTACAGCTGGGGTCACAGTAGCGTCACAGTCACAGCTGGGATCTCACAAAACTGCCAACCACAGGTGGGGCTACGGCCATAGCCTCTGTGCATTATACGGGCACGGCCCATGAGCCGGAGTCATCAACACGGTCTACGCTTTGTAGCCCGCCATGAGCGTGCTGCCAGTGGTGCCGGCGCCCAAACGGCGCGTCGGCTGACCCAGTTCGGGCAGCGTTATCCGCTGTGGAGCCGAGCCGCGCGCCCCGACTGGCGTGACGTATGCGGCGGCCGGCGCACGGCATTACACGCGGCCGGGGGCGGCGGGTACTGGGTGCTGGGTAGAAGATACTGCACAGTGCACACGGCAGTGATCACAGCTGCCGCAGCCGCGGGCCAATTGGAACCACGGGTGGGGAGTTCGCTTTGCATGACCGGTAATTGGCTACGGAATGTGAATAGACGTTGCAGGAGCGCTCTAACATGCTGCTGGAGAATAAAAGCAGCCTCAAAGTAGACCACAAGGCACATGTGTACGGTGTCTGTACTTGTATCTACCTACTCTTGGCTCTTACTCTTTGACACCTGCCCCGAAACCTTCTTGCAAACCATACGAAAAGTTCATCCAATCCGGAATTCAGTCACTCCCGTTTTTATCCGGTCTCCAGTTTCCCGGCACACCGTGCGTTCACACCTAGTGCCCGGCTCCGTCGGCGCCCGGCTATTACGACACGGCGCTGCGCCGGTCTCAGTGTCAGTCGTCGGGCGAGGTGAGGTGTCCGCCGCGCGGATCGTCGGGCACACGCACTGCGCACCAAGCGGCGACACTGAGCCAAATGTGACGCAACTGTGGCGTGCGCAAGCTCGGATACAACCCCCACCCTCACACACACCTGACAACAGTCAAGACATTAGTCGCCTGGCCTGCCAGTCGGTGCGGGAGAGACATCGATGGTGTCGTTCGCCTAACGCGGTTCGGCTCGGATATATCTTCCGTCCAGTGCAGTGGCGGCGGAACACCTTTCATTAACCCGCGACCGCCTGGGGGGGGGGGGGTCGGATCCGACCCCCCCCCCTCCGTTTTTCTTGAATAACTCATGAACCACTTTCGCTATCTACTTGAAACTTGGCATACCTTCTCCCCCATCAATTTGACGTCTCCTGTGCAATTTTTAAGAAAAAAATTATTTTCAAAATTTTTTGAGATATATCGATTTTAGTGATGTAACTACATGGCGTTTTTAGTCAAAAAGTGGTAAATGTTCAAAAAATCGCCAAAAATCAGGGTTTGAAACAAATTGTAAATTAAGGACATCAAAAGACGCAGCTCAACGAGTTCTTTAAAATGGCTATCTCGGATTTTCCATAAAATGCGTTTTTCACCCCTAAAAATTCAAAAAACTATATTTTTTGGAAAACAGCTAATAAAATCCAAAATTTTGGGAATTTCCAAAAAACCGGAATATATGTTGTAGAGCTCTATTAGAACATTTGATGTCCCAAATTTCAACTTTCTATCTTGATTTTTGACCCCCAAATTGTAAAAAATAGCTCCAACATGAATAGGGCATGGTGACGTCATAAGCATTTTCGTGAATTAGAGGCACTTCTGAACATCGCATGTGAAAACAAATGGCACCACTAGATTCCTGGGACAAAGCTCGTCTAGAACAGTGTATTTTTGTGTCAAAAATAAAAAGTTGAAAAATTGACCTTTTTTTCTTAGCCCTCGTTTAGTTATGTATAGAATAAACGATTTTTTATGCTTTCAATGCACACTTATCACCAGCACAGTGACTTGGGGTCACATATAACCATTACCATGGGATTCGGCGTGAAAAATAAGCCATAAAACATGTGTCGCACGCCCATGTAGCAGAAAGTGAAAACCGTGACCTTTCGTGACCTGACCTGACCTTGATCTGTACCTAGTATGACCCCAATACGCACATGGTACCTTCACTAGGCCTTTGAGGTCATTTTTGGTGAGTTTCGAGCAGCAGCTATCGATTCCGCTGTCCGTAGCCGATTCATGCAAAACCCCTGAATTTGACCTTTGACCTGACCTTGACCCGAAAGTTGACCTCAATCTTAAAATCTTAAGAGTGCTTTGGGAAGGTCTCGTAGAGCCCTTTCGAACGCCGCCTCGCGGGGCTCGATACGACCATTGGTTCTCGAGATAACAGGGGGGGTCGGATCCGACCCCCCCCCCCAGGCTGTCGTGGGTACGGAAATAGCCCAGGCGGTGCCGGTTTAAGGGGGGAGGCACTGCCGACTTCTGGTCCCATTTTTCCATGCAACTCCCATAGGGCTAATGTTTAGGCTCAGCATTACCTGGTTTTCTTGGATTCTTCCCTTTCGTTCTATTCATTCTATTCTATTCATTCTATTTCGTTCTATTCGTTCTATGTATGTACACAAAGCCAGGACGGTAGGATGAGAGGAGGGATATTGAAATAATAAGAGAGAGTATTGGGCTGATTCGACAATCGGCTGGCGGGCTGGGTCCCCCAGCATCTATGGCGATTGAACTTGTAAGGATCGGGCAAAGCACACGACTTTCCCGGTCGGTACAGCACAGCGCCGCTCGTCCGTCGCTAATGGAAGCGAGGCCAATGGCCACGCGTAGAAAAAAATGAGACCGGAAGCGTCACACGGCTCTGGTGGGTGCCAGACGCGGCGCAGCCACTGCTGACTCGCCACTTTCGCTACAGCTGCCAGCAGTGGGAGCTGTGCTGCCGGGTGGCCGGAGCTTCATCTTACCATGTCGTCACAGGGCATTCGTCACATGCAGATGCGCTCTCTCTAGACAGGGTTTCCCTTTGTACATAACTTTGGTGGAGGTAATTTCCCATATCATTCACCAAATAACCGTCAGAGCGGACGCATTTATAAATGTAGAAACGCGAAAGAGGACTCAAACAAACGTATCAGCAGGAGCTATCGTCAGTAGGAGCTTTAGTTTCATGCAATGGCTTGCACGAAACAATTGCAAGACCGTCGCACACTGGCGATGAAGCGTTCCGAGCAAAACTCACCACCATAGCCCTTTCAATCACTTCGCCCAAGCCAAAGATAGCGTTCGAATTCAGGAGAATCCCCGATACCAGCACAGCACACCATATCTTACCCTCCCAGTCCCTCAGCATTCCAAACTCCCGCACTATAACTACCAGACCCCTGCCGTTCCCACAGCCGCAGGCCTGCGGAGGGCCCGGCTTTCAGGGTCACCTACTCCACTATCCGCCGCACTGTCACAGCGAGTTTGACCGAGGTCGAGGCGTGCCAGAGGTTACAGCATTTCTTCTACGGACGGCGGAGGGGCGACTGCAGCTCTGTAATTGGACGTAAGCCGGGGAAACTGGTTGGCTCAACAGACTGAGAAAAACACCTAGTGCTTACTCTGGAGTCGGTAGTTTCGACGCGCCCCTAAATCCCAGCAAACAAACAGAAGTCTAGCAGTGTGTCAGTGGGCTGTAACAGCTGGGGCGCGTCAGTGCCGGTCTTCGTTATTAGATGATCCCACGATCTATTTGGGTCGGTCTTCCCTATTGCTGACCGTGTATGCATGGCCCAGTTCGACTCGATCTCTGAATACATACACAGAGGGTCTCCCGGTCAGGGCCGGCGGGTCCCCTTTTGTGAGCCTTATGAACTCGGCTTGGGCATGATCTCTGTATGGATTTTGCGGAGTGCTCGATGGCAGCAGTCAAGTTCAGGTGCTCCCTCCCAGCAACGCGCTATTTCTGGATGCGTTGCCCTATGTATAGGTCATTCTTTCTTATCTTGCACCAGCCTGGAGCGGATTATGGGCGGCTGGCCTGGATATGACTGGTAAATAATAGACTAGTAGGTAACATCCAAAATATACAACACAGCTCTGAGTAAGAAGCCAGCAGCGCATTGTTTAGCCTCCTTCGCCGGTTCAGCGGAAGTTTTAGCGTTTACCGGCGGCGGAGTGACACGGGCCTTGTTTACCATTCCACCTTGCAGCCGACTATCGATGCACGCCGACACGCTCGGCGGGGGCCGCTCGGCGCTCGGAATCTAAACAGGGGGCGGGGCGCCGGCTAAAGTGGGCACTGCACCTCTCCGCCGCGGGAGAGGCGCTCCCCGCGAGGCCCCGCGGCCGCTGCAGACTGCGGCGCGGCGCCCCCTGCCAACGCAAACACGGCGGTGAGCTGCCGCGGCCGTCAGCCGGCGGGACAACAACCGCCCAATGTGCCATGAACGCCACCGTGACCGAGGCCGAGTAACTACTGACCCGGACGAAAACACGGGGAGGGCACTCGGGTGCCGACAGACGTCTCTCGGTAGCACTTAGCGCCGTATGTGCTAATTTTAGGCGCAAGAGAGCGCTAACGGCGAGAACAGAGCGATAAACCCACATATCGCCTCTCCGTCGAGGTCATAACAAGGGCTCTATTCCGCACTGGGTGAGCGAGCATTTCCTTTGTAAATGTCGATGTTATGGGTACAAATAGCGGCCCATTCGCCATCCGTCCCTCCCACGGCCGCGTACAGCCGCGCGTAGGTCGGCGGCTGAGCGCCGATTGAGGCAGGCCGCAGGAGGCCCGGCCGCCGCCGGCTGCGTGCGCCGTGACCTTGATCCAACCGGGCGGCCGGCCGCCGGGTTCGGCCCGCCCGCGGACGGACCCGGACGGACGGACGGAGTACGGACCGTACCGACGGCAGCGGATGAGGCGGTCGGACCGTCCGGCCGGCCGGCAGCACGTGCCGTGACGCGTGGAGCAGCAGCTGACGATGGCACGGCTGTGGCAGCGTCGGCCGTGAGGGGCGCCATGGCGGCTCTGCAGTCGTGCCGATCTCGGCCGGCCCATGGCGCACCGGGGGACGGGCGAAGGCGGCGGACGGCAAAGAAAAATGCACATAAAGTATCCACATTGACCGGGGCGAAGGAGACGGAATATAAGCGGCTGAGCACGACCGATATAAGCGGCTGAGCACGACCGAAGATTACAATCTATCCGCACAACTAGCCAGTAGCCTTATTTACCATTCGTGATCGACAATCAACGTCCCTGTGGGGTGTGACCTCTTCCAAGCCAGTCGCAATTCCCGATCAATTTGTCGGTGAGCGCTGAGTATGGGTCAGCTGCTTGGCAGCCGGCCAGAGACGTCAGATTGGCCGCTCTCAGCTGCAGCGGCAAATCCGATGTTGAGGAAGCAGCCCAACGCCGTGCGAGCAGCTCAGGACAATATGCAGCACGAAATATGGAGGCGATGGAGCTGTCACAATTATTTAGTATGAAAATTATTTAGCATTGTCTCCGGAAAGTGACATGCAACAACAGTGACACTTGGCACTCGGCACACATTCATGAATGGCTAATACGTATCGTGACATAACTTACCAAAAACATGTCAGATTTGATCAGGGAAGAGAGAGGGGAGGAAGAGAGAGAGAGAGAGAGAGAGAGAGAGAGAGAGAGAGAGAGAGAGAGAGAGAGAGAGAGAGAGAGAGAGAGAGAGAGAGAGAGAGAGAGAGAGAGAGAGGAAGAAAAACAGAGAGAGAGGGAGGGAGGAAGGGAAGAGGTGGGAAAGAGGGACAGAGGACGCAGAGGGATAGAGGAGTGAGAGATACAGAGTGAGTGCGAACTCTGCGGCGCCAGCAGTTGCACCGAGACTAGAGGCAGCATATTCCGTTCCGAGTAACACTCGCACAATGTGAGACTTTCTCAGGCGCACCCCGACGCGGCGTCGCCCCAGGGATTCCGTCCAGCTAGTCGGCAGAGCGAACTTTGCCGAACCAGTCCGCTCGACGGGCGGAGATGACGGGAGATTGTTTTCATTACGCTCGTTCTCAGATCTGATGGTATACTTCCGGGTGTCCGTGCCTACTGTCTACCCAGGCACGAGGAAGTGGAGCCGAGTTCGTCACAGGGTCTCGGTCTAGGCGGCTTGGACTTTCAGGAAAGGCGTCCGACTTTCAACTCACGAGCGAAAAATATCTCTGAATGGGAATTAATCCTAAAGAACCTTTTGGTTGCTCGACTCGCAGCGAATAAAAGGCTCTATAAATAGCGGATGTATCCACCCACAACAGCGGTTGCACCGCACTCGCTGGCGGTAAACATATTCACCGATGAATCGTAGTCATCTTTGGAATTTTCATGAAATTCTCGGAAAGCAGAACCAGCTGATGTTTATCATGTTTATCTCTGCATGCACGCTGCACATAGAAAATACCCAATGAACCTTCGTAGCGACGTGCCATTAACACGGCAGTAGCGATTGCGGATTCCACGCTATCACAGCCGCGAACCGACGGTGGTCCGTCTGACGATCCTCAACTCCCTCCCACTCTCTCATGAGTCTGATCTGGATCCGCGCCTCCCCCCCCATCCCCATTCCGGTTCCCTGAGTGGCGTCCGGCGGGCCGGGCCGACTCTCAGCTGTGCGGGGCCGGCGCGGCGGGGAGGGGGCGGTCCCGCCACCGCCGGCCGGCCGGCCGGGTCCACCGTGCCGCGCACTCGGCGATCGATGCTGCGCCACCGAACGGCAACCCACGCACGCCGCGGCCGGCGCCTTGTGTCGGCCAGACTCAACGCGGCCGGACCGCCGCGGGTACTGGTATCGCCGCGGTCCGACGGATAACTTCAACGCGGGCGGACGGTGAATCTCACCGCGGACAGAGTGAAGATGTCACCGAGGCCCGACAGAGAATAACGTCGCGGTCACATGAATAAAGAAGGCATGTGTAACCTACTGATGTCAGCAGTCTCAGGAAGCAATCCCAGGAAGCAATCCGATGCTCAACAACGGAGCGCTGACCACGAAACTGACGTAACCAGTCGGGCGACCCAGCGACGACCATGACCCACAATCAGTAAATAACTGACCATCCCATGGTAAGCCGGCTAGAAAATGATAAACACGCCCCCACCCCCTCCCGCCCCCCGTACCGTTCCAGTCGACCCACCAAACAAGTGCGACCCACCGCACCCCGTTTCCCATGTGCAGCCCGCCCATCTGTCTCCTTTGGTTCGTACCTACCTCGCTCGTGGCGGCGTTTGCCGGTGTAGAGGCGCCGCTTGACCGGCGGCGGGCCCGTCTCCGGGTCCGAAGTGAGCGCCGTGGTGCCCGGGTTCGGCCGTTTGAACACGGCCGGCGGCGAGCGGAGCGAGGTGACCGTCGCGTCCGGAGGAGTCTGCTCGGCCGGAGCGCTGCGGCCACGGCGGGGGAGTGTCAGAGGGGAGGAACGGTCACAGGGACAGATACGGTCAAAAGGATGGAAATACGGTCAGGAGGGACAGATACGGTCAAAAGGATGGAAATACGGTCAGGAGGGACAGATACGGTCAAAAGGATGGAAATACGGTCAGGAGGGACGGCGACAAAGTCGGAAGGAACGAGGAACAATCAAAAGGGACGGAAGCACAGTCAGCCAAAAGACAAAGAACTCGTACGGAACGAGCGTAGACACAACACAGGCACACCTGACAGAGGAGCATTAAAAGGATTAGGCGGACGGTCAAAGGCGACAGAAACTTGGGCAGAACAATGGTGAGAAGGAACGTTAGCACGGCTATAAGGAGCTGGAGCTTATAAGATAGAACGTGGACGGACACTACACGGCACCGACTAGGGCCAGTCGCAGTGGTAGTGGTCGGGCGATGCGTATGAACGAAAAGAAGGTCAAATGGTACTACAACGCAAAATGTCAAAGGAAGGCGAGACAGTAAGGGGAAATGATCACGGGAGCACCCCGGGCTGGACGTTCTCGTCAGCTGACGTCAGTCGGGCGTGACCAGACCGATACAGCGATTATTGTTGTGCTGCGCAGTACATGACGAGCCAAAAAACGACGGCCGTGGTGCACAGGCTGAGGTAATAAGACTTTCGAAGAAAGCTCGGCCGAGAGAATATTACGCTAGGATATTATGCTGGCATAATGTCCAAAGGCGAGATAAAGACGCATGAGGAGGCGGTTGTAAAAATAAGCATACACTGCCGCACAAATACATGATTCGATGTTGTCGGGACTCTGGAATATCAGTGGAGCACAATTAGCATGCCACGCCATTTTACGTAAACATCCCTCAAAACATCTATCATCCCGGGTAACCACACATCGATTGTAACCCCACCAGAATCATATTGACAGGGGCACTCTTTATACTGTCCCGTTCCGCGCCGTCCACGCACGTGGGCTCGGCTTCTGCGCAGTTAGCGGACGGCTCCTTGCCGAGCGGACGGACTCACCTGGCCGTGAGCGCTGAGCCGACGGGCAGCGCCGGCTCGGCGGCCGGCGCGCACGCCTCGTCACCGTCCGAGCCGTCTGCGCCGCCGGACGCCGCCGAGCCGGCAGCGACGCCGTCCTCGTCCTCCGACCCGGCACCGTCACCAGCAGCCGGCGGCGGACAAAGCTTCGCCTTTTTCGCCAGCTTCGGTTCCTCGTTGGTGTTGAACAGCAGGCCTGCCGAGGGTAGTTCCGTCCGTTCTGCGAGGTCAGGGCAGTTGTTGTTTTCGATCTCTTCCTCGGTGGGTTTCCGGGAGACGTGTGTTGCAACGTCTCTGTCTTCATTTGACGTTATTTGACGCTTTTTCTTTTTAGTCTTCTTACTTGCAGTGGCAGGTGAGACGACCGCTGCAGCTCTCTCCTCAGGAAGAACGGGAGCCTGGGGATAGTCAGAGAGAAAAAGGACTCAAATTACAGCTGAACTTAAAACAGCTGTGTCAGACATAATACTAGCTGCTACAACGTTGATACTAGCTAAAGTCGGACAACACTTCATGGAGCGAGACACGAGCTATTTTATATTTCAGACCTGACATTAAGATAACTGGAGTGCTTTTGACACGGTTTCGAGCCCAGCCAGTCCTTTTAGTTGTCACGGTGTCAAGGAAAAGAGTTGAGTGTCCGGGACTGCGTCGGCAGTAGCACTGGCATTGTTGTTTATATTTCAATATTTTAATCTGGGCATTTTTTCGAACTCCGACTCACCGAATCCGGTTCCCTCTGTTCGTCATCTTGAGAAGGCACCGCGGACTGAAATGGTGCGATGAAGCCTTTCTTTTTCCCTTGAGGCTGGGACATGTCTCAACAATGAGATAAATGAAACTTCAATCTTCACACGTAGCAATAAGTCGGAGAAAGCAGATGCCAGCTAACACTAAAATTAATCAGATCAGATCAGATATGCCCTTACCTCACCCGGTCCCAGTTTGCGGCAATTATGATTAGGGATTCTCAAATAAAAACTAACAAACGCATGCAATGGTAGATCGTCTCACAAATGAGACAAATATAACCAAGGCCATTTTAACATCAATATTACGTTGGTATTGTTTTATACATCCTGTTATGTGCTAAATAATAGTTTAAAACAGTAACACGAGCCGGGACTTGTATCAATTTCGCGCACAAGTTTGCGCTCAACTTGTTTTATTTTGAACCAGCCGCCTTCTGCTGTGTTCTGCTGGCACTCTCAAGCACTATTTCACTTGAAAATAATTGAAGTAAAATCACATGTTCACTTACATTTGAACATTATATTAATGTTGTGTTAATATCTGAATAGATAGTCGAATGATTTCAGGTTCAAATTATCGACAAATGTCATCAAATGAGCTTTTTTCATTTTCTTTATTCCTTTGACAACTTCCAATTCTCATAAGTAAATTGCTAAGCAGTTTTCAATAACATCCAAACAATGTCAAACCTATTTTGGCAGACCTTTTCAAGCTTCTATTTCAAAGATATACTGGATGTAAAATATAATTAACGTCTCATACTTCCAAAATGATAAATAAAACTGGCCGAAATAATGGATAAAAGGAGTATATGAAACGTTTCGTTATTGGTGGTAGAACTGCGCAGTCGCAGGGAATGCTGCCATTGGGTACATTCGTACGCACTCGTACCCTGGACCCTGCTCTCTTGCGTCTCTCGATGTCGGAGCCAGGGTATATTGAGTGAAGGTATATTGAGGTCGGAGCCGAGCCCGGAGGTGATGTCGCTAGGGCCCTGGTCGGAGGCATTTACTTTTCTCTTAGTGTAATGTAATGTTCTTGTGTGAGAAAGTGCGAAGCTATATAACCGTATATAGGACATTATATGGACAGATGGGAATAGGACGTATGGTTGTAAATTTACGCTATGCTGAGTGCTGACAGACTTATGACGGTGAACTGTCGTTGTCGTTTTATTTTTGGATTTTATTATTTCGAAAAAAAAACTATTTGAAAATTTCATGACCCTGACCCAAATGACCTCTGACCTGTGACCTACTTTCCGAGACCATAATTGGCCAGCATCGCGATTCGGCGTATGTCGGCTGCGGCTCGCATTATCGCGTTTGCCAGTCTTTTCGAGGTTTCAAGCGTTTTGTGAGTTGATGCTGCTCTCATGCATTAGGGTGGATGTCAAGGTCACCTGAAGGTTAGGTCAGGTCATTGACCTATGATGACCTCACTACTTTTCCGAATTATACATGTTCCTAGGCTGGTTTTTGGAGCTGAATCCGAATTTAGCAACTATTTGAACATTTACGAAGTAGTTTTTTGTGCCTTCGTGACATGTTATGAAGTTGTCAGAGGCGGTTGTCACCTACTACGAATACCCGGCAGGACCTTAACTGGTTGACCTGACCTGACCTGACCCGACCTGGCCTAAATGCATAAAGACATCATCTGTGATCAAAACTAACATGATAACTATTCGTGATCAGCACCCCGAAAAACCCTATAGCAGCCACACTTTACGACGTTCTAATTTTCCCGATTTTTGAGTCCTTGACCTGACCTGGAAGGTCAACTAATGACCAAAGGACCCTTTAAGGCCTTCGGAGGGCCGTTTGATGCGAGGCCAGGGCCCTCTGACATCAGCTGGGGGCCCTCTGACGCCTGCTCAGGGCCCTTTGACGCCCTTTTAGGCCCTCTGAGATCTGTTTGACGTTAGCTGAGGGTCCTTTGAGGCCATCTGAGGGCCCTTTGAGGCCATCTGAGGGCCCTTTGAGGCCATCTGAGGGCCCTTTGAGGCCATCTGAGGGCCCTTTGAGGCCATCTGAGGGCCCTGTGAGGCCATCTTAGGGCCCTGTGAGGCCATCTGAGGGCCCTGTGAGGCCATCTGAGGGCCCTGTGAGGCCATCTGAGGGCCCTTTGACGATAACTGAGGGCCCTCCGAGACCATTTGAGGATCCTGTGACGCCATCCGACATCCGTGGGCCCTTTGAGGCATTTTAAGGGCCATTGAAATTTCACCACAACGACCCTGGCTGCGTTACTGGGCATATGATGGACTCTTAACCCTCGCCCCGTTGGGGAGGGGCCATTTTGGCCCCCCTGTGGTTTTTCCTGAATAGCAAGAAAACGGCGGCGCGCAGCGCCGCCAAATTTTCAGTACCTTCCCGAGCATCAATTTGACACATTCACACCAAATTTCAAGTCTTAGGTCACCTTAGGTCAGGAGTTATTGAGGTCAAACTGAGGTCATGTTCCAGCAAAAATGAGCAAAAAACATGCAATCTTGAAACGCTCACCAAATCTACAGTTATCAAGCAATTTCAAAGTTCTTTATATGGTCTAGTATACAAAAAGCGGCGCTACAAAACTGCTATCTCGGATTTTCAAAATTTTGGGTTTTTGACCCATAGGCGTCGCCAGACATTTTCGGTTGGGGGGGCAAAATCAAGTTTTGTGTTAAATCTTGCCTTTCCCCAGCCGTTACTCACTCGTTTTACATATCATTCGACGCGCAATGGTGCGAGGAATCCGATGGTGACAAAGTTTTCCGTCTAGCTATAGCATGTATTTTTTTTTTTACAAAAAAATAATTTTTTTTGAAATTTCTGGACAAAAACGACTGTTAGAATTACAGTGGCTGCGATTGCCGACGCACTGCAGAGGGCCCCTGTGCAGACTCTCGTCGCTCATGATCATTACCCAGAAGAAGGTGAAAAACGCTCCATTTGAATCGGATCACTCGCTAAAACCTCCATTCACGCATGCATGCCGAGGTTTTACGTGAAATGCATAGGGTTTATCCCAGCCGCCGATTGTAGCTAAGAATTGGGCATTCGGCGGAGACTGAGAGAGAATGTCGGAAGTGTGAATCGGAAGTACATCATTCATCCTTGCTGCAGTGAGAAGAAGTGTTTTGTTCACTTGAGTGTGAACAAAAAGTTTGTGGTTTTTCGAGTGAAGGCAAGCGCTGCAAACGCGACCAAAAATATTTAACGGAACCAAAAGTTACGCACGGCATAGCGGCAAGGGATCCCTTAGAGATAGGATTGCGACTTCCAGGCCATTTCAGGCCACTCAGGGTCAGTGTGGACTCTCAGAAGCCTGCTTAGGATCCCGGAGATCGGCGTGGGTCACCCCAAATATTTATGTGTATGTGGTGCTTTAGGGCTTTCCGAGCCTAAGGTGGGCCCGGAAAGCCCTTTAGGGCACACGAGCTTTCAGAAGCCAGTGTGGGCGGCGGGCGCTAAGAGACTGGGCCCAGGGTGAGCCTGGAGCCCTCGAATAACAGTGTGAACCGTCGGGGTCTGTGTCGAATCCTTAAGGACCCTACGTTGGTAGGGACATAAGAAACATGTGTTGCGGCCTTCAGAGGGACACGTGAGTTGTGACCCCTCAGATGCCGGGTTAGGGTTAGTAAAGTCTGTCGCCTCAAAAGTTCGGCTGTACTATCATAGGCCAGTTGAGGTTTTCATAAATTTTCGAAGGCATCCTCAAAGATTCGTGTGGCCCTTCAGAGGTCTACGTATGTATAATGTCCGCAAAGATCCCTGTATGGGCCCTCTAGAGAACATGGACACCAGTGGGACTCTCAGAGGCCGGTCTGGGGCTGGGCCCTCCGAAAGCTTCTTAGAGCTCAGTGGAGCTCCTTAGAAGCCTGTTTGAAAAGCAGGCTCATGAGCCCTGCGGCACTTGAACGGTACTTGTGCCTGTCGCAGACATTTGACGAGAGTTGAGAAAGGCCCCGAAGATTTCGTGTCACGCCTTGAACGAAAATTATGTGCCAGCACTCCAAAACTTATGAAAATCAGCTACAAAATGTAATAAAGAACCAACTAGGAACATGGCATGAATCATGGCATTGACATTTCCGAGTCTGGAGTCGGAGTCTTGAAGATTTTGGCGACTGCGACTCTGACTTTGGTTTGAACTGCACGCTCCAACAGAGTCTGACCTCACAGGCATTCTCAGAAAGGTACCCCCATTTTTCCCCGACTCCAAAATCTCATCGGATCTGTATCGATCTCAGGGGGTGCCCGATCCGAGGTTGGGGGGGGCAAGCTGCCCCGCTTGCCCCCCCCCCCGTGGCGACGCTAATGTTTTGACCCAAAAAAAACAAACAAATTGATTTTTTAGAAAAACTAAAATAAAATTCAAAACTTTTTCCTAATTTCGAAAAAACGGAATATATGTGATAGTCCCTGCGCTCTTCTATATACATACCAAATTTCAGGTCGATATCTCGTTTTTTGGCCAAGTTATAGCGAAAAAACTGTTCAAAAATGATGACGTCAAATTTTTGAACTCAATTTTTTAGCGATTCTAGACCACGTACGGCAAAACAAAGACCACCATTGAACTCCCCGTGACGAGCTGCATCGATTTGATACCCATTTTATGCAAAAATATCAACTTTGAAATTTGACCTAATTTGACCTGACCTTGACCTGACCTTGGCCTGACCTTGACCAAAACGTGACCTAAGCTGGCCCCAAAGGTTGCCTGACCCACATAATCGCATTTGTCATGTAAAATGGACCATAAAACATGTACCACACGACACTTTCATATTGTGACCCCCCACTCCCCAGTGACCTGACCTCTGTGACCTGACCTGGTATCAGTGACCTCAAATAGCAAAATATGTGTTTGAAGAGCATTTCCCCATCGATGATTTTCTATGAAATGCATTTAACTCGATTTTACAACGCATTTCTTGAAATGCCTGTAAACGGTGAAAATTGGACCTTTGACCTGACCTGTGACGTCATCGGTTTGACGGTGGTCTAAGGATTAGGCCCTAATCCTTCGAGTTGGGCCCCCAACTCGAATGGGGGGGGGGGCACGGGCCCGTGTGCGCCCCTTTGTGTGCGGCGCGCCCTTGTTCGGGTGACTGACGGAGTGGGTTCAAACAACGCCTGTTGGCAAAGAAATGTACCTCATGGAAAAATTGTGAAAAGCTAATTGATCAAAAACAAGGTGGAACAATTCGCTGGAGAAAATGGTATTTGTTAATGACTTACTTAATTACACGGGATTTTCTGCATAACCTGGTACGTTTGACAGTTGAAAATGGCATAGTTGAAAAGAGCATTCAATTTTGTCCAAAATCCAATCATCGCTTTTGCAGGACGAGCAATAAATGTTTCAAACCTCCACATAGTAATTCATCGATGGCTTTCATTTTTTAATAATCTACGTCAACCTTTGTTATAAACTACACATGACATGTTCTATAGCAGAACGCATGATTATCAGACACGAGCACCTCGATGCGATGGATATTTTTTCCCAAACCAAAATGCTTAGCCAACGGGCAACGCGTCAAAAAGCAATCGACCGAAATGAATACATAACCCACGGACACAAGACCAAGCAAACGCTCACCGATCGAAAATACCCCTTATTCGCGTTGCGGAGCAAGCGGGTCACCCTAGCGGGCCCCACTCAACCGGGGCCCGGGCCCTATCCTCACGGGGGCCGGGCCGGGCCCTATCCACACGGGGACCCGGGCCACGTCCACCTGGGGCTCCGAGCGCCGTCCACCCGGGGCCAGGGCCCCATCCATCCGGGGGTCCGGGCCCCATCCACCCGGGGGTCCGGGCCCCGTCCACCCGGGGCCCGTTCTCCCGGGGGCCCGGGCCCGTTCTCCCAGTAGCCCGGGCCAGTTAGATAGATAGATAGATAGATAGATAGATAGATAGATTTGTATTCCAGACTAACAGTCCATTGCTATGAGTTGATGATGGATGTACCACTATGGATGATGGATGAACAACAACAAACATCGACTTTAAGGCACACTCCCAGTCGATGCACATTCACTGTAGCACAGCATGACAATAGAGCTTACTGAGCCAAAAACGTTTCAGTTTTGATCTGAAACGGAGATCCCCTGAATTGATTGCTTCAATGATGCTATTGGGGCTCTCTTCAAGTCTTCTCAGAAACTTATAAATAAGTTTCCTGAACACGCTTTCACAATTCAGCACTCTAAAATATGCACATTGCACATGTCATACTCGTACTCTCAAATTTAGATAACCCGACAAGTCGTTTAAGAAGGTTGTGATAGCTCACAATGAGTCGATTCATAGTTGCCTTCCTATAGTTCCACCACAGGTGTGCACAGTACATCGATGAACAGTAAGTCTCAAATAGTTTCAGTTTGACATCTACAACCCAGTAAACATGCCGACGTCGGCCCGACGTCGGCAACTCGGCATCAGCATGCCGACGTCGGCCCGACGTCGGTCCAACCTCGGTACGACGTCGGCTGGATGTCGGATATGCCCGCATGTACCGATGTCCAGCCGAGGTCCAGCCGACGTCGGGCCGACGTCGGACCGAGATCAATTGCTGAGGTCCAGCCGACGTCGGGCCAACGTCGGGGCGACGTCGGACCGACATCGGCCGTTGTTTTGACCGTTAAAATAATATAAAATACATGTTTCATGTTTCATAAAGAGCTTATGTATTCAAAATATCCTCAGGAAACTCAAATCTTCCTCCACGCCGCAACCCCCTGACCCGGACTGGACGGGAAACTTTATCCCATTTGGGATTGCCCGTAAGCCGAGCTCGCCCGTAGCCGGGTGCGGTGAGTGCTTGGGGGCTGCTCGGCCTATCATTTGGTCAGGCTCAGCCCCGGCAACGCACCAGGGCCGGGCCCAGTTCATATAGAAAGGCCAATCGGCAAGTGTCACTTTGCCAAAGTGCCACTTATCAAAGGGACACTTTGGGAAACGTTGGTGCAGGTGTGTAAGAGTGGCTATATGAATCCATTGTGGGGTCGCCCTTTCCAATTAGTGTCACGTAACAGCAATGGGACCAGGGACTCTATATGAACTGGACCCAGGGTGCTCGCCAAGAAGACCAATGTCTCCATCCTATCATCCTTCCGGCTCTGAAATGGTCTTGTCAGACCGAAAGGGCATAACCCAACAAAACAAACTAAATCCGCTATCTGGCTGCGTGGTGTAGTGGTTAGCGCACTAACATCGCGTTCAAATGACACGGGGTTCGAATCCCATCGCCGGATGATGCTTTTGGCGTGTTGTCCCAGTAAACATGCCGACGTCGGCGACTGGGGGGCTCGAATCCCGCCGTCGGTTGATATTTTTGGCGCGTTGTCCCAATAAACATGCCGACGTCGGCCCCGTCGGTCCAACGACAAACGATCTCGTCAACCTCGGCAAACGACCTCGGCCCGACGTCGGCTCGACGTCGGCTGGACTTCGGCTGGACGTCGGAACATGCGGGCATATCCGATGTCCCGCCGATGTCGGGCCGAGGTTGAACCGACGTTGGGCCGACGTCGGGCCGAGCCTCGGCCCGACGTCGGGCCGACGTCGGCATGTTTACTGGGAATATACATGTGAAACATCCTTATGATCATATTCCCTCTGACAAATAAACCTTTGTTCTGATTGGCAATATCTAGATCATCAGTCATGTCTTCCTCTATGATATGCCCAAGATATTTAACTTTATCAACACATACTAACGGCATGGGCCCTAACATAAACTATCAGGTATTTTGACATTCCTCATCCCCTTCGACCTACATGATATTGCAACACTCTTTGAACTATTATACACAACATCATTTGCCATACCAAATTCATGGCAAACATTCAACAGTTTTTGCATCCCTGCACTTGATGGAGAGATAAGCACCACATCATCAGCATACATCAAGTGATTGACCAATTTCCGACCTATAAGACAACCTATGCCCTTTTCATTTAAAGGAAAAGGGCCACCTTTAACATGGAGATTGAAACTGAGATAGCCATCTTGTAGCCCGTGTCCGAAAACCTATCTGTCTACATCCTTACGGCCGATTTCGGCCTCCATTCGTAGTTATCGGCAATTTTAAAAGAAAATACGCCAGGAATGCGTCCTTATCCCAGGAATGCGTTCTTATCCGACAATACAGCCACCCGCGGCGAGGCTTTGGTTTTTTACCAATCAGCTCCAACCAGCTCAGCTTTAACCAATCAGCTTATCTGACACAATCCGACGAGTCTGTCTTCTGAACGCTGATTGGCTTGAGTGTGACGTCATCGCTATGCCATCATACTGTAGGTGCCGTAGAGAGTATCAACATAGTACCAATATGTTAAATAGTTTTAAATACTTTTTAGCGAATTGTGCACTTCTGGCACCAGTTTTAAAAAGAAAATGAAAAATAATAATGTCAAAATAAAAAACAACGATATCTTCATTTTTCACGAAGGTGGCCCTTTTCCAATTAATCTGCTAGACAACTCATCTATAAACACGTTGAAAAGGGGAGGTGACAAGATACCTCCCTGCCGGACACCATTGGACACTTTAAACTTTTCTGAAAAAGTGGATCCCCATTTAATGACCATTTCTTGCTCTTGGTACCAGAACGCAAGCAATCTTAGGTACACATAAGGAACACCTCTCTCTGAAAGCCTCTGAAAGAGGCTTTCAGTTCTCCCGGGAGACCGGGGCCCGTTCTCCCGGGGGCCTGGACCCATCCACGGGGGGCCCGGGCCCGTTCTTCCAGGGTCCCGGGGGCCCCGTCCGGCGTCCACCTGGGGCCCCAGGTCGACCACTCACCCGTGTGTCCCATTAGGCATTTCTCGAAGCGGGCTCGTCCGATTAGATTAGGACCTCTCTCCTCCCTCTCTCTTTCTCTCTCTCTCTCTCTCTCTCTCTCTCTCTCTCTCTCTCTCTCTCTCTCTCTCTCTCTCTCTCTCTCTCTCTCTCTCTCTCTCTCTCGAGCGGGCCCCTGACAGAAATTTCGGGGGGGGGGGGGTCAGCTGACCCTCTGACCCCCCTGGCTGCGCCACTGGTGTGCAGAGAAACATACATGAGCAAATGTTTTCGTTTTCATTCACTTCATATTTTGCAAGCATTTGTAGTGTGCAATATGTACGGGTTATGGTTGGATCCGGTTGGACCCGTCAGAAAATTTAGTATTTACAGGAACCGGTCTGGACCCATATGGGTTCAGAGTTCAGACTGGTTCTCTATAGGGCTGTATAGGGCCTTGGGTTCTCATTTCTTTGGACCGGGTCCTCGGGTCAACATTTTGCCACCTCTAATCACCAGCATTTTTCCGGTTCTGAATGGGTCCATCGGCGCCCCAAACATGCTGTGGCACGCCGAGGGTCGGCCGCATCAGGCCGCATCACGGGTGCAGTGGCGCCCGCTCCATCATGGTACACTTTTACACCAGGTACACTTTTAGACCAAACGCAACCAAACGGCAACAAAGCTGATCGGCGGCAGTCGACTTCGCGCATCGGTCGGTTGAGGGTGCTCGGAGACATTGTTTGTGCTTCAGAAAGCCAGGACAGAAATCGTTTAGATTTCGGACCTTCCGGATTCCCTGCAGTCTGTTGTGTAAGATCTGATCATCTAGCAGCTGCTGTAAAAGAAGAAATTGGTTTTTCGGGCTTCTAACTCGGCACAGGGCGTTGCCATCTGGTGGTAACGCGCATGCGCGCGTGCGAAGTCGTCGAATGCAACTTCCCAGACAGAGAAGTAAAAACCAACGTAAACAGAGCCGCGTGGGATCGCGAGTTCAAGTTGTGCTGTGGGCTGCCGGCGGGTGCTCGTGTGCCGGGAGTTCGTGATTGGTAGGAACTGAAAATATTTGATGAGCTGACCAAAGCCCGTAAAAATGGCATCTGTGGGAATCAGTATCCCTCCTCAAGATCACAATCATGTGACTTCACCAGTGGCGACAAGCAAGCAAGCTTTCAATGGTCATGATGGTGGACGTCGTTTTGAGGCTTTTGCCAGGTGAGTTCAACCTGTTATTTGTCAATCTCATTCTGTCAATGTCAATGTCAATCTGGTATTTTTCAGGTGTCTGTCAAACTCAACCTGTATTTGGATCTGTCTCAAGGCTTTGAAGAAAAAATTATTTATTTATTCAGTGCTCTTCCATTTCATAAATTACAAATTAAATATCCATGACTGCTCCATTCTTTCTGGTGCACTTCGAAGTTTCCTGCTTTTGCCATCCTCTATTTACATGCAATGTTCACCATAAAATAGAATATTTTTCCAGTGTTCCTCAAATGCATTTCACTTGATTTTAACATGCCTGTCTAGATGCTAAGCTGAGAGGGGCTACAACTTTCTGATTACGGAGCGAGCGAAGCGAGCGTAGTCTTTCCTTAGATTAACGGAAATTTCTGAGTATGAGCGGCCGGCCGGCCGGCCGGCCGGCCGGCCGTGGTCACGCTTTTGCGAGGCTTATATCTCAGCAACCACTTGACCGATTTACATGCGGTAATTTTTGTAGGGTAGCTTCATTCCTTCTACCAAGTATTGCACTATTCCCGATGCATGTGGGTGACCCCTTATGCACGTGCCACGTGCAAAACGAAGAGGTGTCACTTTTGTAATTGTTGCAATATCTCGGTAACTACTGGGCCGATTGCGCTGAAAGTTGGCATGTAGGTAGGCACCCACTAGGCAATGCATATCCATGTGCCAGAGTTGGGGTGCTGCTGCACGTGCGCACGTGCAGGGGTCGTTTCCAGATCTCGAGAACGGCTGGACCGATTGCGCTCAAATTTGGTACACGGATAGGGACCGGTTAGTAGGGTGCCGTGCACAAGTCAGTTGGGACCCATTTTGCACGTGCGCACGTGCAGGGTGCCGCTTCCAGATCTCGAGAACGGCTGGGCCGATTGTGCCCAAATTTGGCACATCGCTAGAGACCAGTTAGTAGGGTGCCGTGCACAAGTCAGTTGGAGGTACCCCCTCGCAATTTCGCACGTGCAAGGCCCACCCTCTCGCTCGCTCCGTTAGTCGCCCCAAAAGGCGTTATACTGGTATTATCTCTAAGCCAAATGCACTAGTGAACTTTTCCTATCAGTTATTTTATGATTGTTTGCAGTGTCTGGTACCTACAAGCTTTGCCATTCTAAAATTACTCTACCTACAATATAGAATTGAATCTACAAAAACATCTTTTTTACATTCAAATAATTTCTTTGAAATTGACTGCTCAGCATAGTAGAGGGCAACCACCCTCCTGGACAATGCATATCGACTTGTCTTTGTCCATGCATCATAACTGACCCATGGATTTTTTTTTTAGCATGAAAGCTAGGTCTTTTCTATAGATTCTCCAAATCATTTCCTGATTGGCCCATTTTTTCAATGGATTAATGGTCCTAACCTCTGACCAACACTCGGCTCCCCAACACACACCCCTCCCTAACCTCTGATTAATGCCTCCCCCAACAGACATCCCTGCCTAACCTTTGACTAATGCCTCCCTCCCCAACAGAACAGACACCCATCCCTATTTTAACAATGCCAGCCCTCCCCATCAGATATCCCTGCCTGGCCTCTGATTAATACCCCATCCCCCAACAGATGCCTCTCCCTAACCTCTGACTAATGCCTCACCTCCAACAGACACTTCAATCCCTCGCTCTCCCCACCGACAGACGGAACAGAGGCCCTGTTAGTCTGACGGAGTCCTCCCTTCCTCCCCGACAGACGGAACAGTGGCCATGGGGGCCACTCCGAGAGAACCGCCTCCAACCAGCGGCTGATGCGCAAACGCAGCTGGAGCATGCACGGCGACTGGCGCGGCCTGAAGCGGCGCAGGAAGGGCATCGTGCCGCCCACCAAGTTCCTGTTGGGCGGCAACATCTGCGACCCACTCAACCTGGGCAGTCTGAACGACGAGGAGGCCAACAGGTAAGGCCATTCTTGTATCATAGTCGTGATTACTTTGTCATGCTCTAGTGATGTTGCCGGAAGCATAGATGGTCACGAAGCATGACGTCCTTCACAAACCTCATTATTTGATATTTTTAGCGGTCAAATTTGCGAGTTTCACTCAAAGCTTTCTTCTCTCACTATGCCAAGCGATTTTACCGCAAACATCGATCGTCCCCCGCTCCTCCTGGTCATCCGATCTCTCCACCTTCCGCTGCTCTGACGCCGTCCACCCTCGCCTCCCCCAGGATCGCCAACGCCAACACGCCCGTGTCGTCGCCCATGCCGACGCCCAAGTATCGCAAGGAGCCGATCGAGGTCATCATCCCTCCGGACATTAGCGACCCGCTCGGCCTCAACGGGCCGGACTCGCTGCTCTCGCCGGCCGCTCAGCGGCGCAAGAGGTGCAAGGTAAGTGAACGAACGAACAAATGAATGAACGAACGAATGAATGAATGAATGAATGAATGAATGAATGAATGAATGAATGAATGAATGAATGAATGGGTGGGTGGGTGGGTGAATGAATGAATGAATGAATGAATGAATGAATGAATGAATGAATGAATGAATGAATGAAGAAATGGGTGCACAAATGAATGAATGAATGAGCTAGGAAAGCCATTGCATCTTTCTGTTAGGTTATTTGGAGCAGAACTGGCCAATATAATTTGAGTTTTTACATTTCACGGTCTATGAGTGGTATCATTTTTTAGGGAAGGCTGTTTTGCCAAGACCATTTAATGGTAGAAAAGTCCATTGCTGTGATGATGCACCTCGCCACACTGCTGTTGCTTTTGCTGCCGCTCGTCTGACCCCGTTCCTCTTCCTCCGTGCAGAGGCGGAGGAAGCAGCTGTCGGGTCACGGCGCCTCCGAGCCGGCCGGGCGCTCTCTCTCGGAGTCGTCTGCGGCGCGCTCGTCCTCTGACGGCGACACGACCGCCCTGCTGACCCCCGTGTCCGCGCCCGTGACCACCGGAGAGCTCAACTTCTCGGCGTGCTCCGCCGCGCCGGCGCCGGCCCCGGCCTCCGCCCCGGCCGCCGAGACTGTGGAGACGGCGCCCGTGGCCTCTGCCGCCGCCGGCGCTCCCGATGCTGTCCCCACTGATGCGGTGGACGCCGCTGTCAGACCGAGGTAAGCTGACTGCAGCGGGGACGAGCGGAGGACGTGGGGCTAGGGCTGAGAGTCGGCTGCCATGGCTAGTGTCGGAAGGTGTGGTACAAGTGAGTGGCGTGTGACTGTGAATTAATTTGGCAGGCTGGGTGTGGCGGGCTCCGTCAACTGTGACGTCATTGCCTCAGTAAAGTTTCCGTTCACAAGCTCTTGTTGCTGAGTGCTTGGTGACGATGTAAATGACGGTTTTAATTAAAATACTTGATTGGCTGACTAACATATTAATAAACAAACGTTCAGCTGACCTGCTCCCACCGACCCGCATTAACAGTCCCCAGACACTGGCCTCATTGGCCCTCCCACTAACCCCACAGACCCCCCCCCCACCTAACCTCTGTCTTCACTCTCTACACTCTGTTCCCCCTCTAACTCCTCCCGCTCTCCCTCCGCAGCAGCCTGTGTGTCTCGGTGGAGCCGGCGCCGATCCCCAGCAGCACCGCCGCCGTGGCCAGCCCGGTGGCACGGCCGGCGCGGCCCACCACCAGCCGCCGCTCCTCGGACGAGGTGGTGTCCCCGGCGCTGCCGCAGCCCGGCGGCCGGCCGGCCCCGTTCGCCCGCGCCGGCCCCGCGCCGCCAGAGATGCCCGTATTCCGGCCGCGTGACGAGGCCTTCCAGTACGGGAACTATAATCGGTACTACGGCTACCGTAACCCGGAGCCCGGCCTGGTGAGTGGAGAAGGTGGCGGCCACGCGTTCGTTTTAATTGTCGTTTGTTTTAATTCAGCACCAGGTCTGCAGACGAATGCTACGCTTTGAAACGGCAGTCATAATTACTTGTGAGAAGTTGTTGGTGTTATTCTTGATATGCTATTTAGAGAATTATCGACACAAATTTCCTGCACATCTGACGCTAAAGCCATTTCATTTCCTCCTCCCTGTGCCCAGATTGGTGACCGTTTCTCCCCGCTTTGTACCCTCGCTCCGCCCCACTGACCCTCTCCTCGCTCTCCAGGCGGACTCTCGTCTCAGCTGGCTGAAGCGCGAGTGGTTCAGTGGTCTGGACGTGCTGGACGTGGGCTGTAACGTCGGCCACGTCACCCTGACCGTGGCCAGGGACTACCAGCCGCGCCGCTGCGTGGGCGTCGACATCGACAGCAGCCTCATCAAGGTAGGCACGGGCGCGCTGGATTCTTGTGTTTGTGTGTGTGTGTTTCGTCTGACTTAAATTATTAGATGAGTGTGTTTGTATGTGATACTTGTGTCGTGTTAGTCCAGGGTGTAACATTAGGAATGTGTCGTAAGATCACCTAAGTACTCTGTTTTTCATTGTTTTGATCGGTCCATCTGTGACGTGCAGATGAGCCTGGCTGTATGATTAGCTGGTCAGTTGGTGATTTAGTTTCGGCTGTCTGTGCCTCCGTGGCGCTGAGCGTTGTGTGGCGGTGTGTGGATATGACTGAGTTTCGCCGTGTGCCCGCCAGGCGGCTCGCCGGAACGTGAAGCACTACCAGCGAGCGGATGGCTTTCCGGCCAGCATGCAGTCGCTGTACGGGGACCTGAGGCCGGCGCACAAGGCGCCAGGCACACAGTTCCCGCGCAACGTCTCCTTCCAGCACGTGAGTAGGAGGGGAGGGGTGACGCCCGCTGTCAGCTGCTGGTCCCCTCGGACACAGAACGGTTGTCTGTGGCGTTTAAATGTCATGATAAATGGTCATGCTAACGAGGTATGGTTTGGGTTGCATGACGCTTAGAGATAGATATTAATGGCCTTAATTTTTTTGTTCGTGCGTTCAATCCTTCATTAGCCCTTGGGTCTTGCACTGTTACTCTGTACAACTTCGGCAATGTTACGAAGTGATCACCCGTCTTGGTCCGAGTACCGCTCTTTCTGACCTGCCTTCCACCTCTCCCTCCAGGCTAATTTTGTACTGGAGTCTGACGCTCTCCTGGACACGGTGAAGCCAGAGTTTGACACGGTCCTCTGTCTGAGCATTACCAAGTGGATCCACCTCAACTTCGGGGACGCCGGCATCCGCCGCTTCTTCCGGCGCGCCTTCCTGAGCCTGAGGCCCGGCGGCCGGCTGCTGCTGGAGCCGCAGCCCTGGCCCAGCTACGTCAAAAAGAAGAAACTCACCGTGAGTGCCGGGCGGGGATAGCGTGAAGGGTCATTGTATGGAAGCTTATGTTGGCTGATGTCGATGACACTATGTATGACACTATGTGAGATAGCGCATAATGATGTGCTTCGTAAGTGCTGAATATAATGCTGGTGGAAGAGTATCAAGTGGAACTCGAGTCTAGGGCTGTTATTTTACGATGGTCCTATTTAGCAGTAACCTCGGTTTACTGTAAGGTTCCCAGGAGATATGTTACTTTTATATGGTTAGTTTATTGCATAAAATTGAAGTGTTTGTTTGTCTTAATGCTTTCAGAAGCGGATCTGGGAGAACTACCATCAGATCCGTCTTCGGCCGGAGAACTTCCCCGACCTGCTGATCAACGAGATCGGGTTCGAGCGCTACCAGACGGTCGGCCGGCCGCACCACAGCTCTCACGGCTTCAGCCGACAGCTGCAGCTCTTCACGAAGGTACGCGGCGCGCTCTACGGGCCGGGCGGGGCGGCGGTGGGAGGGGTGAAGACGTGTACTGCACAGTGTGGTGCAGGTATTTTGCTGGGTCGCTGGAATGCTTGGACCCGTGCAGATTTGGTTAAGTGCTTATGAACTTGAGTGTGTTCTTATTTTACTGTATTGTCTGTATATATTGTCATTATATGTATATGACATTATGCGTCTGTATTGTCAGTGTCTGTATAGGACATGTCTTTGTTTGGTCAATTCTTTAATCGGGTTCTACCTCTGTCAGTTTAACGGCATTCTTTCGTTCCAGGCGAAGGAGCCGCCGGCCACCTCGACAGTCACCTCGATGGAGACAACGGAAGCTGCGCCTCCGGCAGCGACTGTTGCCATGGATACCACGGTGACGCCGGCGGAGAAGACGCCAGCCTTGGTTGCCATGGACACGGACACGGCGTCAGTGCCGCCGTCCGCGGAGAGTGGCGCTGCAGAAGTGGTGTCCGGTCCGAGCGGCCCTTCCAGTGCGTCTGACCACCCCGCTCCGGCGGCGGGGGACGGACCGCAGAGCTGCCCCGCTCCGGCGGCGCAGGGGCGGACTGAGAGCGCGGCGGGAGCTCAGACTGCGGCCGAGTCTCGGTGAAGCGGCGCCTCCGCCGGACGCTCTTTGGTGCTCATCTGGCTGTACGGAAGGAGAAGTACAAAGCGCCGCGCTGCGAGTGTCGCCGGGTGGCCAGGGAGCGGGATGAGCTGTGTGCTGGCTCTGTGTGTGTGTCTGAGAGACCGACGGGCCGTGGGGAGGGATGCGTCGACGGTGCGTGCCGCGATGAGTGATGAGGTTTGAGGGGCGGAGGTCGGGCACGAGCCGCGCGGGAGACGCCGGGCCCGGTGCTGCAGACAATGACTTAGTTGACAAAGTGTTCAACTACAGAAGGTTTGTGCAGGCGTGCGCAGAAAGCTCGGCGCAGATAAACGTCAAGCCTATCGCACCTTCATGGAAGGAACGCGCTTGAAGGCAAACTGTTGGATGCTTCGGGCCCAAGAGGCTATGCGCCCTAATCCAACAACAACCCATCACACTTATGGAGGTGACAATTCATCTGTCGCCAGCGCTCCATGGATTGTGACCGCTCCGACATTACGTTATCAGTCTGTTGATCGTCGTCGGCACTGTCAGTCGTCCGTGCCGACCGTGTGATCAGTTGACAAAAGGACTCATTCGCCACAGGAAGTTGCCGATGAATCGGCTTTATCAGCGGTATACACAGGGGCGGCGTCGACCGCGCGGCTCGTGTCCGGTCACTGAGCTATCGAAGCCCGCTGGGTGACCTGACCCCTGGCTGTAGCAGCTACGAGCTGTGACCCAATGAGGGAGGGCTGAGAGCAGGATGACTGGGACGGAGCGTCGAGTCGGGGGTGAATAGTCCACGGTGATGTCGAGTGATTGTACCGCCATTGTAAACGAGAGTTGTGAATGGTATTAGGGTCTTCTCGTCTCATTGCTCCAGAGGGATTTCTACATAAATGTTTTTAAAGAAGGAATGTGGGCATTGAACCGACCAATATGTTGGTCATCCTGATGTATTTAGTAGGCACACTTTGAATAACTGTGCTGATTTTTGGAATCGCTCATTTGCATTGCGCCACGCTTTTGTTTCGTGGCTTCCAAAGAGACAATGGTCGATGATCTGAGCACCCTTTCTCGACAATCATTGGCTTGTCCTAAAATCCCTTTTAGCGGCAATGAGAAGTGAAGCCCCTCGCCTGTCTGCTGAGACCGTGCGTGGCCGGCTGAGTTGGCTCGGCAGCGGAGGCAGGCAGACGCAGCGTCAGGGACGGTACAGTACAGCAAGGGGCGTGAGTGAGCGCAGTAGTGGCCGGTGGTGACAGCTGCTCCTTGGCGGCACGCTACCGGGATCTCGGGACGTTTTTAGCATGAGCCGTCGCCTGGATCTCTTATTGTTTTGCAGACGTGGCGCCCGCGCAGGCTGTGTGCGGCCGGCGCGTTGTTTTATCTTACAGTGCTGTGCCGCTGCCGGGCTGTTTCCGGCGCGGGCCGTGTTGGTCCCTCACCGGACCGATTAGTCTCCGGTCACTGTGGTCCGCCGCCGGACCAGGAGACCGGTGATGGACTGTGAGCCACCTGTTGACAATACTGCTCGCAATAACGCGTGGCGGTGCTATGCACGCAGCGGGCGGGCCGCCGACCGCCGACCGCTCGGTCCGCAGACTGTGACTGTTTTCTGATGACTCGCCGCGGTGTCCAATACACGGCGCTCCAAGCCGACCGACGAGTACTGACGAGCGGATCGGGGTGCCGGAGCCAGGTTTTCACTAATTTCCATTTAGTTTGATAGCGCTCAATGTGGGGAAAACAGGCGAGATTCTGCGGGGTTCGCAAAAAGACGGCCGAAATAACCTTCAAAGTCCTCCCCCTTTACTGTGGTCCGACTGGCGCCCGACCCAGTAACTCATTAGAATTTCAGATTGCCATTTATCAGCAACCACTGTGTGCACTAATGTCGAAATACTCCGCAATCCGCAACAATATGCGTTATGCATTCGGGACCCAACGTCATAACTCGCGCGTTATCACTGCATTTCAAATGCGTTCTATAACTTAGCAGTTCAGGTATGTGGCGTGAGAAGATCACACGATACCGGATACATATTCACTAAGAGCCATCGCTCTTTCGTCGTTCTGTATTTATCACATCCATCGCTAATTGCAGCAAGGTCGGTCTGAGACAAAGCAATGCCATCACAACGAAACATGCCTACAGGCGTCCAAGAGTTGGGATACGCGAACACTCATCAAATGTCAAGAACAGACAGCCGTGACTTAAGTATGAACCTATATACGCATTAAATACTGTAGGCATACTGATGAACAACAGTAGTGTAAATAGTCATGCAATTCAGAGATACTTTAAATATCGCTAGCGGTGTCGTATGAATTTAATGTCCAATAGCCGCGAGCAGGTGGGCGCGGAACATCCAGTATTAATGCATGCACTATGAGTGCGGAAAATAAAGCAGAAATACCCGACTATGTATGACACACATGTAGATGTCTTCGTTTAAGTGTTCATAATATGGATAAGTGGTCGGTAGACCATCTTTGTTCTAGAACATAGACGAATGTCCATGACGCGAAAACGACACTCGACGGGACTAACAAATGCCCATTGCTAAGTTCATTGCTGAGTTCAGCCATTCAACACCGATCTACACATTTCTAGTGAACGCGAGGCTTTTAAGAACAAATTTATGGCGGGAAACAATGAGATCAGAGAGCGAAAAAGTTATGGTAATTACGACCTAATCCGGACAAACAGCGGACACACCTTTAACGCATGGAAGAGAGCATCTGTGAAAAAGTCAAACGAGTCACTTGATAAATCGTAAAATGGATTCCAAGAGTTTGTAGGGGTAGAGTTTGCAGGAATGAACGATCAAATGCATTTCGAAGTAATAGAATATGAGGTTGTTTAACCCAGAAGCAACACAAAATATTTCGCTCACTTTCGTCTTTCAATGGCAGCAAAACGGAGCATAACACTTTCCCGTAGATAAACGACATTAGTTCTACAGTAAACGCCAGGCTAAACCACAGCACAGTTCGGCGACAGACCTACGTTAACAGTTAACAGTTCCTCATCTAACGAGCTCTCCTGGCTCCGCGGCGCCACTACGATACATTGGCCGGAGGATCACAACACAACACTGAACAGCACCCTGCTAGGGCCGGGAGAGGCCGTGGCGGCGGCGGCGCGCGGACACCCTCGCCCAGTCGGCGCGCCCGTTTGATCTCACAGCAGACCGGGCCGCTGCTGCCCGCCCGCGCGGGCGTCTAGTGCGCCTTGGCGGCCGCCCGGTCCTCCATGTCTTTGCGGCCGAGCTCGACCCAGGCGCCGTAGCCCTGGACGAGAGCGATGCCCGACTTAACAACGGCCACAGGCGCGGAGAGAACGACCAGCGCGCGCACCAGGCCCAGTCCGAGCAGCGTCGGGCCCTCGGTGAAGTGCAGCAGGTACAACATCGAGTAGAAGAGCTCGTTGCCGGCGCACATGAAGAACAGCACCGGCCGCGAGGAGTAGTAGAGGCGCAGCAGTGCCGAGCCCTCGCCGCCGATGGTCTTGTGGCTGGTGCGGCCGCGCAGCGTGGTCACGTGCAGGTGGATCCAGTGGCACGAGATGTCGATAGCCATGCTCAGCTGGAACCAGAACATGTGCTGCGGGTAGAAGGCGCACAGACAGGCCAGCAGGCACATGGTGGCGCACCGGTCCGTCAGCTGGTCCAGCATGGCGCCGAACTGGCTGCTCTGGTTCAGCAGGCGCGCCGCGTGTCCGTCCAGGGCGTCCAGCAGGCCGCTGATGACGTAACACGCCGCCGCCGCCGCGTGCCGCTCCGCCATGAACCATAGCGAGAGCAGCGCCAGCACCACGCGCGCGTACCCGATCAGGTTTGGCACGAACAGATACACGTTATCCATGGTGGCCGGGCGCGGGTCGACTGCTGGATGGAGTCAAACAGCTGAAATAGAGGTCATCCAGTGACAATGCAGCTTGGAAGGGTAAACGATGGGCACAATGAAGGATATATATTTTTGGGATCTCCGCTGTTCCTAGCAACTTCATTTTGAAAGTGCAGCATTTGCGGCAGATGTTGCGTTGCACGCAAACAGCATATACCACCACTGCTTCACAAAGATGTTAGTATAAGGTTTAAAAATTGTTAGATCTCCGCTGAACACAAATTCTAAGGGGGCATTCCAATGCATTAGCCCCTTATAATCCGAAACCTGCAAGTTTAGCATTTTTCGATGTTGTGAGTGCCCAAACCGGTATTTGCAGGCCATGGCCACCAATTTGGCTATCTCAACTCAAAACTAATGTTAAGGTGGGATGGTCATCTGATGTTCCCCATCAAACAAAACTATCACATTTCACTAAGACCATCTTACAATACTGATACCTATTTATATACACTGTGACAATACCTATCACCTTCCATGTACCTCGCAACGTCGCAGGCCACGCCACCGCCCCAAAACGTGGAAATCAACCGATTCAACGACGACTACCAAGTACCAAGACTGCAACGCGTTTTCTATGTTTTCTATGGACGCCGGTGAAAACAGGGCGCCGGAGGGCATATTAGTCACGTGACATTTGGAACTGCTCCCGCTCCAAGGGCCTTCTATATGCCAAACGTCACGTGTAAATTTCACGAACCTTGATCAAATCGCCCCAGGCGCCCTGTTTTCACCGTCGTCCTTTTCTATGGCTTCGAGCCTTGGCTTCTAGTGAATCACGCTGCAGCGTAATAAGCGTACACAAGTCGACAGTCTCCAAATGTTCTATTTATGCTGCATTTGCTGTGATCGATTGTGAGCCCAAGGCCGTATATAAGTATATAGATATATCCCATCATCTTTCAAAAAGTTGATCCCTAATTTCATTGCAAAGTCAATCCTCGACGATCGATGTTGGATAATTAATCCATGCAAGTAGCAATCAGATGATAATCAAGATCAGTTTTGAAAAGCATGCCCTTGATAAATGTTAACGCTAGCAGTATCAAAATGCGAAAAAGCACAAAGATCATAGCTAAATGTCTCGTCTGCGCATGTCTTGGACAGCAGATATGCTACTATATTTTATTATTGAAGGCATAACTAAAAACATAAATAAATAGGTATATAAATAAATGAAGTAGAAAATCAACAGGCATTTCGTCCCATCAATTCGTAGCACGACTTGCTTAGCACGACGATACATATTAAAAATGTACACGCATTTTAAGTAGAGTGAAGTGGACACAGCCAATCAGCTGGTTTAAGGAGGGTCCTTTCTTCCTGACAAGGGACACCTATGACGGTCATGAGCGCGGGACAGGGCCGACGTCATAATGACCTCGGAGATTGTCGAGTGACCTGAGATGAAAAAGTCAGTGAAGTTGGTGTGGCCTCTGAATTGTGGAACCCCGCAAGCTAGACTGCAACCCGACTTCGAGAGTGATGCAATCTCCTCTAATTGCATCGTAGTTCTGAGCGCCTGCTTACCAACATACATCAGCCTGGTGAATTGAGCTAATTTGACCCACAGTTGGGTACCCGGTGGATCCCGTATCCAGCATATGGCAGGGTCGACCACGGCCGGGTTGACAGATGGCCTACTGATCTATGGCCGCTGATATCAGCCAGCGGACCTCTCTTTACACCGAAAAGATACCTACTCCAGTGCCCCGCCCAGTTCCCGGTCAGCCCCCGTTCCCGGTCTTATTAAACAGACTTGCACGAAAGCGTTTTATTCTGCGAGAAGACATGGAAACAGAACAGCGCAATCCTAGCGAGAACAATTTCCGTATGAATATTCTCGTCACGGTACAGCTCCTCATTTGTGAATCCCTCACAGGGTTGCGGCCTGTGGCCCAAACGCGTTACACCGTCCACATGCCAGTCATTCACAACAAACCATTCGCGAGGGCCGTCCGGTGGCCGCAGAGTGACGTCACTGATCACCAAACGGTGACGTCATACGATCACGGGCGGTTGGCGGTTTGCGGTAGGTCGAGCCGACGCAAAGTTCCGAGGGATGTTGAGCGCGGCCCAGGGCCGACGTTCACTGTGACTGGCAGATAGCCGGTCATCGTCTACGCCCGCCAGCAGCAGTCGACATCGGACCCCACCACGCGCTGGTCGCTCTCACCCAGTGCCATCCGCCGCCCGCCCGCTCCTCATGGCTCGCGTCTGTTCGCTCCACCGACCGGTGCGTACCGTTCTTTCCCGCCAGGATACCATACTCCCATCAGCACGGGAGCTGGGCAACCGACGCGAGCTAAACGCTCACCCCATGTCGGCGCGACCTGAACAGACCTCCGCCAGGTGCGGGCTGGTCAGCGGGACACGATGTGAACCGCACCTTACCCCGACCGGCCCCAGCCCGCCGCCTCGGTCCCACAGGACAAGGTGGTCACGTGTTTCAGCGGAGATGTAAGTTTGGTGTGGGTCGATTACCACACACAGTGACTCGAACACAAAATGACAGTTTCAAGAGTTAATAGAAAAAATCGTCCGTGAAACGGTACGTTGTAAACAATCCGATGAGGCAGCAAAGCCACCTATCCTGACCATTGGACCGTGGTCCCTGCTCCGTTGGACCGTGGTCCCGAGTCCGTGCAGACCACCCATCTCTGCGGGAGCATGGGATGGCGGCGGGCCGCGCGGCGCTAACGGCCGGACCGCGGCGGCTGCGGGTCCGCTAATTCAGCCCCTCCGACGGCGGTCACCCAGTCGCCCCGGTTCCGGGGGAGGGGGGGGGGGAAGGGGGGGAGGTGTCACGGGCTCCCAGGTGAGATGGCGGCACCATCTCCACGCTGGGGACACGACGCATGGTGCGGAGCGGGCGGCCAGCCACCACCGAATGCAGCGCGACTACCAGCATCGACCAGTGATCCGGTCGACAAGACCACTGGCCGGCTGTGTGCTAAGATTTTCCCAAATTCGGTGACCGACTGCCGCCCCGGCCGCGCACCACACGGTGTGAGAGGCGGTGCTGAAAACTCAGCACGAGCTGGTCATCTGAACGCCGTTTGTCCACCAAACTTGCATCTCAGCTGAAGTGCAGAGAGGGGAGGGGGGATGCCGGCAGGCGACGGGCTGACCGCCGGACGGGGCACTGAACGGCTCGACCGACCGCAAACCCAGACCGACCTAACTGTGACCGACGGACGAGCCAGACTGGCGCAAAGCAAACGGGGTCCACCGGACGGCCTCAATAGTACAATTATCACATATGCCGAGGACCACACTGAGTGCCACCCCGGGCCGATCAACAAATCACCGAATTCACAGCTCATTGACTTTGAGAAATCTACGCCACCCATGGGATAAGATATACATGAGATCGGACAATGAGCTCCGATTCTACAGCACATATTACAGTGATCACAGGCGCGATCAGAGTAATCAACGGATTCACTGAGGAGCGTAACGACGCGTGACTAGATAACATCGCAAAAAATTAAATATAAGCTCTGGACGAGATGAAAATGAATAGAAACTGCTACACAGAAACACCACACCAATTAGTCAGTAAGTTAGAGCGTCCTTTCCCGTCCGCTTTCTAGACAATCCTAGCAACATTGCGTCTGCGAGCTAAGAAGCTATTTAAATGTATCTTTGCTAAAACCGGTGTCTCGAGACATTGGTGCAATCAGCTGGAGTGCATCCAACCCGAGTCCACAAGCGATCTTAAACGAACCTTACCACCACCTGAACATTGGGAAAACATTGGGAAAAGAACGATGAAAAATATAATTTTTACGAGGCGGAAACTTACTACCCCTCCTAAGAAAGTACAATGGTCTACAAGGAAAATCTAAAAAAGAAAGATGTTCTTCACCATGATAAAGCCAAGGACGTAATGTTCTACGGCTTCGAAAGTTGCCTAGGTTGGCGCGACGCGAGTTCCTCCTACTGCACTTGCAGCGGGCGAGGAGAGACACCCTGGAAACGAAACATTCAACAGGTCAACACGTCATAGTACAGCAGCTCACAGCACAGTGTCCGCAGAAAAGGATCGGTGACGACGTACGGGAAAAGTAAAGGATCTATGCGACAAGCATGAGTGTTACGGCACATGAAAAAAAAAAATCAAGTAAGAAAAATCAACTACGCATTTTACATGTTACATGCAAGTTATATGTACCTTACTTATTAGAACATATCGGCGCATGATAACGGTTTTCACCTTCATTTTTTACGGCGCTATTTTAAGAGAATACTGTTTCTAAGAGACTTATATTTCGGGTATTATGTAACTCAGACAAAATAAAATTCGCATGCTTATTCATCGTCTACTTGCTGTCAACTGCTCTAACCTAACCCAATAAGTAAATAAGCTAACAAAGCCTAGGAAGCGCATCAGTGAGGATTCTGCATTATGATTGCCTGAGTCTGATCTTGCCTAACAATGTCAAATGGAAACATTCAAATGGAAACACGCGTTGCCCGTCAGACCACCGGCCGTGGGGGGCTCACCAGTGCCAGGGAGAGGCAGGACACCAGGTAGAGCTGCTGTCCGATACTAGAGGCCTCCAGCGGGCCCAGCTTCCCGGCGTACTGTCGACACAGACGGGGACCGTCAGACGGAGCGGCACCGGGCCTCTCAGACCGGGCCTCTCAGCGGGGAGTCGGAGCAGATCGGCACCAGACGCTCCCCATGGCGCCGGGATTGGCCGGCGCCGTCCGGCGGTCGGGGGATTCCACCAGGGCGTGCGGCGTCCGCACGCTCCCCCATCGCCCATATGAGGTCACTATCGCACAGGTGATCCGGCCTCCGTCCCGTCAGGTCACCTTCTGCACCACCGACACCCTGCCCAGTTCCCATCAGCCCGAGATCCTCCCCGCCAGCCCTGGACACCAAGACTCCCCAGCCGCTGGACACGAAACTTGAAATCGAAACACATTCAAAACAACGCCGCACCGATCATTACAACCCTCCCACACCGTCCCACTGGTCGGTGGCTGACGACTACTTACCGCCGCCTCTCCGATGATAAAGGCAGAGAAGAACGAGCTGAAGCCGACCATCTGCGCCAGCCAGCCGTAGGCCGAGAGCAGGGTGGCCACAGACCTGGTGCCCTGTCAACACAGAGACGACGGGTGCACGGCGACAGTGAACACGGAGACAACGGACGCACAGCGTCGGTATCGACACAGAGATGACGGGCGCACATTAATATCGATACAGGGAGGGTAAACAGGGTCAGTATCGAATCAGAGATGATAAGCAGCGTAAATGTCGATACAGAGACGGATACACAGTGTAAATATCGATACAGAGACGATAGACAGCGTCGGTGTTGATACAGAGACGACACACAGTGTCAATATCGATACAGAGATGACGGGCGCACATTAGTATCGATACATAGAGGATAAAAGTGTCAGTATCGATACAGAGACGGGAACACAGTGTCAATATCGATACAGAGATGACGGTTGCACATTAGTATCGATACAGAGACGGGCACACAGCGTCAGTATCGATACAGAGACGACACAGTATCAGTAATACCGAACGACAGAAGACGACAGTTGCGCAAATGACGGCCAAACAACACGGTGGGCTCGGCGATGGAGGCTACTGATTACTGAGACTATGTCACGGAATGTTGAGTTCTGTGGGAGTTCTGAGATCGGTAGATCGTAATTAGAGTTGCAAAATTTCACTACCGCACTACCGGCATGCCGGTAATTTTTCACTACCGCAGGTTTATTCGTGGTAACTGGCATGTCTTGCCGGTAGCATGCCGGTATTTTTGATTTTGTGCAAAAAAAAAATATCAGCAAATGATTCAAACTTTGGACACTAAGAGGCTCTCAAATTGTAGTAACAGCAGGGGCATTCCAGGACGATTCAACAGGTGCATAACACCCGACCCCCTCAGATTTTCTTCAAAATTGCTGTATAGGGTTATTCTGTGCCCAGAAGCCGAATCTGAGATATTTAGACCTGTAGGAGCAACGGTTTTTTTGAGTTATAACATTGGGAAATTTTGGAAAGTTAAAAAACATCATTGTATTTTAGTAGCTATATCTAATCGAAAACTTTTTTAAAATATAAAATTATACATATTTGAACTCGCCACATCACAAGCTTTCAGACGATATGTAAATTTTTTCAAAATTTTGAATTTTGAATTTTCAAAAAATTGTTCAAAAATTTCTTTTAAATTTTTCAAAGTGTGGCCAGTTAAATAAAATTTATTTTTTTAGCTTTAATTAATGCTTAGGGTATTGGGAAACTAAATTGTGAAAATTAGAGATAGGTATTTTTTATATATATTTTATTTTATTTTTTTACTTTCTCCATGTAAATATACCATTTTGCTTTGATATGGTGCCGACGGTGCTATCTCGGGAACGGATGATCGTAGCGCGCCGGACGAGGCGGCAATGGAAAGAACTCAACGAGATGGATCTAGACATTGTCCGAATGTTGTTCTTAAAGGTCACGGGTCAGGTCAAGGTCAGGTCAAAGACCAAAATTCCAGGTTCTCATTCCCCGGCTGCTCCTGAGGCACTTTCATAATGATGAAGCGATGTGAAAATCGCACAGCATGCGTCCAACATATTTATAAAGGCGGTGAATCAGTTAATATGCAAACACAAGGTGAGGTCAAGGTCAAAATCATGTCACGAAAGGTCATGATGAATAAACAGGGATTAGGGACATGCGACACATGTTTTATGGGTTATTTTCCGATTCCAAGTCAATGGTGATGGGCATTTGACCATTCGGGACCAAATCAGGTCAGATTAGGTCAATGCCAAGGTCAATGTGTAAAGTTGCTGTTTCTATGTCGGCATTAAAATACCTACCTAATAAAATTGTATGATATATGGCTATACTAGAGTTATGAGTGAAATGAAATGAATAATTTTTACATTTGTCTCCGTTTCCAAATTTCCATTTGGCCCATCCCGAAACCTATCGCTATATCATCTGCGCCTGTGACAGACCAGTCACTGCGAGCTCGGCTCGCTCGAATGAGCCTTGGCGCGGTGACAGACGACGCGCCGGTCCATGCGGTCAAAACAGCACAATAAAATCATCGGGTGCCATAAACGCATAGGGTGACGTTGGTCGCTGGTCACGGCTGCGCGGGCCAGTTGCGGGATGGGGATTCCAGTCTTCCGAAAGTCACCGCATGCGACAGTGCGTGTGAACCGTTCGTGCTTGGAAATGTCACCACGTGCAGCAAGAAATTACTGCCAGGATGCCTACTCTGATTCCACGACTGAAGGAAAAAAATTCCGTCTTTAACTAAAATCAGATACTTTTCAGACGGCTCAGCAGCACAGTACAAAAACCGCTTCAACTTTTCAAATATCTGCGCTCACAAAAGTGACTTTGGGCTAGACTGCGACTGGCAATTTTTTGCCTCCTCGCACGGGAAAGGCGCATGTAACGGCGTGGAAGGCACCGTGAAGAGAGCGACCGCTCTCGAGAGTCTACGCAGGCCCACAAGGGAGCAAATCACAAACGCGACCAAAATGTTTGAGTTTTTAAGTGACAAATTCGAGACACAGTGAAATTTGTATTCGTGTCGAGGGTCGAAGTCGAAAAAGCTGCAGAACACCTCAAGGAGCGTTTCAGCAAAGCGGTGGCAGTGAAAGGCACGCATAGTCTGCACAGCTTTATTCCGGTCAACCACGAGACACTGCGAGTCTCAAAGTTGTCAGGGGGACCAGGCCGACTGGTGAAAGTGCACCGCAGTAGGGCACCGAAAAGACGAAAGTGAGCCCGCGTAGACTTGCTAGCACCCCTGCCGTGTGTCTGTATGGTGGCTGTCTGTGCACTGTATTGTTGGTGATATGTGTGCCCAATACATTTCAACGAGCTGGTCACCAAAATGTGTGTTGTATTTCCTTCGTTGAACAAGGGATTGGTTGACCTGACCGTGACCTGACCTGAACTGACCTGATTTTGTCCCGAATCGTCAAATGCCCATCACCATTGACTTTGAATTGGAAAATAACCCATAAAACATGTGTCGCATGCACATAATCCCTTTTTATTCATCATGACCTTTCGTGACCTGACCTTGACCTGACCCGTGACCTTTAAGAACAACATTCGGACAATGTCTAGATCCATCTTGTTGAGATCTTTCCATTGCCGCCTCGTCCGGCGCGCTACGATCATCCGTTCCCGAGATAGCACCGTCGGCACCATATCAAAGCAAAATGGTATATTGGCATGGAGAAAGTAAAAAAATAAAATAAAATATTTATAAAAAATACCTATCTCCAATTTTCACAATATAGTTTCTCAATACCCTAAGCATTAATAAAAGCTAAAAAAATAAATTTTATTTAACTGGCCACACTTTGAAAACTTTGAAAGAAATTTTTGAACAATTTTTTGAAAATTCAAAATTCAAAATTTTGAAAATTTTTGCATACCATCTGAAAGCTTGTGATGTGGCGAGTTCAAATATGTATAATTTTTATATTTTAAAAAAAGTTTTCGATTAGATATAGCTACTAAAATACAATGATGTTTTTTAACTTTCCAAAATTTCCCAATGTTATAACTCAAAAACCGTTGCTCCTACAGGTCTAAAAATCTCAGATTCGGCTTCTGGGCACAGAATAACCCTATACCGCAATTTTGAAGAAAATCTGAGGGGGTCGGGTGTTAATTTGCACCCATGAGCTGTTGAATCGTCCTGGAATGCCCCAGCAATATTAGCCACTGCAAGATACATTTTGTGGTAGAAGTTCCATTGCTAAGTGTAGGGGTAACACATGGACCTCAGCATTTCATACAATTCACGGGCTTGGTTATAATTAGAATTGTCAAGAATCTACTGTGGTCTATAAAAGGAAGAATACTCATTCATGTTGCAAAAGCACGATAAACTAGTAAGTCTAATGGTAGGAAATACGTATAGCACAATAAAATAAATCAATGTTCATGACAACATTCCCTAGGGGAAAAGGCAGAATCAAAACACCAAAAAACACAATGTTTGGAAACTGGCCTTGAGTCCTGAGATCATGAGATGTGGTCTGAGAAACTCTACAAAGAATTTGACACTGAAAATCCAGCTGAAAAGGCAGGTGTTAGGTAGCCCTGAGTCTGACTTTGGTCCCATTATTAAATGAAAATGGATTTAAACTGGCATTTTGTCTTATCTTTACAAGAAAACACATCATGCAGGCAAAATTGACAAAAAGTGGCGCAAATAATTAGACAACCAAGGATTTACTTTTAAGATTCTGATTTCTGTCTCCCCTAATGAATGGATGTAATCTGATGACGTAATATTTATTCATATACCCTTTTGGTTGAATAACTGAAGAGAGATGAATTTCTTTGCAGTGAATTACACTACAATGTTGATTTCATTATAATTTAATATTGTGTTGGGTAATTTTTATCAATATAATCATTCACGAAGCAGTGGCTTGCAGTCGTTAAACATTTTTTTTGCAGCGTTTTAATCAGCTGGTTAAAAGCCTCTATTATGGCGCATCTGTTTCGAAATCGATAACCTTGTGTTTGTTCCCGCTTGAGGTTGGAGAGGATGGAAGATATCGTTTTTATAGACAATATTCAAGTGACGTCATCAAAATATTTTACAAAAATGGCAACAGCGCCTGGATGGCAAAAAAACGTAAACAAACCGCATGGCTAATGGCGGATCGCGTTGGGCGGGAGTGGTGGTCACGTACGTGGCGGTTTTAATTGCGATTTTCCTGCCATTTTTGGTAATTGTGTTAAGGAAACGAAGACAAGGAAAACCTCTGAGGCTAGGAGCAATGCCATCGTCATGTGCTGCATATGGATGCACGTCCCGGGCAGGCAAAGATGTGGTGTCCTTTTTTCGGTTCCCGAAGGACGCAGACCGTCGGCTTGCCTGGGTCCAAGCCACCAGAAGAAAGGGATTTGTCCCATACGTGGGCTCAAGGCTGTGTTCAAAACACTTTGTGACAGGTGAGTTTCCTGATTAATTTGCCTTGCCCATAAATTTAGGACAGCTTTTGATATCTTTACCAATGGCGTGGCATGAATTGTAATGACACATTGTTTTGTTTTGAATGGCATTACATTGGACTATTATTATATT